AAGGCTCAGGACACATTGCTGAAGAGGGGGCAGGAAGATTGTAAGAGCCAGAGGATCAGGGAGTTCGCTGTGAGATTATGTCACGTTGTAATGTCAGAAGCTAGAACTGTGAAGTCTCACTATCATGACTGCCCAAACATGAGATGAACAAGGATGACGGCAGGAACATGCCAACCCGGATGGAAAAAGTAATGCGAGAAATCCACAGGGTCTGCTGAAAGGGCAAAGGGATTTATTAAGACAGGAAAACTCACAAGACAGAACAGAGGAGTTGTTGCAGGGTCCTGGAAAAGGTGAGGCACGGTCCCACTCTGTTCTTCTACCTGGAGACTGTCCAGCATCCAAGTCCCACAAGGGAGTGAAGAGAGCAGACCTATGTGCATCTCGAGTCTTAAGGATAACCCCAAGCCACCCAGAGTCAGGTACTTAGGGCAGTTACCTGCTACATCTCTAGGGGTGGTGCTTCAAGGTCATAGACAGAACAGTTATCCACTCCATCTCCCCCTTTTGTCTAAATAAGAAAGTTCTAACCTAATACAAACTAAACACAATAGGAACAATTATCAAGTATTGTACAGGAGAGAGGAAAGGTAATAACATAAACAAAAATAGAAATACAACCAGCAAGAACAACATCAAACAAGAAACACATACTAAAATCCAGAAGTGTCCAGAATGTATGTAAATGGCATGATATAGAGATTACTCCAACAGCTGTCCTATCCTAAAGATTCTAACTTTAGTATCTGAAAAGGTTTTAGCTAAGATATATGGAAGTATTATAACTGTAACTATCTAGTCTTCAACCCCATCAAAGACCCGAGGAGGAAAATAATATTACCCGAGAAAACAGGAAGTGCAAACAAGCAATATCTGAGAAATTACGAGAACAGACAAAGACAGCTGGCAGCCTGGACAGTCACCTAAAGATTCTCAGTGCTGTTGGGGCATCCATTTTGGCTACAGTCCTAGAATATCTGACAGACCAATTTCAGAAGCAGAAATTTTGAAAGACCATCTTAACCTGTCTTGGCAAAGTTCCTGCTTGTGTCCTGCTCATCCGAAAAGGACAGCGTTCATACTGTCAGCAGTCAAGGCAAGGGCAGTTCTTTGCCCAGAAAACCATTTTGTGCCAAGAAGAAGACAAACTTGCAAATGGAGTGTCTTAGATGCCCAACATTCTCTCAGGATCAGATGGGTGCTGCCAGGAACAATTGTGTCTCATGTCAACAGAATTCTGAGTTATCAAAACATTTAAATGCCATTATCTCCAGGTCTATGTCTTAATAGGACTACTTGTGATGTTTGTAGCCAGTCTCAGAGAAATGGGTAAGGTTATCTGAAGTTCTGGCTAGACGTGTAATATGATGGAGCATCTCATCTTGGAACTGTCCTGAAGAGTTTGCAGTCCAGAGCTGATCATTGAGTGGCATTCAATGGCATCTTTCTATATCGAGTAGAGTTGTTGTTGTGGGGCCCCATCTTCCTTCCGGAGACTTCAGAGATTGCTATTGGAAAGACTTATTCTTCACTGTGGAAAAATTGAACATTATCAATATCAAAATGGAAAGTTTGGATTTTATGATGATGAGACACATGAGGAAGGATTACCAGAAATCCAGCATAAGCATGGAGAGAAATAGAATCTTGACAACAATGGTCCCTAGATTATTGGTTTTCTTCTGTTCCACACTAGTCAGTCCTTCTGATATGAGATAGAATCTCCTAATTTTTCTTTTAGCAACATGCTTGGATTTAGAGAAGGAGAGAGCCACATTCCAGCTCCAAAGCCAGCTTGATTTATAATTGAATCAGGACCATAACTTTTCTAGAGTTAAAGAGATATTGATGTTAGGCAGTGAGATATTACCCTGTAGAGTATATTGGTACCAACAGGTCCTCCGCTTCTGCTTTAGACATCTAGGTGTCCACGGCCTTTTGATTTCTTGAAGATGGGTGTTCCTATGATCCTATAAAGACAAAAAACAGAACCCTGCCATGACCCTTGTTTGTTCAGTTTTCCTTACAACTTGTAGAGTTGTCACATCAGTGGATGAGCTATTACTTCTCCTCATCAAGGGGTTTCTCCTGTTCAAATCAAATTTTTATTAATTTGTTGGTATCCATAGCTTTTCTCCTCCTGCAGAAACAAAAGTAAAACCCTTTCCCCAACATAGGACTTATCCTGGTTTCCATTCTGAGGTCAACAAGTCTTTGAAGTAAACCAGTTGGTTTAGCTCAGGAGATTTTTCTGTTATCCAGTGTCTCTCCACAGCTGTTGTCCCTTTCTCATTAACATTGAGAAAATTCAAGGTTAATAAAGCATTATGTAATCTATTTCTAGGGGTCATTGCTACCTCTTTCTGTTTATTTAGCATATGCTTTAAAGTTCTATTAGATCTTTCTATGACTACTTGGCCTCTGGGATTGTGTGATATACCTGTAATATGCTTTATATTGTAATAAGCAAAAAACTGTCTCATTTTATTTAAGACATATGCTGGAGCATCGTTAGTCTTAATTTGTACAGGTATTCCCATGACGGCTATAACTTCTAATGGATGTCTAATTATAGAATCAGCCTTTTCAGAACTCAGAGGAGTCGCTCATTAAAATTCTGAATAGGTGTCATTGGTATGGTATACATATTTTAATCTTCCAAATTCTGAGAAATTAAACACATCCATCTACCAAATTTCATTTCTTTGTATACCTTTAGGATTACTTCTTGCAGGTAATGGAGTTTGGTTATAGAAAGAACAAGTAGGACAATTTTTTATGATTTCCTTGACTTGTTTTCAAGTGACAGAAAAGTCCCTTTTGAAACCTTTGTTATTTACATGATGTTTCTTATGAAATTCTGAAGCATCTAGCACATTACCTATTAATAGCTGATCAATCTCATCATTATCTTATGCTAAAGGACCTGGCAGACCCTGTAATTATGAATATTGAAGTTAATTCTGTATTATCAGGAATAAATTCAGCAGTTTCAATATGTAAAACAACTGTCTCTGCATATTGAGAGTCAATAACTATATTGAGAGGTTCTGTGAAGTCCATAAGTACCACAAGAATGGCACACAGTTCTGACTTTTGTACAGAATTGTAAGGGCCTTGAACCCCTTTACTTAAATCTCTTGATTTATATCCTGCTTTTCCTGATTTATTTGCATCAATATAGAATGTGGGGACTCCAGAGATTGGTTTTTGCCATACAATATGAGGAAAGACCCATTCAGTTCTTTTTATGAATTCTATTCTCTTGCTTTTGGGATAACAGCTGTTAATCTCTCCCAAAAAATTACTGCAGGTTCTTTGCCTGTATTCATTATCTTTCTATAAAGAGGAAGTTTCCTCATTAGTTAAAGGTACTACAATTTCTGCTGGGTCCATTCCTGTCAATTGATGAAGTCTTAATTTTCCGTTTAGAACCAAATCAGAGACCTTTTCCACATATGTTTTTAATTTCTTACTTGGTTTAGATGGTAGAAATATCCACTCCAATATAATATCTTCCCTCTGCAGCAAAATCCCTGTGGGGGAGTCTTTGGAGGGTAATATGACCAGAATGCAGCTAAGGTCTGGATTCACACAATCCACATGTGCCGCTAGTATTTTCTTTTCTACTAGAGCCAATTTCTACTAGAGCTTCCACTGATAATTTTCTTGGACTATTTAAGTTCTTGTCCCCTTTTAGGTTATTGGCCAAATTTACCAGTCCATCTTTAGATATTCCAATGATAGTTTGTAAGTTGGAAATGCTTCCTAACAATTTTTGAAAATAATTAAGAGTTTGCAATCAGTCTCTCCTGAGTTGTACCTTTTGGGGTCTAATTTTTTGTAGACCTATCTTATATCCTAAGTAATTAATAGAATCTCCTCTTTGTATTTTTTGGGAGCAATTTATAATCCCCAGTGAGGCAAAACTTTATTTCTTCAAACATGCTTTCTAAAGTATCTGACTTCAGATCAGCTAATAGGATATCATCCATATAATGGTAAATTATAAATTGTGTAAATTGTGCATGAATTATTTTCAATAATTTTTGCACAAAATATTGGCATGGGGTGGGGCTATTTAACATTCCCTGAGGGAGGACATTCCATTGATATCTCTTGACTGGCTGGGAATTATTATAAGTAGGTACTGTGAAGGCAAATTTTTCTCTATCTTTTTCTTGTAAAGATATGGTTTTTAAAAAAAGTCTTTTAAGTCAATAACTATAGTAGGCCATTCTTTGGGCAACAGAGAGGACAAGGGCATCCCATTCTGTAGGGATCCCATAGGTTGAATTACTTTATCAATGGCTCTCAGATCTGTCAGCATTCTCCATTTACCAGATTTCTTTTTAATAACAAATACAGGAGAACTCCAAGGACTGGTAGATTCTTCAATATGTTGGGCATTAAACTGCTCCTGAACCAGCTGTTCTAAGGCTTGTAGCTTTTCTTGTGTCATAGGCCATTTTCCAACCCAGACAGGTTTATAAGTTAGCCATTTTGAAGGTAGGGCCATCAGTACTTCTGAGAGTTCAACGGTGGTTGTGCTCTGTTTATGTACAGCCTGAATGGTTAGTGGCTGTTTTTATAGTGTCTTATAATATTGTTCCCAGGAACATGAATTTGTCTATATTCCATTTCTGAGATTGGAGGAATTTTTATCTGAGTATTCCACTGCTGTAACAGAGCTTGCCCCCAAAGATTCACTGCTACATTAGCCACATGGATTCAGTCTTCCTCTCTGTCCTTCTGGCCCTATACATTCAACCCATCTTGTACTTTGTTTTAACTGAGATAGGGTTCCAATCTCTAGAAACTGGACATCTACCTCTTGAAGAGGCCAATTCGGATGCCATGATGTTCGCATAATTATAGTCACATCCACACCTGTGTCCACTAAGCCTTCTAGAATAATGTTATTAATTTGTACTCTAAGCTTTGATCTTTGTTCATTTATAGAAGTCTGCAAAATAGTGTTAGCCAAATTAATCCCTGCCTCTGACCTTTTAGGTTTCAATAAATTGATCAGCAAGGTGCCTGGGGCATTCACATTCCTGTCGACACACCAGGGGAGCAGCTTCCTCTCCAAACCAGTCCTGAACTATATCTCAGCCCTGTCAACATGGAAAGGACAGGTAAAAAGTAAGCCACGAAGCTGTTTCCATTGTAGACAGTGTGTGTCACAGCGTGGAAATCACAGTTGGGAATTCTGAGACAGTCTCTAGTACTAGAGGGAGGAATGGGTCAGTTACGTCACAATAATTCTAGGCTGTTACCACTTTTTGAGTAATATGAGCACATAGACACTGTGCTGAGAAACAAGATATTTATTTCCTCCTGAAGACTTCGGAGCTCTGGAATGGCTAATAATTTGCAGGGGGGAATCACCCAGAAAGAGAGCAAAGATACTCAAAGGATATGAAGCTTCCCTAAATTTGTTTCGAAGGGTTATCCTTTTTTTAAAAAAAAAATTAAATTTAAATTTAATTTTAAAAGATGTTAGTATTAGACAAAATAGAGACTGGCTTAATAAGGATTTAGTTGTATGAAAACCTCAGTGTGAACGCCCACCTTACAGGGTTTCAATGCTGTCCTTACAGAAGCCCTGGAACAGCCCTGATTCTCCTTAAAGCCCGTTCCTGTACTCATAGAGAACACGCAAGACTCCCGCCACACTCTGAACACCCTAAGTCTCTCTCGGTCGCAGAAGCATGGTGGGGCAGGTCAGGAGCTGGAAGGTGGGTCTGGAGCACTGCATTTTGGTTCCCAATATGTCTCTCCACAAAGAGCAGTCAGGAATTCTGGGAAAGTCACTGACCCTGCATTAAGGGGAGTGACAGTAGATGGGCCGAGCATGTCCGGGATTGGTAGAGAACGTTCTATAAACTGTGACATATTGCTAAATAAAGCAAGGAACTCATGCTAGCCAAACTGTGATGCTTCACATACAAAAAAGGAGTATGTCCATTTTAACTCAATGGCATACACTTAAATCCATAAGAAATTATGAACCCATAGTCAATTCCAAATGAAAGTTCACAACTTTAACTAAACCTATGTCAGCAATCTCCAGTTATATAAGCAACATAAAGATAACTAGGATAATCTTGAAACATAGTCAGTATTTATGTCCCTTTAAAATTTTAGGGGGACATGTTGACACTGTAAGGACGACCCCAAGGCTGAGTGAAGGCAAGTGCACTAAATGGTAACTAAATGAAACTTTCACAAACAACTTTGAAAGAGAAACTGCTCTTGCCATATGATCCAGCAGTCTGCTTCTCAGTATTTACCCAAAGCTTCGGAGTGTTTATGGTTAGCTTTATTCGTAATTGCAAAAAATCTGGAAGCAGCCAGGATGTGCTTCCCAGGTAAATGGGATCAGCAAGTTACAGCTCATCGGACAATGGAATAAGGAGTGGACTCTCAAACCCTGAAAGGAGGTGGAGAGAGGAGGCCCACGTCTCTAAGTCAAAGGACAGAATCTGGAAGGCTGTGTGACACCAACTCTGACATTCTGGGAAAAGCAGAGCTAAGAAGACAGCAAGGACAAGGGCAGAGGAGAAAAGAAGAGAAGTTGGTGATTGCCAGAGGTTGGGGCATGGGAGGGCTGAATGAGCACAGCACAGAGGGTTTGTGGGTACAAAACGAAATAGTATTCTAAAAGAGACAGAAGTTCCTAATCAACATGGACGCCGCCATGTGAATACAGATGAGGGGCCATGAGGTGACAGAGCTCAGACCTCTCAGAAGGCTGCAAGGGATTGCAAGCGGATGGTTGGTTACCCAGCAGCACCATTACAGGGCAGTGCAGTGGAGCAGTTGGCTTTGGAGTCCACAGATGGCCTCGGAAAATGACCCTCCCCTGCCAGCGTCAGGGTGTGCTGATAAAAGACAACAGACCATATTGATCACTCTACAGTGCAGGACACTGGGCAACAAAGTCCAATGTAGCTATACATTCAAAACTTCCAGTTCCCACTGTTCCTCATAATTTTTTAAATTATGAAATGTGTCAGGGAAAGAAAAGTATAGTAGCACCTGTATCACCTGCAAATCAAAACTGGTACCGTGCCTTGTCTTCTTGTTTTTAACAAATTTTGGTTTTACTCTTTTTAATTATCTGTATATGTGTTTGTGCGCATGAGTGCGGTGCCAAGTGAGGTCAGAAGAGGGCGCCAGATCTCCTAGAGCTGGAATTACCGGCAGTTGAATGCTGAGAAAGTAACCTGGGTCCTTAGCAAAAGTAGTGTGCACCCTTAACCACTGAACATCTCTATAGTTCCTAATTTTTCTGTTAAAATCAAACAGAAAATGGTGAGCCAAGTACAGTGACTCATGTCTTTAATCCCACCCCTTGGAAGGCAGAGGCAGGAAGATCTCTGTCCGTGAGTTCAAGGTCAATCTGCTCTACATAGTGAGTTCCAAGACAGCCAGGACTATGTAGAAAGACCCTGGGTGAATGGGCACCTGGATAGGTGGCTCGGCAGTTAAGGACACGAACTGCTCTTCTGGAAGACTCAGGTTCAAGTCTGAGAACACACACATGACAGCTCACTATTGTCTGTAACTCCAGTTCTAGCAGATCCAATGCCCGCTTCTGGCCTCTGCATGTGTCAGGCACAATTGTGGTGCACAGACTTACATGCAGCTCAACAAGAGGGCTACCATGCCTGGAACCGGAAACCTAACTAACCAGTGCTAGTGAGATCCTGGTTATTAGAGGAGAATCCAGAACCACAAATTTACTAAACCCTAGCAAGTATCTATAAACATTTGACCTTATACCCACAGGTAAGTGAAGTCCTCACCCCTTGTCAAGGAAATTCCACTTTACAACAGACAGAGACCACTACAGAAAATTACTACCAACCAAAATTCAGAATTGTGAGCCCAGTCTCAATGGATAAATCTACAAAACACCCCCACACCTAAGGCTCAGGACACATTGCTGAAGAGGGGGCAGGAAGATTGTAAGAGCCAGAGGATCAGGGAGTTCGCTGTGAGATTATGTCACGTTGTAATGTCAGAAGCTAGAACTGTGAAGTCTCACTATCATGACTGCCCAAACATGAGATGAACAAGGATGACGGCAGGAACATGCCAACCCGGATGGAAAAAGTAATGCGAGAAATCCACAGGGTCTGCTGAAAGGGCAAAGGGATTTATTAAGACAGGAAAACTCACAAGACAGAACAGAGGAGTTGTTGCAGGGTCCTGGAAAAGGTGAGGCACGGTCCCACTCTGTTCTTCTACCTGGAGACTGTCCAGCATCCAAGTCCCACAAGGGAGTGAAGAGAGCAGACCTATGTGCATCTCGAGTCTTAAGGATAACCCCAAGCCACCCAGAGTCAGGTACTTAGGGCAGTTACCTGCTACATCTCTAGGGGTGGTGCTTCAAGGTCATAGACAGAACAGTTATCCACTCCATCTCCCCCTTTTGTCTAAATAAGAAAGTTCTAACCTAATACAAACTAAACACAATAGGAACAATTATCAAGTATTGTACAGGAGAGAGGAAAGGTAATAACATAAACAAAAATAGAAATACAACCAGCAAGAACAACATCAAACAAGAAACACATACTAAAATCCAGAAGTGTCCAGAATGTATGTAAATGGCATGATATAGAGATTACTCCAACAGCTGTCCTATCCTAAAGATTCTAACTTTAGTATCTGAAAAGGTTTTAGCTAAGATATATGGAAGTATTATAACTGTAACTATCTAGTCTTCAACCCCATCAAAGACCCGAGGAGGAAAATAATATTACCCGAGAAAACAGGAAGTGCAAACAAGCAATATCTGAGAAATTACGAGAACAGACAAAGACAGCTGGCAGCCTGGACAGTCACCTAAAGATTCTCAGTGCTGTTGGGGCATCCATTTTGGCTACAGTCCTAGAATATCTGACAGACCAATTTCAGAAGCAGAAATTTTGAAAGACCATCTTAACCTGTCTTGGCAAAGTTCCTGCTTGTGTCCTGCTCATCCGAAAAGGACAGCGTTCATACTGTCAGCAGTCAAGGCAAGGGCAGTTCTTTGCCCAGAAAACCATTTTGTGCCAAGAAGAAGACAAACTTGCAAATGGAGTGTCTTAGATGCCCAACATTCTCTCAGGATCAGATGGGTGCTGCCAGGAACAATTGTGTCTCATGTCAACAGAATTCTGAGTTATCAAAACATTTAAATGCCATTATCTCCAGGTCTATGTCTTAATAGGACTACTTGTGATGTTTGTAGCCAGTCTCAGAGAAATGGGTAAGGTTATCTGAAGTTCTGGCTAGACGTGTAATATGATGGAGCATCTCATCTTGGAACTGTCCTGAAGAGTTTGCAGTCCAGAGCTGATCATTGAGTGGCATTCAATGGCATCTTTCTATATCGAGTAGAGTTGTTGTTGTGGGGCCCCATCTTCCTTCCGGAGACTTCAGAGATTGCTATTGGAAAGACTTATTCTTCACTGTGGAAAAATTGAACATTATCAATATCAAAATGGAAAGTTTGGATTTTATGATGATGAGACACATGAGGAAGGATTACCAGAAATCCAGCATAAGCATGGAGAGAAATAGAATCTTGACAACAATGGTCCCTAGATTATTGGTTTTCTTCTGTTCCACACTAGTCAGTCCTTCTGATATGAGATAGAATCTCCTAATTTTTCTTTTAGCAACATGCTTGGATTTAGAGAAGGAGAGAGCCACATTCCAGCTCCAAAGCCAGCTTGATTTATAATTGAATCAGGACCATAACTTTTCTAGAGTTAAAGAGATATTGATGTTAGGCAGTGAGATATTACCCTGTAGAGTATATTGGTACCAACAGGTCCTCCGCTTCTGCTTTAGACATCTAGGTGTCCACGGCCTTTTGATTTCTTGAAGATGGGTGTTCCTATGATCCTATAAAGACAAAAAACAGAACCCTGCCATGACCCTTGTTTGTTCAGTTTTCCTTACAACTTGTAGAGTTGTCACATCAGTGGATGAGCTATTACTTCTCCTCATCAAGGGGTTTCTCCTGTTCAAATCAAATTTTTATTAATTTGTTGGTATCCATAGCTTTTCTCCTCCTGCAGAAACAAAAGTAAAACCCTTTCCCCAACATAGGACTTATCCTGGTTTCCATTCTGAGGTCAACAAGTCTTTGAAGTAAACCAGTTGGTTTAGCTCAGGAGATTTTTCTGTTATCCAGTGTCTCTCCACAGCTGTTGTCCCTTTCTCATTAACATTGAGAAAATTCAAGGTTAATAAAGCATTATGTAATCTATTTCTAGGGGTCATTGCTACCTCTTTCTGTTTATTTAGCATATGCTTTAAAGTTCTATTAGATCTTTCTATGACTACTTGGCCTCTGGGATTGTGTGATATACCTGTAATATGCTTTATATTGTAATAAGCAAAAAACTGTCTCATTTTATTTAAGACATATGCTGGAGCATCGTTAGTCTTAATTTGTACAGGTATTCCCATGACGGCTATAACTTCTAATGGATGTCTAATTATAGAATCAGCCTTTTCAGAACTCAGAGGAGTCGCTCATTAAAATTCTGAATAGGTGTCATTGGTATGGTATACATATTTTAATCTTCCAAATTCTGAGAAATTAAACACATCCATCTACCAAATTTCATTTCTTTGTATACCTTTAGGATTACTTCTTGCAGGTAATGGAGTTTGGTTATAGAAAGAACAAGTAGGACAATTTTTTATGATTTCCTTGACTTGTTTTCAAGTGACAGAAAAGTCCCTTTTGAAACCTTTGTTATTTACATGATGTTTCTTATGAAATTCTGAAGCATCTAGCACATTACCTATTAATAGCTGATCAATCTCATCATTATCTTATGCTAAAGGACCTGGCAGACCCTGTAATTATGAATATTGAAGTTAATTCTGTATTATCAGGAATAAATTCAGCAGTTTCAATATGTAAAACAACTGTCTCTGCATATTGAGAGTCAATAACTATATTGAGAGGTTCTGTGAAGTCCATAAGTACCACAAGAATGGCACACAGTTCTGACTTTTGTACAGAATTGTAAGGGCCTTGAACCCCTTTACTTAAATCTCTTGATTTATATCCTGCTTTTCCTGATTTATTTGCATCAATATAGAATGTGGGGACTCCAGAGATTGGTTTTTGCCATACAATATGAGGAAAGACCCATTCAGTTCTTTTTATGAATTCTATTCTCTTGCTTTTGGGATAACAGCTGTTAATCTCTCCCAAAAAATTACTGCAGGTTCTTTGCCTGTATTCATTATCTTTCTATAAAGAGGAAGTTTCCTCATTAGTTAAAGGTACTACAATTTCTGCTGGGTCCATTCCTGTCAATTGATGAAGTCTTAATTTTCCGTTTAGAACCAAATCAGAGACCTTTTCCACATATGTTTTTAATTTCTTACTTGGTTTAGATGGTAGAAATATCCACTCCAATATAATATCTTCCCTCTGCAGCAAAATCCCTGTGGGGGAGTCTTTGGAGGGTAATATGACCAGAATGCAGCTAAGGTCTGGATTCACACAATCCACATGTGCCGCTAGTATTTTCTTTTCTACTAGAGCCAATTTCTACTAGAGCTTCCACTGATAATTTTCTTGGACTATTTAAGTTCTTGTCCCCTTTTAGGTTATTGGCCAAATTTACCAGTCCATCTTTAGATATTCCAATGATAGTTTGTAAGTTGGAAATGCTTCCTAACAATTTTTGAAAATAATTAAGAGTTTGCAATCAGTCTCTCCTGAGTTGTACCTTTTGGGGTCTAATTTTTTGTAGACCTATCTTATATCCTAAGTAATTAATAGAATCTCCTCTTTGTATTTTTTGGGAGCAATTTATAATCCCCAGTGAGGCAAAACTTTATTTCTTCAAACATGCTTTCTAAAGTATCTGACTTCAGATCAGCTAATAGGATATCATCCATATAATGGTAAATTATAAATTGTGTAAATTGTGCATGAATTATTTTCAATAATTTTTGCACAAAATATTGGCATGGGGTGGGGCTATTTAACATTCCCTGAGGGAGGACATTCCATTGATATCTCTTGACTGGCTGGGAATTATTATAAGTAGGTACTGTGAAGGCAAATTTTTCTCTATCTTTTTCTTGTAAAGATATGGTTTTTAAAAAAAGTCTTTTAAGTCAATAACTATAGTAGGCCATTCTTTGGGCAACAGAGAGGACAAGGGCATCCCATTCTGTAGGGATCCCATAGGTTGAATTACTTTATCAATGGCTCTCAGATCTGTCAGCATTCTCCATTTACCAGATTTCTTTTTAATAACAAATACAGGAGAACTCCAAGGACTGGTAGATTCTTCAATATGTTGGGCATTAAACTGCTCCTGAACCAGCTGTTCTAAGGCTTGTAGCTTTTCTTGTGTCATAGGCCATTTTCCAACCCAGACAGGTTTATAAGTTAGCCATTTTGAAGGTAGGGCCATCAGTACTTCTGAGAGTTCAACGGTGGTTGTGCTCTGTTTATGTACAGCCTGAATGGTTAGTGGCTGTTTTTATAGTGTCTTATAATATTGTTCCCAGGAACATGAATTTGTCTATATTCCATTTCTGAGATTGGAGGAATTTTTATCTGAGTATTCCACTGCTGTAACAGAGCTTGCCCCCAAAGATTCACTGCTACATTAGCCACATGGATTCAGTCTTCCTCTCTGTCCTTCTGGCCCTATACATTCAACCCATCTTGTACTTTGTTTTAACTGAGATAGGGTTCCAATCTCTAGAAACTGGACATCTACCTCTTGAAGAGGCCAATTCGGATGCCATGATGTTCGCATAATTATAGTCACATCCACACCTGTGTCCACTAAGCCTTCTAGAATAATGTTATTAATTTGTACTCTAAGCTTTGATCTTTGTTCATTTATAGAAGTCTGCAAAATATTCATTTTATGGTGTTTTTTGGAATTTTCAATCCATCGTTCAAAGCTGTTCTATCATCCAGTGCAGTACTGTTCTTTACATTATACACTAGGTTATTTAACTGTCCTGGGGAGGATTTTCCTCCACAGTGACTAGAAATGATTTGGACCATGTTTGATTTAGGGGCCTGCAAGAGCCCCCCCCAGGCATTTCCCACCAGTAAAGGGTTGTCTTGTATGTCTTTTGTTGATCTGCACTCATTGGTCCAACATTGGCCTTTGCCACATCTGCATAATCCAGAAGGTTGGGGTCTCCTGTTTGGGTTATTGCTAGAAAAAGCACTGCTTCTAGGAGCACCCTGGTGTACAATTTCTTCTTATATGGCCTGGTGTACCACAGTTAAAACATTTAGTACTTTGATGCATCATTCTACCTTTGGAAATCACCTCTCCTATCCAAACCTCATCACAACAGTTAAGAGACTCAATATTGTTTATGCATTGGATCCATTCTTCTATGGATGCTGATCTAATCTTTAAAGGTACTAGTATCCATTTGCATTCTATATTAGCATTTTCAACAGCCAAAGATTGAATTAATATTTGTCTTTATTCTTGGTCTGATATTGCCTTGTTTATAGCCTTGGTCAGTCTTTGTAAAAAATCAGTATAAGGTTCTTTTGACCCCTGGAAGACCTTCATATATAGCTCAGTTGGTCTCCCTGGTTCTGGATTTTTTTCCAAGCATTTAAGAATGCTGTATGGTATAAGGATAACATATGCTCATCAAAGGTAGATTGTGCATTTACAGCAGTGAAACAGCCTTCACCAAGAATTTGATCTTGAGAGATCTCAAAACCTCTAATCTTATCTTGCTGTTCAAGGGCTTTAGCCTCTTCTCCCTACCAGCTTTTCCATTGTAACTGCTGGCTGTATTCTAATACAGCTGAGACTAACTGACTCCAATCATCTAGCATGATCCTGTTTCTAGAGGATCATGTATTTAACATCTGTTTCACATATGTGAATATATACCATAGGTAACTTCAGTGCTTGATGTTCTTTAAATCTCTCATATGATTAGGCTTCCATATGTATTCTACATACCCTTCAGGATGTTTATCATTTACTGGCTTTTCACAAACGGTTACAAGATAGATCATAGCATGAGGAATTGCTACCTTTGGTAAGTCATCTCTAGTTCTGTAAGGTACTGGTGATGTTATGACCTCCCTAGACTTGACCTTCTGCTTATTAGTTTCTTTATCATTTCTGATGGACTCCTCCAAAGCTTGAAATCAATTAACTACAGCCTTCTGTAGAGTCTGAAACTCCTGTGTTGTGAATGATTCCAGTGACTTCATGGAATCAAACAATTTTTATGTTCATCAAAAACATATGATTCCAAAAATTTTATTCTATCAATTAATGATGATCTTTCCTCCTTAGAAATTATCTGAATGGCATTAAGATTGCTCTGAAGATTTGATGGTTTATCCATTAGGTATTCACATTTATTATCAATAGAATTAAATATTATTGTCCAGTTATTATTAGTGGACTGAAGTTCTTGTGGTAAATTAGCAGATTCCATAGAAAGAATCCTTTTGTTTAAGTTCTCGTTACCACTTTGTAAAGTCTGTATCGGTCCCATTAATGTCTCATTTTTGGTGTTATTATTAAGCCAGTTTTTCAATGATATGATATGAATCACTATGCTAATCACCATTATGACAAGATTGTATATGTCCCAATATATGTCTTGTAAAGGTCATATATGTCTTGTAAAATTTCACCCATAGTATAAGCAAAGAAGTTTTTAAATTCCTGAATGGTGATATTATCTTCTATGGTGTGAGAAATACTTAAAATTTGTAAAGAAAAATTTTATCAATTTGTTTACTTATTAATCAGTTTAAGGTGCAAAATTATCAAGTAATTTGCTTCAGATAAGACCTCAAGAGACAGTCCTAAGTGACCTAGGTGTTCCCGATGTCCCAGTTTCTGAAATGTTTTTTGGGTGTAGTAGTGATGTTTGGCCAGCAGGTGTCACAGGTGTAGCACTAAAGCAGCTCTGGTGTGAGCTGACTCAGCTCCCTAAATGAACTCCGGGAATCAAAACTTACTCCAGGCAATCCTTACCACGAATACTGGGCAGAGCTGCCAGGATCTCAACAAATGAGACAATGCAGTAAAAAATGGCAGTGGAAGCCATCAGGTGAGTGGATGCTGAGGAGGATGCCAAGAGGTGGCAACACTGGCCAGACTCAAACGGGGCAGCAGGGAGGGTGCCATCTCTGTGCTCCCTTCACTTGCTCACTCGCGCTCACACTTTCCTTCCTCAGCACAGTGGCAGAAATTTCAAAAGATGCAGCAGTGCAAGCTGTTGTGGGGGGGGGGAGTGTAGCAGCAGCTATGCTGAACTGTTTTAAACAAAAAGATGTCACTGACTGACTTGCAAGACCTCCTGACATGCAAAGACCAAGGGAGAACCGTCTTGAAACATTAGCATGCTCCTTCCTCCCCATGCCTTTTTATTTATGCTGCATATAAAATTCTTAAATCATATGGTATTGCTTTGTGTGCTTTTAAGCTCTATCTAACTGCTCTTCTAGTTGGTATACATTTCATCTTTTCCCCTTTTACTACACTGTCAAAACTCAAGTTGATACCTGAAGTGTTAATTCACCAAACTCAACTGGCAGTAGTGTCTCCCTGGTGAATGTATCATGATGTATTCACCCATTCTCCTGTGGCTAACATAAAACAAAAACAGAAACAGAGGGACTAGCAAGATTGCTCAATGGTTAAGATGACCTAGATTCAATTTCCAGCACCCACATGTGTAGGGGTCCAAAAAAAAAAAAAAAAAAAAAAAAAAACACTGAAGGAAGACCCCAGAATCAAATGGTATGCAAGAGCAAGGAGCATTTATTTACCAGCAGGGTCATTCACCTGTACAAAATGGTGACAACCCTAAGAGGAGCATGCAGGCTCCTTTTAAGCCCAGCTAGGGGAGTTTCAGGAACAGATAAGTCATCTCAAACATAATTGGTCAAGCAAGCAGCAGTTGCATTAGTATGTTTTTTGATTGGCTGAGGTTTTAGCTTTTCTATCTTTGGGTATACTGGGGCAAGTCCAGGCCTGTTTCAGGGGGAAACAGGAATTTGTCCTGTTTTGGTCACTGTCTTGTGATACTGTGGTGGTTGTGGTTGGCTTTGTACATGCGTCCCTCCTCGTCTCTGCTGTCAGGGGCAGTGTTGACTAATGGCCCTTCATTGGGAAAAAAAAAAAAAACTTGTTTGCTCTTAAAAACCAGAAATTTAGATCCAGTTGTAAAATGGGGGGAATTTAGACCTCTCACGTGGAGGCTCACAGCTAACTGTAACCTCAGTCCCAGGGGATCTGGTGCCCTCTTCTGGCCTTTACTGGCACTGCACACATGTGGTGCACAGACATGTATGCAGACAAAACACCCAAACACATAAAATATAAATGAAGGGGGAAGAAAACACAACACAACATGAATTCAGTGAGCATTCTCTTTGTACCCAAGTGTGACAGTTTTTACTAGTATCTTATCAGAATGAGATTTCTGTGCCTTAAGGGCTGCTCATCCTCGGTTTTTGAAGAAAACTATTGACAATTATTATGTGTGTGTGTGTGTGTGTGTGTGTGTGTGTGTGTGTGTGTGTGTGTGTTCACAGGTGCAGGTGTGCATGCACACCACAGTGCACATGTGGAGATCAGAGAACAATTTCTGGGAGTCATTTCTCTTCCTCTGTCATGGTTCCTGGGGATTGAACTTGAGTTGTCAGGTTTACATATCAAGTGCTTTTACCCAGTGAGCCATCTCACTGGCCCTTATCCTCAGTATTTAACCGCTTTTTTTTTTCCTAAGCATAATCTTGAAAAATTTAAATTTTCAGCAGCCATTTACATTCAGCACCAGTCTTTCCTACCTGCAATCTTCTCTTTTAGTGTAAGCTTCTCCTCCCGCCCATTCAACAAGGGGAAACGTGTAACCCAAGCCAAGGGTTTCCTTGGGTGGTTCAAGGTCAGAGGGAGGCTAGAAGGTAAATTTGTTAAGAGAGATGCCCAAACTAGATTAGTAATTCTGAATGCCTCCCTTCTTCAGAGCAGCCCCAGGGCCTGTTTCTTACTCTGCCACTGAGATGGTGCCTCTGAAGTCCTTTTCTTTCAAACTGTCTGCTCCCCTTTAAGAAACTCTGGTTGATAAAGCATGACAAAGCAGAGGACAGGGCAAGTGGACAGAGGGATGGATGAGGACAAAGAAAAGTGAAGAAGTCGGATGGTGGAGGTCCACGCCTTTAACCCCAGCATTCAGGAGGCTGAGGCAGGTGGTTCTCTTGAGTGTGAGTCCAGTCTGATCAACAGAGCATGATCCAGGACAACCAGGGATACACAGAGAAACCCTGTCTCAAAAATACAGAAATAGCCGGGCGGTGGTGGCGCACGCCTTTAATCCCAGCACTCGGGAGGCAGAGCCAGGCGGATCTCTGTGAGTTCGAGGCCAGCCTGGGCTACCAAGTGAGTTCCAGGAAAGGTGCAAAGCTACAGAGAAACCCTGTCTCAAAAAAAAAAAAAATACAGAAATATATAAATAAAGGAGGAAAAATTTAAAAAAAAAAAAAAAGAATGAATGAGCCTTCCCCTTTTCCCCTCAAATTCAGAGAACAAACTTGGTCAAGAAAAGTATCCCTTCAGTACTATTAGACTATTAGTAAGGCTTTGCTGCCAAAGTTTCAAAGGATGTAAACTGTAGCTAGAGTTTTCCTGCCTGGCCCACAGTCAGGACAAATCTCTCTCACCCGCCAGTCCCAAGCCGCTCAAACCCGATCAAGTAAACACAGAGACTTATATTGGTTACAAACTGTATGGCCGTGGCAGGCTTCTTGCTAACTGTTCTTACAGCTTAAATTAATCCATTTCTATTCATCTATACCTTGCCACGTGGCTTGTGGCTTACCGGTACTTTACATCTTCCTTATCCTGATGGTGGCTGGCAGTGTCACCCTGACTCAGCCTTCCACTTCCCAGCTCTATTCTCCTCCTTGTCCTGCCTATACTTCCTGCCTGGCCACGGGTCAATCAGTGATTTATTTATTGACCAATCAGCAACACATTTGACATACAGACCATCCCACAGCAGTAAACCATCATGAAACCAGAACAATTTCAAAGCTATCTATTAAAATAAGAAACAATGTAGCTTATTTTGCAAACAGAAGATCGTTACCTCCAGCTATGGCTTTCATTCCCAAGTAAGTGTCACTACCACACAACTCTTCTTCTGTCTCCTGTTTTAAACCATTTGAAGTCCATCAGTAAACAGAGAGGTAGATTAACATGTTACTTAAAAAAGAAAGGAATTATATACAGCAATGGCAGAATGAAACTGCCCCTGTGGAGACATGGTGGTGACCATGTGCTTAGCTTGTTGGTTAATGCATAATTAACTGACTTACAACTTGGAAAATAAATAAACTGTTTTATTTTGTGCCCTGTAAGTGGGCTTTTTTTCCCACCAGCAAATTCCCAAATATCAACACAAAGACTTATTATTAATTATAAATGCTTGGCCAATAGCTTAGGCTTATTTTTAGATAGCTCTTATAACTTAAATTAGCTCATTTCTATTAATCTATGTCCTGCCCCAAGGCTCATGTACCTCGTGTACATACTTCCCATCCTGCTTGCTCTGCATCTCATGGCTTCTCCTCCTGATTCCTGATACTCCACCCCTCTTCTTGCTAGCATTCTCTCTGCCCTGAAAATCCTGCCTAGCCATTGGTCAATCAGCTTTTTAGTAACAATGAGAGCAACACATCTTTACAATGTACAAAAGGATTATTCCACAGCAGTGCCTATCTTTGTGGATGACTTGGGTAAGTTTGAGTGGCCTCTGACCATCAAGTTCCAGCCAGTGTGACTAGAACCTGCATCCAGTTCCAACCTCACTTTGATCACCTCCCAGTGAGTCCAAGGCCTCAGTGGGGGGGGCCTGTCCACTAAACTTGGGCTTCTCCCAACTTGTGTATTTGGGAATACTTTACCCTTTCTCCTGGAGCTAGGAATCCAGAAGGAAGGAAGCAGAGCTGTGAGACCAATGTATTTAAACTGAGACTCAAGCAGAGGCTCTAACAGCACACTGTGCCTTGCACTTTATACAATCAGCCTCTTCATATGTAATGCACTGTGTTACTGGCAGGATACTCACCCAGGTTGGATGAGAATGAATGTACATCTCAGAGGGACTCCTCAACTGGCTTCCTGAGCAGTTGTGATAAGTGCAGTAATGTTGCATTGTGTGTAGGTGAACAGGAAACCAGATTTTTGCTGTTTTAGTCACTGATTTTTTTTTAACAATTATTTGTCACAGATAAACTGGAATACCCTAACTTATGTAGCCCTATTGGCAACAATAAGTGGTTTGGATTATTTGGCCACTACCAAAACTGTGACTGCTCTCATAGCTGATGTCCTACTTGGAAATAATATAGAGTTGGTGCTAGGTACCCTGAGCTCCTGGACTGAAGAACTATTTTATGAACTGGACACTCAACTCTACCATATCCAAATCCCAGGTGAGCACTACAAATACTTCAACTGAAAGAATAGAACTGAAAAAAAAAACAAGCAAAGAAATAACACTAGATGTGTAAATTCCAAGGGAGTAACATAAGAAACACAAAACACCAAGACAATATAATTCCTCCAAAAATTACTAATCATATAAGCAATGGCAGCTAGGGGGTTGAGTTAAATGAGATCCCAGACAGAGAACTCAAGAAATAATTATATGTTCAAAGAAATAAAAGAAAATAAGCTCCTGTTTGAAAACATGAACAGCTAAATGAAACAAGGAAGGCAATGCAAAATATGAAAGAGACATCAAAACAGAGATAGAAATATGGGGGGGGGGACATCTAAAAGGCTGGAGATAAAATAGTAAGTCAAATAAAATCTCCATGCAAAGTCTCACCACAGCATAGACCCAGGAAAGGATGGAATGCTTGAGCTTAAAGACAAGGTGCCTGTGCTATTGGTGTTCTGTTCAAAAATTCCTCCTGTGCCAGTGGGTTCAAGGCGGTTCCCCACCTTCTCTTCTACCAGCTTCAGTGTATCTGATTTTATGCTGAGATCTTTGATCCATTTGATAGATTTTTTTTCCTTTGATGAGTATATATTATTATCCTTCCCTATCTCTTCTGATTAGTTCTGGTTTGAAATCTATGGCTACACCAGCTTCCTTCTTAGGTTCGTTTACTTAGAATACCTTTTTCCATTCCTTTACCCTGAGGTAGTGTCTACCCCCGATGTTAAGGTGTGTTTCTTGGGTGCAGCAGAAGGATGGGTCCTGTTTTTTAATCCATTCTGTTAGTCTCTGTCTTTTTATTAGGGAATTGAGGCAATTCATGTTGAGAATTATTAGTGGTCAGTGTTTGTTGATTCCTATTATTGGTTGTTGTGGTGTGTACGGTTGTCCCTTCCCCATTTTGTTCGCTAGTCTGAGATTATTTATTCCTTGTGTTTTCTTGGGTATGGTTAACCTCTTCAAGGTTGAAATTTTCCTTCTAGCACCTTGGCAGCATGTAATAGTCTTTCTTGCTTTGTACATTAAATATGCATTTTGCACTTTTATTATATGCTGAGGGGAATTTCTTTTCTGGTTTGGTCTATTTGGTGTTTTGTATGCTTCTTGTACCTTGATAGGCATCTCCTTCTTTAGGGAAATTTTCTTCTATGATCTTGTTGAAAACTCTCAGCCTTTAACCTAGGTTTCTTCTCCACCCTCTATTTCTACTATTCTTAGATTTGGTCTTTTCACGGTATCCCAGATTTCCTGTATGTTTTGTGCCTGGAGTTTTTTAGATTCAACATTTTCTTTGACCGAGGTATCCATTCTTCTATCTTGTCTTCAATGACTGAGATTCTCTCTTCCATCTCTTGTATTCTGTTGGTGAGGCTTGCCTCTGAGGTTCCTGTTTGAGTTCCAGATTTTCTTCACTTTGGGGTTTTTGTTTGTTCATTTGTGTTGTTTTTTGTTTTGGGTTTTTTGGGCTTTTGTTTGGTTGGTTTTGGTTTTGGTTTTGGTTTTGGTTTTGGTTTTGGTTTTGGTTTTGGTTTTGGCTTGATTCTTCAAGACAGGATTTCTCCATGTATCCCTGGCTGTTCTAGAACTCACTCTGTAGACCAGACTGGTCTCGAACTCACAGAGATCCACCTGCCTCTGCCTCCCGAGTGCTGGGATTAAAGGTGTGCACCACCACCACTCAGCTAAGTTTGGGGTTTCTTGATTCTGTTTCCACTTTCAGATCTTGAACTATGTTTTACCTTTTCTTCTATTGCGTATTTGTGTTTTCATAGATTTCTTTAAGGGATTTATTCATTTCCTCTTTTAGGAACTTCATCATATTCATAAAGGCTATGTTTAGGTCTTTATCTTTTGCTTCAGCTGGGTTGCATTTCTCAGGGCCTCCTGGAGTAGCTGCTGAGCTATAACAGGGACATAGTGTCCTGGCTGTTGTTGGTTGTGTTTTTACACTGGTGTCTAGGCATCTGGGGTTGGGAGAACTGTAATTCTAGCTGCTGATATCTGGTCTTGTCTTCAGTAGATGAACATTTTCTTCCTTGGTTTCTGTGGCCCTCTCTGGTTCTTAGGAGGGTATAGTGGCTGTGAGTTACCTGGTAGGGAATTCTTCTGGGATCCTGTCAGGTGTGGCCACTGGGGGTGCTGGGTTGAAGATGTTTCTGGGTATTGGAAGCTGACACTTAGGAATGGGGATGGGCTAGAAGTGGGATGGGGCTGAGGGGGTCCACAGGAGGGAGGAAAGCAGGGTGGTCCACCAAGATCTGTTTACTTTCCTGGAAGTGGTGGCAGAGAGTGAGGAGAGGCCATCTGCTACAGAGCTGGGAATGACATGGGGACTGGATTTGGAGAAGAGTGAATCTGAAGCTTGCCTACCTGCTTCATGACCTGTGTAATGATAGTTTTGTGTCCGCATGCATCTGGAGGGTGGGCAGTGATTTCGGTCATGAGACTGACTGGCCCATGGGCTCCTGTAAGGAGGAGGATTTAAAGAGGGGAATCTCCTGAGATCCACACATGGGGCCTCCCCTGAGACAGCCCCACTGGTGCACCAGCAGAGGGAAATCTTGAGCTCTCAGCTCAGGATGTGCTCCACTGGTTTGACGCTCTGCCTAGTCTTTCTCCCAGATTATGGGTTTTACACCATCTGCCCCCTAGTTCCATCTCACCTACTATGTCCTATGGTGATATTTTATCTGTGCTTTAATAAATAAAGCTTGCCTGGAGATCAGAGGAAGAGATCAGCCATTATAAGTAAACAAAGAAGTCAGGCAATGGTAGCACACAACTTTAATCCTATCACTTGGCAGGCAGGGATCTGTCTGGATCTCTGTGAGTTCAAGGCCACACTGAAAACAGAGACAGGTGTGGTGGCACACGCCTTAAATTCCAACAGTAGTTAACCATGGAGGTTTGGAGGTCTGTACAGGAAGTGACAGAGCTGGGCAGGAAGAGAAAGTGATGTAGCTGGACAGAGAGAGCAACTCAGATGGCAGAACAGCAAGGCATATAGGCGTGGGTAGACAGGAAGTATCTCGCATTTGGAAGCTGTGGGGTTGGTGAGGTAAGGTTAGCCGTGGCTTTCCCTATTTTCCCTGATCTCTTGGGTTTTTACCCCTATATCTGGCTCCGTGTTTTTTTATTTAATAAGACCATTTAGAAATTCGTCTGCAATGTCCAGATGTCCCACATGCTACAGCCACATGAAACTGTCTGCTAAATGCCTAAATGTCTGAGAGAAGACAGGCTTCTATGAAAACGCTTCTGTGAAATGGAAGATAATGGTTGTGGTTAACGTTATAATTAACATTGGTGACTGAGACGACGTCAGAAGAGACAGGGGCAAAGAACTGTGGCAGGACATTTCTGGAATGTGTTTTTGTTATCAAGGAAAAAGACACTCAGAATGGGACTCCTGAATGGGAAAAGGGATAGTGAAAGACGCAACTTGAATGAAAATAGACAGTTATAGCCGGGCGGTGGTGGCGCACGCCTTTAATCCCAGCACTCGGGAGGCAGAGCCAGGCAGATCTCTGTGAGTTCGAGGCCAGCCTGGACTACCAAGTGAGTTCCAGGAAAGGCGCAAAGCTACACAGAGAGACCCTGTCTCGAAAAACCAAAAAAAAAAAAAACAAAAAGAAAGAAAATAGACAGTTATTGAACGTTTGAAGAAAGTAATCATCATTTGTTCTGGTTCCAGATGCCTGCAAATTAAGAAGAAATAAAAGTACTAAGATTGTGACAAAATTTTTTCATCTTTAATGTATTTGTTCATAAGAAAAAAATTAAAGCAGGTGAGTCCCTTGCTGCCAAATATTACATTAATGTCATACTAGAATTTGGTCTCTCTGTTAAGAAGGCCAATGGTCCTGGGTTGTCTAGTCTGCCATTCGAAGAGTAATACTAAATCACTACAATAATACATCATCATGAATCACTAATATCACTGCATTGGAAAACTCAATGCCAGAGAAGCTATTTCATTCATAAACTAGAAGCCACAGAGTACTGAACACTGTGTGCACATGTGTTAGTTACTGAGTGCATGTGAGTGTGCAGGAGGAAGGTACTCGTGACCTTGGGGATCAGGATTGAGAACAGCAGTGAGATCAAGGCATGACTAGTCAGCCTTAGAAGGAAGTCAGTGTGAGGCCCAGGAGTCTCCAGCTGTGAATACTGAGGCTTGGGTTTCCAGAGGCATGAGGAGCTGGTGGACAAGTTTGCAAGGCTGGTCCTCTGGGGTGGGGATGCACCGGAGACACTGTTACCAAGAGTCATAAAATTGGGGGAGAATGCATATCTAGAGGGAGGGAGGGGAGTTTCTGAGCTCTACAAACAGGATTCTAAGCCATGGAAACAATAAGGAAGAGTATCTAGGTTCTTGAGGTGACCTTATTGAGACCTTGTAGCTGGAGCCAGGGAGCTTTCTTGAAATCTCTTCAGTTCAGAGCCAAGAACTTCAGGTCCGAGTCCTCTTTAGTCAGGTATGGTGATACACTGGGGGCGAGGGGAGGGGAGGCACTGAAACTGGAGGCTGGAGGGTCACAAGTTTCAGGCCTTCCTGAGTTACATGTCTAGACCCTACCTTCTACCCTCAAAAACAAAGATATTTGTGAATGGCTTGGATAGATGAGTGGTGGGAATGTAATTTTGTAAGATGTAATGTTGTGATCAGTATCTGATGCCATTCCTCTGTCTTCTGCATCTCTCTCATCCCTTCAGTTTAACAGAATATGCTTCACAGGACAAAACACCCTTCAGTATCGTACTCCTAATTATCTCTTAAGATTCATGAACAGTTACTTTTATTGAGTTCTTTTGTTTTAATTGATACTGTTCATAGAGGTTCAATAAGAATCATCTTCCCTTTTGTCAAGATATAATTGGACAAATTGATTGTGATCAAATTGCTCATATTTCTGTAGCGTTATATTTGAGAGTGAATTTCATTTGATAGAGTGTGACAAATGTATCATTGAAGGACAAAGGTTGTACTTCCAATGAAGTACCCATGCCTCCAAGGCCTGGCCTGTGCTTAGAGTTGCCACTAAAGGTTGGATACATGTAGGGAGCCACTAGAGGTATTAGAAATGATTTGCCTTGAAGGACAATATGTAGGGCAGTGTGACAGACAGATGTCATTAGAGTAGTAGGGTAAGAGGAATATTGGTATTTTATCAGTAAATCTGGGCCACACCCTGAGGTGGCTTCTTGTCCCTCACTGTTCCCAACGAGGCATCACTAGCTGACCCTACTCTATGTGTCTTTAAATCCAACTCCTCTCCCTTCTACCCATCTGTGTGCCAGGAAGCTCATAGTAACAGCATTGAGAGGACCAACTCCTCATGCCATTGGCCCATTAAAAAAGAAAGAAAAAAATAACTGGTGGGTGGGATCTTACTCAAGTCTTCAAGCACAACAGCAAAAACCTTCTCTGTTGTGAAGCATTTAAACTTTCCCACTTTTACAACTGAATTTATGTTTCAGTTCTCTGAGAGGGGAAAAACAGGTTTCTCTCTCAACAAAGGGCTATTTATCAACAAACACCCTTACATTCAGGGACGAGGGAGAGAGCATGTACAAGGTCTGAGTCAGGCCCACAATGTCTCAAGGACAAATCCTGCAACCTCTCTCTGAGTCATGTCTGGACTTACCAAACTTGCTCAAGTATGTCCAAAAATGGCAAAACTGAACCTCAGTCAATTAAAAGTGTACTAGTGTAACTGCTGCTTGCTTAACCAATTATGTTTGAGATGACCTAACTGTTCCTGAACTCCCCTTAGCTGTGCTTAAAAGGAGCCTGCACGCTTCTTCCAGGGTCGTCGCTATTTTGTGCAGGTGTTCAACCCCCACATTGGTAACAAACGCTCTTTGTTCCTGCATACTATTTGAGTCTCGGGTCTTCCTTCAGTGTTTTCTTGGACCCCTACATTGAGCCACCTTGCCAGCCCTGACCTATGGTTTTACCTCATCAACTGTCAGGAACACTTCAGGAACTATCTTGTGGTTTATATATGTCCTCTGTAATCCTTTGGACAAGACAGTTCAAAACCTGCCACTGTGGTACACACAGCCATTGTAAAGACAATGAAGTGTGACTCACTCTTAGGGAGGTTCATGCTCATGAGCTCCAGAGGGCTTTATTCTTTCCCTGGGGGCCTTGCTTTCTACCTTGGATAAACTCCAACTCCACTTCATACTGGCTCATCTTGAAATTCTTTTCTTGACTGAAGCAAAGAATTCTGAGTGTGTACTGAAAAGAACTCCTCAAGCTACTTCAGGAGACATTGTAGACCTGCATCCCTGTCCCCATCACCCTTAATGAGATCTTGTACTTATGTACTTGTTTTAGCTGTGGCACAGAGGCTGTAGCTGAGCCTGCCACCACCTTGTTGTTGAGGCTGAGGCCCCAGGGAGCCTTCTCAACCCTCCAGCGCTGCCTCCATGTTGGGAGCCAAATGATGTCTTTTAACTAAGTCTATCATTCTATTTGACCAATAAAGACTTGGGAGCCAGATGCTGGGGTGAAAACCTGCTAGCTCAGAGAAGCAGAGAAAGCACCCAGCTAACCTTCCTCTGTAGCTAGAGTTTTCCTGCCTGGCCCACAGTCAGGACAAATCTCTCTCACCTGCCAGTCCCACGGCCACTCAAACCCGACCAAGTAAACACAGAGACTTATATTGGTTGCAAACTGTATGGCCGTGGCAGGCTTCTTGCTGACTGTTCTTACAGCTTAAATTAATCCATTTCCATTAATCTATACCTTGCCACATGGCTCATGGCTTACCGGCATCTTCACATGCTGTTTGTCATCGTGGCGGCTGGCAGTGTCTCTCTGACTCAGCCTTCCACTTCCCAGCTTTATTCTCCTCCTTGTCCTGCCTATACTTCCTGCCTGGCCAATGGCCAATCAGTGTTTTATTTATTGACTAATTAGCAACACATTTGCCATACAGAACATCCCACAGCATTCCTCCTCTGCCGTTGCTTCTCCTAAGCCATCTCAAACAAAACCCCCTCCAGTTGGATCCCCCTCCCTTCTACTTCCTGTGCCTCTCTCTCCCCGCACTTCCCAACTTCCCCTCACTCTCTGTGGTTACTTCCACTCAACTGGCTGCTTGCTCTGCCTTTTGACCTATGGAATGTTATTTTTATTTTATCCTTTTTACAATAAGCAGAAAGGTCTTGGATTAAAGGTGTGTGCTAGGGCTGAGCCACACCACAACTAGAAACAGATCTTTCCAGTAAATAATGCAATCTCAGGGTTCACAATGTGATCAAATATCCTGCAGCACATACTCCCCCCACACGCTTGCTACTTTATCTTCGCTCCAAGCTGCTGGCTGGTTCCTGGCTTCTGTTCAAGAAGAGAAACTCTTCCCTCTTTCTATCTCCTTTTCAGATACCAATCAGCATCTTGAAGCACACCTGCCCTGACAATCTGGGCATTCTCATATTTTTTTTCTTTAAGACACCCTGAACCCCAATGTAGCTGCTCCCAGAAGCATCTCAAACTCAGGGCTCGCTCTTTGTCTTCTTCAACTCCCTGCTCTCAGTAGCTGCTGAAATTCACCTCTTCTCTGCCCTGTTTTTTTCTTTCTAACTCTAACGAAATGGTGCTTGGGCTTCCTCCTGAGTGCTTTTGTTTTTACTGTTATTTGTTTTGTTCTTAATTTTTTTGTTTGTTTCTTGTTTTTAGAGATGGGTTTTTGTGTGTGTGTGTGTGTGTGTGTGTGTGTGTGTGTGTGTGTGTGTGTGTAACAGAGTCCCGGCTGTCCTGGAACTCGAATTGTAGACCAGATAGGCCTCTAATTCCCAGAGATTCACCTGCCTCTGCCTCCCAACTGCTGGGATGTAAAGGCGTGTGCCACACCACCCAGCACTTTTTTAAAGTTTTTACTTTGGGACACCATGGGGGAAAAAAACCTTACAGGTAAACACTGAAGAGAGAGACATGATCACAGAAAACAAACAAACCATAAATTAGAAGCACTAATGCCTGTCCGCTAACATTGAGGCTGAAGTTCTGGGAGTCAGGCATGCTACAGGGACTCAAAGGGATGGGCTAGCATTCCTCATCTTCCTTACCCTCTCCTTCAACAGAATCCACACCAACCTCATCATCATCCTTCTCTAGGGCAGCCATGTCCTCATGGGCTTCAGAGAACTCCCCTTTCTCCATGCCCTCATCTGGTGATATTTTGTTTGTGCTCTAACAAATAAAGCTTGCCTGAAGATCAGAGGATAGAGCTAAGCCACTAGTTAACCATAGAGGCCAGTAGTGGTAGCACACACCTTTAATCCCAGCACTTGGGAGGAGGAAATAGGAAGTGATAAGGTGGGTGGAGAGAGGAGCTCGACCCCCTTTCAGGCTGAGAAGTTGGCAGGTAAGAAGTGGCTGTAGCTTGTTCCTTTGTCTCTCTGATCTTTCAGCACCTACCCTGATATCCAGCTCTGGGTTTTTATTATTAAGACTAATTAGGATTCGCACTACACCTTCACCTACATACCAGTACACAAGGTCACACTTGGCATACATCAAGTCAAACTTGTGGTCTAGGTAAGCCCAGACCTCAGTGATGGCAGTGGTGTTGCTCAGCATGCACACAGCTCTCTGTGCCTTGGCCAGGTCTCCACCAGATACCACAGTGGGAGGCTGGTAATGAATGCCAACCTTGAAGCCAGTGGGGCACTGGTCCACAAACTGGATGCTGTATTAGTCTTGATGGTGGCAATGGCAGCATTGACATCCTTGGGAATCACATCACCATGATATAACAGGCAGCGAGCCATGTATTTACCATGGCAAGGGTCACATTTCACCATCTGGTTGGCTGACTCAAAGCAGGCATTGGGAATCTCTCCTATAGAAAGCTGCTCATGGTACACTTTCTTCACAGAGATGACAGGGGCATATGTGGCCAGAGGAAGGTGGATATGGAGGTAGAGCACCAGGTTAGTCTAGAATTCTGTCAGATCAACATTCAGGGCCCCATAAAATCTGAGGAAAGCAGTGATGGAAGACACAATCTGGATAATAAGGCAGTTAAGATTAGTGTAGATTGGGCACTCAATATCAAGATTTCTATGACAGATATCATAGATGGCCTCACTGTCTATCATAAAGACATGGTCAGAGTGCTCCAAGGTGGTGTGGGTGGTGAGGATGGAGTTATAGGGCTTAATAACATTCGTAGAAACCTGGGGGGCCTGGGTAAATGGTGAACTCCAACTTGGATTTCTTTCCATAATCAACAGAGAGATGAACCCAGAGCCAGCTCCTCCACCAAAGCTGTGGAAAACCAAGAAGCCCTGAAGACCTGTGCACTGGTCAGCCAGCTTATGAATTCAGTCCAAGACAAGGTCAATAATCTCCTTGCCAATGGTGTAGTGGCCATGGGTATAGTTAGTGGTCACATCTTCCTTGCCTGTGATGAGCTGCTCGGGATGGAGGACCTAGAAGTAAGTACCAGTGTGAACTTCATCAATAACTGTGGGTTCCAGGTCTGTGAACACTGCCTGGGGCACATGCTTGCCAGCACCTGTCTCATTGAAGAAGGTGTTGAAGGAGTCATCTCCTCCTGCTATGGTCTTGACACTTGGCATCTGGCCATCAGACTGAATGCCATGCTTCAGATAGTAAAGCTCCCAGCAGGCGTTGCCAATCTGGACACCTACCTGGCCAGTACGGATGGAGATGCACTCATATCGAAAATTTCCTTGGGGGCCTGCCCTGAGGAGATGTCTCCCAGAGTCCTGGGGAAGACACTATGAATGGTCGAGATCATCCGAGGGAATAAATCTAAAGGCACTGAGCTCTACAGTCCATTCACTTTATCCTCAGAGACGAAATTCTATCTAGACAGCTTCAATTCTATACTCCTACTTGGCTCTTCTCTGTCCCTTCTCCTCCTGCCCTCTCATAGCTCTAAGTAGTTTTTTTATGTCTCGTCTTCATCTTCATCTCCCTCTATCTTTGTTTCTCCTCGTCTTTCCTCCCCCAAGAACCAGTCTCAATACACCTACAGTCTGCAAACTCTGCCCTGCTGCTTTCTGGTCAGGTGGGGTAACTCTGCTCGGAGCTAGGAAACCTGCCCCATAGCTTCGCTGCACCCTTTCGTTCTAAGTAAGTTGCGTGAGGCTGCCACTTTGGGTTGTGAGAGCTGGTTGGTGGCCCAAAAGAAAAAAGCCTGGTACACATCAGGCCTGTGCAGCAAGCACCTCTGTCTACTGAGGCAGCCTGAGTCCATTTTCAAAATCTATTTATCCATAGAGACTAAGAAGCTACAAAAGAGAACCCAGATTCCGTACAACAGCAGAATTGAAGATATTCTAAGGAGAGACCCTTGTGCTCTCCCTTTGGCGATCAGACTGTTGAAGCAATAGTCCCAAAGAAATCAGAAGTGTCGAGGATCTCACACTGGGAGAAGGGAAGGGCTGAGCCTGGTACCAGCCGCAGGAGAGCCATCTCAAAGGAAGAGATGTCTTACAGGTCTGGCTTGTCAGACCAACTTGCAGGACAAACGGAACGGGAAAACAGTGATGGGTCAGTGATGGGTGGGACCACCCCTTGACTGGAGCTGCCAGATTATGCACACCTCTCGCCCTCTCTTTGAACATAAACCTCATGTCTGTCCCCTGAAGATACACATGGCGGGGTGGGGGGGTGTCCACAGGGTCTCTTTATTTGTCCATCTTCACACTGTAGCCACACTGAACACGTCTCGACTCTCTGCTCTTCACTATGACTCTTCTCTTTGATTTGTCTATTGATGGGTGGCTGAGCCCAGACTGATAAGGGTACACGGTCCAGAACAGTTACAATAATAACTTGAAAGTCCATTGTCTGAGTTACCATTCTCTTGCTGATTAAAAAAAAAAAACAAAAAAAATGCTGACAAAAGCAAGTGAAGGAAGAAAGGGCTCATTTTATCCCACAGACCCTGGGAGCCGGAAACAGTCATGTCCCACCCACTACCAGGGAGCAGAGAGATGGTGCTTGTGCTTAGCTAGCCTTCTTTGGATGGAGTCCAGGATCCGAGCTCGGGGAAAGGTGCCACCCACTTTTAGTGTGGTTCTTCCCACATCCATTAACATGATCAGTATAATCCCCCCCCCCGCGCGCGCGCGCGCGCGCGCACACACACACACACACACACACACACACACACACACAGACATAACCAGAAGCTGTGCCTCACTGCCGTGCCTAGAGGCTTGTCTTCTAGGTGATTCCAGACTCTGCCAAGTTGGCAATCGACACTAACTATCACATTCATCCCGTGCTTCTACCCTACCAAACAGCACAGCTTCGCTGCGTAGGACATTGCAGAGTACCGTCTGCTTATTGCTGTTATCACAGAGCTGAAGACAGAGGGATGTGACTCTCTCTGCCATGTCCAGTGTCACTAGCACTGGACTGTAGTTGCCTGGTTTGTTTTTGTTTTTGTTTTGTTCCCTTTGGCTCTTTGGGGACCCACCACCCAGCTCCCAAATAAATCACATGGAGTCTTATTCTTACTTCTAAATGTCTGGCCTTAGCTTGGCTTGTTTCCTGCCAGCTTTCCTTAAATTATCTCAACTATCTTTTGACTCTGGGCTTTTACCTTTCTCTATTTCCATACATCTTTTCTTTTCTTCTTATTCTGTGTTTGACTGTGTGGCTGGGTGGGTGGGTGGCTGGCTCCTGGCATCCTCCTCTCCTCCTTTTCTCACTCTCCTATCTTCTCTTCCCAGATTTCTCCTCCTGTTTATTCTTTCTGCCTGCCAGCCCCGCCTATCCTTTCTCCTGCCTCGCTATTGTCCGTTCAGTTCTTTATTAGACCATCAGGTGTTTTAGACAGGCACAGTAACACAGCTTCACAGTGTTAAACAAATGCAACATAAAAGAATGCAATGTATCTTTGCATCATTAAACAAATGTTCCACGGCATAAACAAACGTAATGCATCTTCAACTAATATTCCACAACACCGGCATGAATGTCACTACCCTGAGAAAAGGCCACAATTCAAAGGTTTACAGAATGCCTAGCATTTTCAGACCTTAGTAGAGATATTTTCACTCAAACCCTTGTAAATCAGGGGCTGTCTGTACCGTGGATGCTTGGAGGACACAGAACACAGATCTTTCCAACCCAAAAGACCTGTAGCACCACAAATAGGCACCAGAGGGAGCAAGAGGTCACATACTCTTAAAAAAAGAAGCCCGTAAAATTCTCTGGTATAAAAACAATACTATAAACTCAGGGATAATCAGTCCCACAAAAGGCTGAAGAGTCACCCAGCATTTCTAGCTGGGTTGATCAGTAAAGGCCTTTCCTTGCTCTTCAGGACGGTGAGAAATGACTGGCTTCCCAAAGCCTAAGGCAAAGCAAGAACCAAGACACAGGAAGTAGCAGGGAGACACGGCTGAACTAAGGGAGCCAGTGAGCCCCTAGACCCTAACCACACAGGTCCGTGAAGAACTTGACAGTTCGAAATGTTTACTTTGAAGACATATAATGTGCAAGAGAATACAGATGAGTAACTAAATAAAATGATGGAAAAAATAAAGTGAGATTATTAGCCCAGAGATAGAGAGTACCGGAAAAGAAGGAAATAGGAATTCTTCAGTTACTGAATAAAATAACCAAAGTGAGGTCTTCCCAGCACAGTGAGGTTTTCAGAAGCACATCCAATCAACAGAAGAAAAGCATCAGAAAAGTCCCCAATAAGCCATTTGGAATTATTTAGTAAAAACAAAAAATAAATGAAGCAAAAAAAAAAAGGCAATTTCAGACTAACAGCTAAGAGACCAATGTGTGTATCACGGAAGTCTCATACCAAAGGAGAGAGAAGGGACAGCATTTATTTAAAAAAAGAATTGCTAGAAACTTCTTAAATCTCAGAGAGGAAATAGACATCCAAACCCAAAAAGTCTGAAGGCGTCTGAGAGGATTGAACAGGCAAAGGCCCATGTCAAACACTGTCATCAAATAGAGTCAGAGACTGCCAGACACGTCAAGGGAGAGGGACCATCGCACAGTTCCAGGTCACCATCAGCGAGTGTCTCAACAGGAACATTGGAGCAGGGCTGGAAAGACCCCTCCCCGGGTAAGAACACAAACTGCCATTGCAGAGGACTGAAGCGCAGTTCCCAGAACCCACACCAGGCGCTTACATCCACCTTTAACTCCAGTTCCAAGGGATCCAAGGCCCTCTCTGGGCCTCCTTGGGCAGGGCACACACACGGTGCACAGACTTGTATACAGACAAAACACCCATACACATGAAAAGAAATCAATTTTAAAAAAATGAAATGAACATGAAAAAGAAGGTGAAATAAAGAGCGTAGAAAATAAACAAAGGGAGTGTCCATTACCGTTAGTCCTTCCTGCCAAGTACTGCCAAAGTGTATTCCAATTGAAATGATAGCAGTACAAAAATATAAGGATTTTTGTTATGTATAGACATATGAACAAGTAAAGATTACTATGATTCTATGATGGTGATATATAAATAACATTTGATTCTGACAGGAAGACAAAACAGCTGTAACTATAAAATTATGTTAATTGGTACAAATATGAAAAGACAGAATGTGTGGGATTTCTTTTTTCCAAGATGGGATCTCATGTAGCCTAGGCTGACCTCAAACTCCCTATGTAGCTAAGGATGACTTCGAACTCATGATCGGCCTGCTTCTGCTTCCCAAGACCTCAGATTACCTGCACTTGACACCAAGCCTGGCCAGTTTGTGATATTAGTAACATGAAGAGGAGGAGGAGGAGGAGAACAGAATATTTTTTGTATGTGACTGCAATTAAATGGTTTTTCTTTTAAAAACAGATTATTGCAACTATGAAATTTTGCACTAAATCTGGGTGTGGTGTTGCAAGCTTGTAATCCTAGCACTTAGAAGGCTGTGGCAGGAGAATCATAAATTCAAGACCTGCCTGGGCTACAAGGTAAGATCTTGCCTAAAAGATGCCATGTTTATTGGATTTCTAACACTATAACAAACATCTGTGATAAATAAGCTTTAGAAGAGGAAGGATCGCCGGGCGGTGGTGGCACAAGCCTTTAATCCCAGCACTTGGGAGGCAGAAGCAGGCGGATGTCTGTGAGTTTGAGATCAGCCTGGGCTACAGAATGAGTTCTAGGAAAGGCACAAAGCTACACAGAGAAACCCTGTCTCAAAAAAAAAGGAAGAGGAAGGATCTATTTAGACTCATACTTTGGAGGTTTCAGTCTATGGTCAGTTGGCCCCGGTGCTTTTGAACGAGGGGCAGACATCACTGTGGAAGTAAGTAGTGAAGAAACTAGTCATTTCATGGTGCCCGAGAAGCAAAGAGAAAATAAGGTGAGTTAGGGTCACAATAGCCCCTTCAGGGTCGTACCCCATTTGACCGGGAAACTTCCAATAGGCCTTGCATCTTAAATATTCCACTGCCCTAACAGCTTCATGGGCTAGGGACCGAACCTTTCACACATGGGCCTTTGAGGGATGTATCTAACCCTTAGAAGAGGTTTAATGTAATCCTCCTGATCATCACAAAGAAAATACCTACTGAACAAAGTACAAAACATACTGATATGTAAGAGTCAACAAAACATAAGAAAGGCACAAAGAGAGGGAAAGGAAAACAATAACACCTATAAGATAGCAAGCATATAGAAAGCATCAATAGGGTCTATATTACTACTGAAAATTTAAGTGAATAATATCTTCAATCAAAAGAGAGCGGTGGAATGGATTAAAGAAAATATGACCCCATGATATATTATCTACAAGAGACTGACTTTAGAGAGAAGGATAAATAGACTGAAAGTAAAAGGATAGGAAAGATCATCATGTGAATAGTAACCAAAGAGCACACATGGCCAAAACGATACCAGACAAAAGGGATGTATTTTTACAGTTTCATACATATACACCATATATTGTGATATTGTAATTACCATTGCCCTCTGATATCCTCTTCCATTCCCTCAGAACCCTTTCTTCCCAATTAGTCCTCCAGTCTCTACACCATTGAAGAAAATGGCATCTCTTCCCATAGCAAACATTAACAGTCAAGAGATCCTTGGGAAGGGCTGTGGCCTTGTAGGTACCTCCTGTATCCACGATGGGATGTTGAAAGGGCCCAATCCTGCTCAAGTATCCATAGCTGCTGTGTGTTCATGATTGCAACAGCATTTCATGACCTTCTTTCCCTCTCTTCAACTTTTATTTTTGCCCCCTCTTCTGAAATGTTCCCTGGGCCTTGGGGAGGGGAGTGTGACATAGGTGTCCATTTAGGGCTGAGCACCTGACAGTCACTCAGCCCTTTCAGCAGATAAGAGTCTTGGACTTCATCATCTCTCTCTACAAAAGGGAGCTTCGGTGTCCCAGCCTGAGAACAGCATTCATCTTTGAGTCTAAACACAAATACGTAGAAGGAAGGTGGGCAGCATGTCCATCTAAAGAAACAATGGGGGGTTGAAGAGATGGCTCAATGGTTAAGAGCACTGGCTGCTCTTCCAGAGGACCCAGGTTCAATTCCCACCACCCACATGGCAGCTCACAACTGTCTGTAAGTTCAGATCTCCAGGATCTGACACCTTCACACCAATGCATATAAAATAAAGTTAAAATTTAAAAAAAAAGAAAAGAAACAATGGTAGTATAATCTCTGCTTGGGCCCAAGATCTTCTCAGCCGTAGGCTTTTGACCAGGTTTATGGTACCAGATGTAGATTCCCTCTTCTACAGTGGGCCACGAATGCAGTCACAAACTGGTTGGTTAACCCCAATATAGTAATGCCACTATTGCACCAGGCGGCATATCTCACCTGGTGAGTCAGTATTGTAGCCAGCATGGACTACAGCTGGATGACACCATTGAAGCTTCTTTTTCCCCAGGAGTCTGAAAGCAGGCAAGCAGAAAAGGCGTTTCCGGTGCAGTTCCAACTTATCTGTGTCCTATAGCCAAAGGTGTGTGGTGTCTTCAGCAGTAGGGTCTTGATATCTAGTTTGGGTCATCAATTAAGAGAGATGCCAATACCCTGTGTTGCTTTGGAGACCACTGGATCCCTTTGGATAACAACTCATAAGGAGGTATTCTACACCTGACACTTATTATTTAAAAGCCTGTGCCTTCTGGGAGCTGCATTACCCACTACCGAAGGTTACTGCCATTTCAAACTCTTCTTACTGTTATTGTTATTTTGTTTTAATTATTTTTTAGTCTATAAAATAATAAGTTTTGCCGGGCGGTGGTGGTGCCCACCTTTAATCCCAGCACTTGGGAGGCAGAGCCGGGCGGATCTCTGTGAGTTCGAGGCCAGCCTGGGCTACCAAGTGAGTTCCAGGAAAGGCGCAAAGCTACACAGAGAAACCCTGTCTCGAAAAAAAAAAAAAACCAAAAAATAAACAAAACAAGTTTCTCTTTATGGCTTTTTCACGCACCCCAAGTTTTCACTAACTCTCCTCTGTTCCTCCACATTTCCCCCATCCTCCCACTCCAAACCCACTTCACCTTTTCATACCTGGCATTTCCTTTTGCCCTACTTTTACCTCTCTTGTGTTGTACTGCCCCCTGCTCCCCCAACCTATGGCCTCTCCTTTCCTCCACGATTCCTTGCTTATTTCTTGGTGTCTTAGTTAGGGTTTCTATCACCGAGACAGAAACACCATGACTTAAAAAAACAAGTTGGGGAGGAAAGGATTTATTGGGCTTACACTTCCACGTTGCTGTTCATCATTGAAGGAAGTCAGGGCAGGAACTCAAACAGGGCAGGATCTGGAGGCAGGAGCTGATATGCAGAGGCCATGGAGGGGTGCTGCTTACTGGCTTACTTCCCATGGCTTGCTCAGTCTGCTTTCTGATAGAAGCCGGGACCTCCAGCCCAGGGATGACCCCACCCACCATGGGCTGGGCCCTTCCCCCTTGATCACTAATTGAGAAAAAGCCTTACAGCTGGATCTCATGGAGGCATTTCCGCAGCTGAGGCTCCTTCCTCTCTGATGACTCTAGCTTGTGTCAAGTTGACACACAAAACCAGCCAGTATACCTGGCCTCTCCACTCATTCCAATTTAAATATAAAAACTCACGTATAAGAAAGAACATATAAGTTGGGCGTGGTGGCACACACCTTTGATCTCAACCCTCAGGAGGCAGAGGTGGGTGGATCCTCTGTGAGTTCGAGACCAGCCTAGTCTACAGAGTGAGTTCCAGGACAGCCATGGCTACACAGAGAAACCCTGTCTCAAAAGGAAGAAAATATGTTGTTTCTCTTCCTGAGCCTGGATTCCTCACTTTGTACAATTTTTTTTCCCCGTTCCATCAATTTTCCTGAAAGTTTCATCTTGCTTATAGCTTAATAAAATCCTGTTGTATATCTGTGGGGCATTTTTTTTATTATTAGTTGATGGACATCTAAGCTGGTCCCACTTTTTTTTTCTTTTTTTTTGGTTTTTCGAGACAGGGTTTCTCTGTGTAGCTTTGCGCCTTTCCTGGAACTCGCTTTGGAGACCAGGCTGGCCTCGAACTCACAGAGATCCGCCTGGCTCTGCCTCCCGAGTGCTGGGATTAAAGGCGTGCGCCACCACCTTTTTTTTTTTTTTTTTTTTAAAGATTTATTTATTTATTTTGTATACAGCATGTATGACTACAGGTCAGAAGAGGGCACCAGATCTCATTACAGATGGTTGTGAGCCACCATGTGGTTGCTGGGAATTGAACTCAGGACCTCTGGAAGAGCAACCAGTGCTCCCAACCTCTGAGCCATCTCTCCAGCCCCCCTAAGCTGGTCCCACTTTTTATCTATTGTAAATAGAGCTGCAAGGAGCATGAATGAACACACATCTCTGTAGTAAGATACAGAATCCTTTGAGCATATGCCTAGGAGTGGTCTAGGTGGGTCACGTGGCAGTACTATTTTGAGTTTTCTGAGGATCCTCCACATCCACTTCCACAGTAATTGTACCAGTCTGCATTCCCACCCACAGGGAATGAGGTTTCCTTTTCCCCACATCCTTGCCAACATTTGCCATCGTTAAATAATCTCATAAACTTTTTAAAGTGTGTGTGTGTGTGTGTGTGTGTGTGTGTGTGTGTGTGTGTGTGTATCTGTGACATGTGAGTAAGTACTGAGAAAGCCAGCAGAGGGCATCAGATTCTCCTGAAGCAGGAGTTGTAGGCAGTTGTGAGCTGCCTGACCTGGGTGCTGGGAACTGAACTGAGGTCCTCTGCAAGAGCAGCAAGCACTCTTAACCACTGAGCCGTCTCTCTAGACGGAAAGAATCTCATGAACTTTGAAGGAGGCAAACCCAGAGCTAGTCCAAATTCAAGCAACAATACTTAACCCAGTGGTCGTAATTCAGTCTTAAGTAAATGAAAGTTGGAAGGCTCAGCTTAAAAGGGAAAGAAAAGAACAAGGGGATGTCATTGTTTTAGACTGCGACATCATTCCCAGCTGTGACAAATAATGAAATCAATGTGAGGAAATTGTTCAGTATCTGGTGCACAGATGGCCCTGAAGACACACAGATGAATCAAATAAGTCACTGACCCCTTCCAGAGTCTATCCAGTTTCAAATCTTGGTAACTATTTTAAGCTTACAGCCTTTAAAAGTTATTCCTAAATACAATGTGCTAAGAATAGCTACTTTTAAATGATAAAGCAGAATAAAAACAAAAAATTTTATGTGTGTGTGTGTGTGTGTGTGTGTGTGTGTGTGTGTGTGTGTGTGCGCGCGCGCCTGCTTCTGTTGTTTGAACAATATGTGAGTTTGTCTAGCTGCTAAGGCTGAGAAACAATGATCTTGTTATTCAAATCACATACCTCTGAGCCCTTGAAATCCATGTTCAGGCTTCATGGCAGCCCCTTTAATGATTCCGTAAGGGTCACTCTGCCTTTTGAGGTTTATAGAGCTTGGAACCTCAGGTACAAGTTGGCCACCAGCACCTGGCACCGTACCTTCAGGAGGCTGGAGTCTGTGTGCACGGTCCTTCCTTCCTCCTCTCTCCTCCCTCCTCCCAGAGCCTCTGCTTCAGGCCAGATTGAAAACCAGCATGGTGGCAGAGTTCCAAACACAAAGTGCCCCAGGGCCTGCACAGCCTCTGCAGCATCCCAGACTAGCCAGGCTTGGCAAAACATTTTTGTATCTTGGTCACGCCTTGCCTTACCTATGCAGCAGCTGCAGGAAGGTCAAAATGCTTTTAGCTGAAATGCAACTGATAAATGGGGGAGATCTTCTTACCCCTTTTCAAAGTTCAAGGATTAAATGAGGGTGGGTGAGGAAGAAGTGTGAGCTAGCTTTCCAATCCTGGGAAGGAGTGAACAGGCAGTCATTCATAAAACTATACAGGCCCACAAAGGAGCATTCTCTCTGCCTTCCACCCTGTACTGGTTAGAGTTTGGGGCAACTTGACACAAACCAGAGTCACCCAGGAAGAGAGTGACTCCATCTCTTGCCTCCATCAGATTGGCTGGTGCTTATGTCTAGGGGACATTTTCGTGATTGTTGTTGATTGATAGCGAAGGACCCGGCCCGTGGTGGGCCAGGCCGGCTCTAGGCAGGTGGACCTAGGCTGTAGAAGAAAGGTAAGCAAGGCCACAAGCAGAGTTCCTCCATGGTCTCTGCATCAGCTCCTGCCTGGGTTTCCCTCAATGATGATCGGTAATCAGTAAGCCAAAAAAAAAACCAACAACAACAAAAAAACAAACCTCCCCAAGTTGCTTTTGGTCAGTGTTTTATCCCAGCAACAGAAAGCTCACCAGGACACACCAGTCCTCTCCTCTCACCACCTTGGAAACTGTCTCCGTGATCATTAGTAATGTCCTCTGTAGCTGCCTGGCCTTAGCTTTGCTTCCCTGCTAGCTCCGTCTGATGTACTCTGGTGCTATGGAGAAGGTAAGATGCCTGGGTGTATCTGGCTTCTTGCCGTGGGATCCCTGCAGTGTGGCCCCAAGCTAAGTCTGCTTCCAGCCTTCAGAATGAGACGGCCTCTCTCATTACCGGCTGGGAACGGGGCCTGCTGTAGATCAAGCCATTCCCACTGAGGGCTGGAGGGTTAGTCTGAGGTTTTCCTCTGTTTTTCTATGGCTCATCTGTGGTGTTTCACTGAAGCAGGACACAGGGACATAGTTTGTGGTCTGGTGAGGCCCAATACACTTCATATCAGAAAGTCAGAGCCACTTTAGCTAGAAAGATAATCCCTGGGAGACTGGACAGGCACCCAGGTCATGGCCATCTTGCTGTGGCCCACAAGCAGACAGCAAGCAGGGTCCCCTTAGCTCACAGAGGAGGGCCCTTCAGCAGGAAAAGCCGCCCCTCCTGTCTGAACACTGCTACAAAGCCCTAAATGGGACCCCTGTGGGGCTTTGTCTGTAAAACCTGCAGAGAATAAAAGCCTGTAAAACTCTCAGGCGTTTGTGCAGCCGGCTCCCTGACTCACTGAGTCTGTGTGTGGTTTTGAGGCTTGCAGGAGTTCAGCCCCCAGAAACGCTACGTTTCCAGCTCCGAAGTAAGAAAAGGAAAGAAAGGGCCTCGAGGGGCCAAAGACTGTGATGGAAGTGTGAGGCGCTGAGTGTGTAAGCTGTCAGTGTGTCCAAAGGCCCCAATTAGGGTATTCACGGAAATCCACAAAACCAAGCCAGAGGCCTAAGAGTGGCCCCTTGGTGCCGTGTGGGTCTGGTTTCTCCTGTGGCACCCAGAGTGGCAGGAATGGCCTGTGACACAGTCAGAACCCATCTGGGTAGACGTGTCACTCACAGCTGAGGACAGACCATTGACCCAGTTATAGAGAGCACAATTGGGTCTTTTCTCAGTGAGACAGGAGCAGGAAGAGATTTTTAGTTCTGAAAGCCCAGGCATCTTCCTGTGAGTGATTTTACACTTAATGCCAGGAAATGGGTTTAGTGGCATTACTGGCGGTGGTCAGTCGGCAGCAGGCCGTTTTTGTACTTGCTAATTCCTTCACTTACCCTTTCTTGAAGACCACCCCCTCCTCCCAACAACAACAAGCACGATCCTTTTGTTGGGTGAAGTGTGGAATCAGGGAGCACATACCTGAGGCTTTGGCTGCTCCTGTGAAAGTAGGGTGCCCTGCAGGGGCCTGGAGCAGCCTCCTGATGTTCTGCAGAGTGGCTCAGGTTAGTACACTGGCCTCAGCGGATTGCATGGTTGGGCTCATTCTGACAGCCACAGACTGGGCCTGCAATGTCTCAAAAAGGCCAATGCAAATGGTCTCCCCAGAAAATAGTTATCCGGTATTCATGATACAAAATGAGCCTTTGAATATTTATTATGAGCACACAGCATTATTTTTTTTTTTCTAAGAACATACAAAGATCTTCTACCACAATGATCTTGTTCCAGCCTTAAAATATTAGCTGTCACTTCTTTCATGGCCCTGGTGAAAAAGGAAATTCTTCAACTCTTTTCCATTTAACACAATCGCCTCCTCATTCACGGATCTCTTTGTGGACACCTAAGCTTGCGGATTATGCCGGTGACATGGCCACAAAGCAGCATGATTGACAGCTCCGGCTGGTGACAGGGTGGTCACATGTGGGACAGCTTCGGTGGGATGAGTCCCGCCCACTGTGGTCTCCCTGGGAAGGGACAGGAAGGTGTGAACAGGAAAGTGTGATACAGACACTCCATCCTCACCTTTGCGGGGATCTTGCTTTTAACTTGAGAGCCCATGGCAGCAGGGAATAAGAACACCTGGAACACCTGCCTGATGCCTCTGTTGGTGCCAGACAGTAACCCTAGGGCTGCTAATCTGCCTCCATGGGCCATGTACCTGTCAGCCTCCTTAAGGTTCATCACGTGTATTTTTCAAGCTGGGTGGGCGGCTTCATATTCCCTAGCAGAGTGCCAATGTGCCTTGTGTACCAGGGCACTGGGTGCAGATAAACTACATACAGGCAAGTCCTGTGCACACCAACCCTATGCAGGAGTACCATGTGCAGGCATGTTATGCACAGGCATGGCCTGTGGAAATATGCAATATGTAGACATATCCTGGACAGACACACTGCCTACAGGCCATATTAGCAGTAGGTTCTGTATATGGACTGAGCCCCTCAAAGAAGTCACAGTGCTAGAGTCTGATTTAGATTCTAGTCTCTGTCCCACCCCTCAGAACCACCCTGGATTCAGACGTGTGAAAGCCTCACTAGCCTCTGGTGCACTGGTTTGGTCACACTGACTTTCTTCACACTTTTCAGGCCACATATATTCACTATCAGAGAGATAAACGTGATGGTAGTGAGTGTGCACACAGCAGACATTCCCTTGATCTGCCTTCCCACAGGCAACCTTATGTCACGGCAGAGACTGGTCCCTGAAAGGAGGCTCTGCCACATTCACTAACATTAGCAGTGTTCCTTGCAGGAAAGGATCCCACAGTACACCGTTTTCTTTCATTCTCTCTTGGCCATGGGCACAAGGCTTCATTGGCCTTTAGGGAGACAGCCTGTGCTCACTCTACAAGGAACCTGTCCCTGCCATCCCAGTCAATACTCAGGAGAACAATGGCTTTATTTGTAGTTTCACAATTTATTTATTTTTATTTTTTTTTAAATTTATTTATTTATTATGTATACAGCATATATGACTGCAGGCCAGAAGAGGGCACTAGATCTCATTACAGATGGTTGTGAGCCACCATGTGGTTGCTGGGAATTGAACTCAGGACCTCTGGAAGAGCAGTCAGTGCTCTTAACCTCTGAACCATCTCTCCAGCCCTAGTTTCACAATTTAAATAACCAGAATGTTTAAAACTTCTTATGTTGCTTTAAGATTGATTTAGAGAGCAGCAGAAGTGGAAACAACCTTCTCACTACGTAGCAGTGAGCCACCAAGTCGTTAAAGCAGCCAAGCAGGGTTGAAATTTAGTTTTCCAACAAGGCAGGTGCCAGGGAGCCCTGCTGGTCTCTCTTCCTGGGACGTCTCTGGGTGGCTGGCCCTGACAGGAACCACTGAGTGCACTCAGCCATTCCCATCTCCTGAACTACATATTAGGAGGTGACTCTGAGAATAGATGTTCCAGACTCAAGGAAACTACCTTAGAACTTGACCAGTCGATGCCATCTCCAAAGCCTTTCAAGAAACACCATCACCAACAGGCAGCATTTGAACAATCCAGACAAATGCTTCAACACCAGTGACATGTTCTCATTAGTTCATGGAACACTGGCATGTTTGGGAGTCCCTCGGGTCCCCCTGACCAACAACTCAAGGGATGGTATCCTTTGACTGCCACTGGGGGTTTTGATAGTCAATGGCTCCTGCTCAATGGAATGTTTGTTGTGTCTCCAGACAGCCGTGCTCCCCATCTAGAAACCAAAACTTCTAGACCAGCAGAACTTAAGTTTGCTAAAAAGGAAGCGAAATTTTCCTAGGGGGTCACTAGGGGCGCTAGAGAGTGGACCCATTCCCTTTACCACCCCTTGATTACTGGACACATGGATCCTAGCCATGGGAGAAACCATACCATATGGTAGATGCTGGTTAAAAATATATACAGCATACAGCCTCTTGAGGAACCCTCCCCCTACACTTCAAAAGGCCATTCCACTGTCCTATCCAGCCAGCTGCTTCAGGATGGTGGGAAATATGGCCAGACCAGAGGATTCTATGAGCATGGGCCCACTGCTGCTCTTCTCTGGCTATGGAGTGAGTTTCTTGGTCAGGAGTAATGCTGTGTGGAATACTATGACAGTAGATGAGGTGTTCTATAAGACCATGGATGGTGGTTTGGGCAGAAGCACTGCACTCAGGAAAAGCAAATCCACAACCAGAATAAGTATCTACCTCAGAAAGGACACGGTGTTGTCCTTTCCACAAAGGAAGTAGTCCAATGTAGTCAACCAGGCCACTGGTTGGTCACCCCAGAGAATGATGCTGTATCAGGGGCTCAGTGTTGGTCTCTGCTGCTGGCAGATCTAGAACTCAGCAGCAGCTGTATCCAGGTCAGCTTTGGTGAGTGGCAGTCCATGTCATCAAGCCTATGTATAGCCTCCATCTCTGCCACCATGGCCGCTTTGTTCATGAGTCCATTGGGCAATGGCAGGGATGGCTGGGGAAAGAGGCTGACTGTCCACAGAACGGGTCATCCTATCTCCTTGATCACTGAACTCCTCCTCAGCTGAAGTTACCTTCTGATGAGCATTGACATGGGACACAAGTATCTTCACATCTTTTGCCCATTGGAAGGGATCTACCCAGGTACTTCTTCCCCAGACGTCATTCTCACCCATTTTTCTGATCATGTTCTTTCCAAGTCCCTGACCATCCAATCAAACTATTGGCTACAGAAAGGCTAAGAATTCAGGAGCTGTTCAGTACACAGGGTCCGACATCACTGCCATCCCAATCTGGTACTGGAATCCATGAGGATTCCTGGAGAGATGCTGTTTTTCAGTCTACGTTGGAATCCTGAGGAAGTTCATTTTACTACTGGCCATAGAAACAGGATAGATGAACTTACCAGCAAGAGTGATGGCAACATCAAAGCTTCCTTCTTCCGTGCCCTTTTATATGGCCTGCCACCAGAAAACGTGGTCCAGATTTACAGTGTGTCTCCGAAATTCAAACAACCTGATTTAAGAAAATCCCTCACAGGTATGCCCAGCAGCTTGGGTTGTAGTTGATCCCAGATGTACTTGGTAACTAAGATCATCCATCACAATAGCTAAGCAATTCACATTACTAATCAGTGCCACTGTTATCACTGGGCTCCAGTCTCTCCTGGAGTGATCTGACAGGCTTTAGAACGGTACATCTCTCTCTTCTCAGGAGACAAGCTGCCCCTTCAATGGGCATCAAGCTCCCAACCTTTTCCTTCTAGCATCAAATTCCTAGGAAAATTCCAGTTTCTTAGGTGCTGCAGTTGCAATAACGTGCTAGCCCAGGAAGGGACACAAGGGACTCTAGAATATCTTCATTTCTGTCAGGATGGTAACCGGCCTTGAAAAATAGATGGGTGGGGGTTGGCCAGGCAGAGATGGGAAGTGTAGAGAAAGAAAACTGAAGAGGTTTTACAATCTTAGAAGAAAGCATTTTGGTGAGAAAAACCTCCTTTACATTATTGCCAACTTTGTTAGAAACTTAAAGAAACGTAAAATTTACACATTAAAAAAAGCATGGAAAAGGCTGTTGATTGCAGAGACGCTTCTCTGATTAAGGCATCTGTTTATGAACATAAATATGTTTAGAAGGCAGTTGATGCTGTCAGTTCAAATAAACAACAAAACTATGTTCTCCTATTGGGATTACACACGCCTTAGGAATGGGTTTTTGACTGATTTTACAGTACTGAGGAGGTTGAGGTGCCCAAGGGAGAGGAAGAAGGAGAAGGTCCTACCAGTAACATGGGTGACAGAGAATACTGAGGAACTCTGTCCCCAAAAAAGATTTCCAAGAAGATTAAAGTTTCATTGACTTACTTCTTCTTTTACTTTCCTGACTGCTCATGTTGAAAGTTGGTCTCTGAGTAGGGCCATCGATAGGTGCTGTCTTAGGGTATAGATTACTGTGAAGAGACACCGTGACCACAGCAACTCTTATAAAGTAAAACACTTCACTGGGGTGGCTCGCTTTCAGTTTCAGAGGTTTAATCCATTATCATCACGACAGGGAGCATGGCACTGTGCAGGCAGACATGGTGCTGGAGTAGTAGATGAGCCCTACATCTTGCAGGCAACAGGAAGTTGACTGACACATTAGATGGTATCCTGAGCATAGGAAACCTGACCATAGGAAAGCCCACCCCCACAGTGACACACTTCCTCCAACAAGACCAAACCCACTCCAACAAAGCCACATCTCCTAAGAGTGCCACTCCCTATGAGATTTTAGGGGGTCAATTACATTCAAACTACCAAAAGTGCTTAGGTCTTGAGGGTCTATCCTCACTAGTAGACTACTCCACTTATGGTTAATGGACCAATGCATCATCTCCAGAAGGGTGCCTGAATGCCAGTCTGGTTATCTATTAGATGTTGTTCTCTTGGTACTATGCAGGGTTCTCACCAACAAGAAGGCCTTCATTGGATGTAGCTTCATGGCTTTGGCCTTCTCAATGCTCCTAACTATAGGAAATAAATTATTTTCCTTTAAAACATTCCCAGTCTCAGGGATTCTGCTACAGTAACAGTACATGGACTAAAGCAGTGCCACCATCCTCAAAGCCTAGTGCTGCACAGCTTTCAGCTTCAGGAGTTGAAATGGTTGCCTCTGAGAGGCAGACTGCCAGAGTGTGGGCATCCACCTATATCTCCTGTCTGCACAATCTAACCCTTCTGAGCCAAAAGACAGCAGCATTTATGTTCATACTGCGATTGCTCTTGGTTTTTAGTAAGCGTGGAATGTCTACAGGCGTTAAATTAGAGCTCATTTAAAACCAACTCACAGAGCTCTTTGTTCCAGATTTTTACCTAGGTATAAATTAAACATCTTTTTAAAAAGACTGACTGTGCAAAAGAGTTTTTGTAAACAGACATTTCCTGTCCCAACCACCCAGTCCCAAATAACCAACTCAGAGACTGAATATGAATTATAAATGCTTGGCCAATAGCTCAGGCTTGTTACTAGCTAACTCTTACACTTAAATTAACCCATATCCCTTATTACACTCTGCCACATGGTGGTACCTTTATTAGCATGGTACATTAATCTCCTGCTTCCTTCTGCATCTGGCTGGCAACTCCTCTGACTCTGCCCTTCTTCCTCCCAGAATTCTCTCTGTCAGGCTGTTTCACCCAATCTCTTCCTACCCAGCTATAGGCCAATCAGCTTTTTAAACAATGAAAGCAATGCACATTTACAGTGTACAAAGATTGTCCCACACCAAGTTTTTCAAAGTTTTTGTTTTATGTTCTGGTACTAAGGACTGAACCCAGGATCTTTCGCATACTAAACATGTAAACAAACATGCTTCCTACAACCCAAATGAGGATTCTTTACTCATAGAAGCACCAATCATTGTTAAATTATCACCAGATTTTACATGTAATTCTTTACAGGATGTCTGACACTGTGCTGGTTAAATCTGCAGTATAACTAGTTTTTAAAATAAGTAGCCACTGTGTTATCTAGTGCTGCAGAACAAATTACCATAGACATCATGGTTTAAAACTATTTATTATTTCTGTGTAAAAGAATTTGGGCAGTTTGGTTGGGCAGTGCTCGGGACTCTCCTTTGGCAAGGCTGTTAACATGGCATTGCCTGGGACTGGAGTCTCATCTGAATGCCCACCAAGGAAGTTCACTTACTGACCGATCTAGTAAGATCTGGGCCAAGAGCTTCAGTGTGTAGTTCGCTGTGGGTCACAGGCCACCCACAATTCCTCCCACGATAGCAATTGGCTTCCCTAAGGCCTCCAAGGAGTCTGTTAGCAACACAGTCATCAGTACTTTTGGGAACATGACTACTGGAGGGAAACAGTCAACCCTGGGGAGGGAGTTACATAAGGCTGTAACAGGGCTGGGGCCATTAAAGAAGCTGTCTAGCCAGGTGGCGGTGGTACTCGTCTTTAGTCCCAGCACTTGGGAGGCAGAGGCAGGTGGATCTCTGTGAGTTCCAGGCCAGCCTGGGCTACAGAGTGAATTCCAGGAAAGACTCCAAAGCTACACAGAGACCTAAAGACCCCAAACGTCATGTTTCCAAGACAATAATGAGGCACAGGAACTGAATACCCAGAAGAAGTAGGAGGTAGAGTCATTTTTAAAGTGTTCCATTTGTTTCCATACTTTTTCTCTTGAGCATAACATAAAGGCAAAGCAGCAGTTTCACAGAAACAAACAGCACAACCCTCAGGAAATGAAGGACCAGAAAGAACATTACAAAACATGCACTACTCTTGAATCTTCTGGAGTGTGGTCAAATGCCCACACAAATGTGAAGTGACATCACATGTGACAAATGAAATCTGTAGTAAGCTGGATCGGGAAAAGTACTACCTGCGTATCTTGTTGAAATCTTTTGCAGAGGGCCAAGTGTGGCGGTGCATGCCTTTAATTCCAGAACTTGGGAAGCAGAGGTAGGTTGAGCTCTGTTGAGTTCAAAGCCAGCCTGGTCTACACAGTGAGTTCCAAGACAGCCAAGGCTACATAGAGACCCCATCTCAAAAAGCAAAATAAAACAAAGAAACAACAAAATGTTTGCCAAAATCCTCCCTTCTTCTTTCTTTTTGCTTTTATACTGGTTCTCACTCCATCCCAGGTTGGCTTCTCATGCCAATCCTCTTGCATCAGGTTCCTAAGTGCCAGCACCACAGGCATGAGTTATCACATCTGGCTTTACAAGTCTGATCTCTAGGCAAGAGAAAAATGAGAACGCAGAGATTTGCTTTTCTGTCAGACTCACAATTATTCCTTTTAACTGTAGTTGGGTTTAAGTAATCCAAACTTAAAATGCTACCCAGACGAAATCCCAGGTCTACTCGGCAGCAACACCGATGCTTCTCAGAAGGCTGCTGGCTGGGCCTGTGACCATGCTCAGAAGATGCGCCAGTGACTAGCCAGATGCAGTCACTCACCTTACACCTTCTGGGTGGCATGCTGCCTTCCTGACCTCATATGCACTGCCCTTTAACCATTCCTGCAGGAGGTCCTTCCCATCCCCTTTTGAGCCCACAGAATTCCCCTCATTCTGTCAGGCGGTACGTGTCTGCAAAGGTCATGTCCAAACTGCATCCAGGAGCAGCTGTCGTGTCCAGAGCTAAATACAGTAAGCAACACTAGGAGACAAACCACCTTTCCCACTGTCTTTACAGAGAACAGGAAGACACTATCTCGGCAACCAGCTAACAGAGAAAAGAAATTTCTTAGGGGAAAGAAAACTATGCGATAGAGGAGAAGAAATCAGAACACATTCTGAAGCTTGGGAACAATTAGAAGGATAAAGTCAAATTCTAATTTTTATAATGTGATATCATATAGAAAGACAAGCTCAGTGAAAAACTCAAGTTTATTTCTGAATACACCACATTAAAACATATGCTGTATTTATTCAGAATGTCATAATCAATGCAAAAATAGAACTTCTCCCCTGTAAATGTTAACACTGTGAGCTAGATACATGATATTTAGTCAGGGCTTCGGGACTGAATTCTTTAAAAACAAATCTATACTTTATACATACTGGATTTATATACAAAATATATACAACAGCATAACTTTGGTGTAGAAAAATGAGATTACCAAAATATACCGGGTCATTTACACAAAATGTATTCTAGTTAACTTTTTCCAAGGGCTTCACCAATTAGCCGAACAGCAATACTCTTGCCTTCATCTGTCTGGATCACAAGCAGAGCTTCAAATCTGCCCACTGACTCTGGTCTGAAGTGCACGGGGATGTGGATGTAATGCCGGGCTCTGTGGAGAAAAGAAATGGGCGGGTGTGAAGTGACCGCCATCAGCAGTCACCTGCCACAGCCCAATGCTGGCACAGGCTTGATGAATCAAGAAGCACAGAATCCTATTTAAAATTCTTTCTTTTGTTTTTACAGACAGGGTTTCTCTGTGTAGCCATGGCTGTTCTAGAACTCCCTCTGGAGACCAGGCTGGCCTGGAACTCACAAAGATTCGTCTGCCTCTGCCTTCTGAGTGCTGAGATTAAAGGCCTGTGCCACCACACTCAGCCTATTTCTAACTTTTTAAAGCTAATATTTAACAAGATGCTGACAGAAAGGCAAGGAAAATCTAAAATGGAGACAGTACAACTGGAGAGCGTCTGCCCAGCATGCCTGCGGCCTGTGCTTTAACCCCAAGCACTGCTTTTGTCCCCTTGAGACAAGGTTCTCATATGCTCAGGCTGCCTCAAACTTGCTGCACAGCCAAGAATGACCTGGAACTTCAAATCCCTTACCTACACCTCCCACACTAGAATTCTGTGATGACCCCAGGGCTTCATGCCTGACAAAGGTAAGCACTCTTCCCGACTGAGCTACACCCCAGCCCCAAAACAAACAAAATGAAAATCAAAACAAAACACTCAGACTAACACAATATTGGGATTCTGTCTCTGGCTAGCAAATTAAAACAGGAAAGAGGGAATGTACATTGCTTCTCTGTACCTCATATACTAACACAAGTCACTACCTACAAGTGAGAAAAAAAAAAAAACAACTAAAAATCCTGGCTTTACCTAATTCAGGCAGCACATTGTAAAGAATTTAAAACCTGTCCCATTCTTATCAACGCTACTGTGCAATTTTGCTCTAAAATCTGATACCTTTATAAAAATTATTCTTGGAAGCTTTATTTTCCGATTATATAGACTGGCAAAGAGTGCCTATGTTTAAGAGCAATATTAACGGAGGCTTGTTCTTGTCCATAAAACTGTGCCCCCTTAGCCCAGCAGTGGTGGCACATGCCTTTAAACCCAGCACTGGGGAGGCAGGTGGATCTCTGAGTTCTAGGCCAGCCTGGTCTACAGAGTGAGTTCCAGGACAGCCAGGGCTGTTACACAGAGAAACCCTGTCTCAAAAAACAAAAAACAAAAACCTACACCAAACAAAACTGTGTCCCTAGATATACTGTATGGCTGTGGTGAATGATCTGTCTGCTCTTTATGCAGCCATCAGCTTTGGTTTAATCACTCTAAGTCAAAGCTGGGAGCTTTTAGACTTTCCCTCACGGCAAGGCCCTTCCTTCATCCTCGTCGCTGCCCAGAGTGACACGCTCTGAGGTTTGATGGTCAGAAACAGCACAGACTCTCACTAACAGCGTCCTCCTAATGAAACCTCTACTGGCTTTTGGGTGCAGAAGAGCATGCTGGGCTGGAAAGATGGCTCAGTGTTTAAAAGCACCTGCTGCCTCTTGCAGCAGACCCGGGTTTGATACCCAGCACCCACATGGAGGCTCATAACATCCGTAACACCAATTCCAGGGGATCCAATGCCCTCCTCTGCATTAGTTGGTCCCAGGCACACAAGTTACACATGTAGGCAAGGATTCATACACAGAAAATATAAATCAATCTTTTTAGAAAGTAGAAGGAGAGAACTAGTTGCTAAAAAGGTGTCCTCTTATCTCCATGTGTAGTGTACACACAGCCATACCAGTGCATGGTGACCCCTCCTCCCATATACATAATTACAAATAAAATTAGTCCTAAAAAAAAAAAAACTGGCATACTCTCTCAGGTTTCTAAGTTTCTTTAGATCCAGTATGATGGGATGGTTAACACTGTCAATCAGACAGGATGGGGTAGCCTTAGATGGGAAGACCCACAGGAATTCTGCACAGCATCAATCCATGGGCTGGATCCTGGATTGAGTACCAAGCAAGGAAGCTGACCACCAGCAGTCATCTCTTTTCTGGCTTCCTGACTGCAGATGCGTGTGACTAGCTAGCTCACAATCCTGCCTCCGTGAGGTGAAGGGAGCCCTTCCTCCTCCAGTGGCCGTGTTGTTAGGTGTTTTGCCTTGGCTAGGAGAGAAGTAACTAAGACACCCAGCTTGTATACAAACATGGGGCTCAACTATGCTATCTTCTAGCTCTAGGACAACAAGTCCACAACACAATTCACCTCAATTATAATGTTTACTTTTACCTGTGTTAACAATGTGCACTTTTTTTTTAAGGACAGAGTCTCATCATGTCTGTCTTAGACCTGTCACAGTCCAGGACAAGCTTCCATCTGCTGCAGCTCTCAAGGTACAAGAAATGACAGGGGTGTGCCACTATGACCGTCCACACTTCCTACATTTAAAAACTGGTTTTTGGAAGCTGAGTAAAATGCTATCTCGTATAAACATACGTATTTCTCATTAGTTCCTACTGTGGCTGCTACAGTGCAAGCTATAAGAATCTACAAGCAGCAGCAAAGTGGGACTGATTCCAGGCAGCTTCACACAGATAAACTACATCTTGTTAAAAATGGAGATGAAGCAAAAACATGAAATCATCTGACATTTCAACTGTCAAAATTACATTGGAATTTAGGTGATGTCAATATTTAATGAATGTGTAGTGTCTCAAAGATAACTAATTCTATTACCAGGAACAGACTGAATGCCTGTGGCCCTGCCCTTAAAGCCTGTCTTACACCTGTAATGGCTCAAAAACAAACAAACAAACAAAACCATGAGTCTCTGGGTAAGAAGAAAACAAGGTCTAGTCTTAGGCCTAACTCGGTGACATCTGACGGATGAGAACTGGGAAACATCACAACAAATGCTTCCCCAATTCACTGCACAACTTTTGTCTCAATCAGTGAAAACTTCAACTCATGGCCTCAGAAGTGACCAGTGAAAACAACATCTGAAGCAGAAACTATCCTACCAGTTAGCCGTGAGGTTATTAAGCTACAAGCCAGAGGGATTAGCACTGGAGCAAAGCCTGCAGGCTGCCACACTGTCAAGTGACCCACAGGGACCAACGACACACTCTAGGCAGTCTCCACTTCCTTGGCTACTTGTGAAAGTGAGCAGAGAGCACCTCGCTGCCAGCACCAGGAAGAGAAGCTGTAAAGAGGAACCTCCTCCTGCCCTCAACCCCAAAGCAGGCCCTGTACCCTCAGAAGAACACGGGCTTTCTTGATAAACTCACCTCAAAGAGTATTTGGAGTGTTTGATGTAGAAAGGCTCTCTGGGGCTCAAAAACTTCAGCTGGAAGTGAACAGGTAACATTTTGTGACAGCAGGAAAATTTGGTATTTGTCATACATAAAACCTGGCTTTGCTTAAAAGATAAACTGCATAAATTTAGATTCAGCCACAAAAATTAGGCAGGACAACAGAGAGTTGTGTAAATAGGAACACATTTTTAAAAGAGTTTTAACGTGAATTTTCTCCAGTTTTGACTAATGTAAATGTTACCTAGAAATGTACTGTGTGGTAGAGGATACAGAAGAAAAAAAAAGGTTAAAATTCTTTAAATTTGATTTTTAGATAAGAGATCATGAACTGCAAATGAATTTCTTTTCAGAGACAGTATTAAAGCATTTTTAAAAATTAATGCATTACAATTAAAATATTATAGAATATATTTCTAATCATTAAAAATGACCTTTTGGAAGCCCACAATAACATTTTCAACTTACTTTATGAGTTAAAAAAGAATTATTTCGCAAATTGACTTTCAGGGTCCTGGATTCCCCAAGTTTGGTTGGCAGGAACATGTAGACATCCTTCGGGGCATAGACTCCACAGTGACTCGAGTCAAGCTGCCTGCTTTGGGGACAGGGTTACAATGACAGGCCATTACTCAGTCTGTAGCAATGTTTCCATGCACTACATTATGGAGTAACTCAGAGACTCTTGTACTGGAGCTCATCTGGTCTATACAGTAACGCCACAGGGAGGATCTTCCAGGAGTGCTGGGTTAGAGGCACGGGGAAGGTGCCTTCGTCCTCACTTCCACTTCAGTTCTGGTCACCTGGACCACTCATACTTACAAAGATGCTGACCTCTCTGAGACCCTTGGCCTTTCCCATGGAAATGGGGGTACTGTATCTGTTTCAGTCCTGATTCCTATACAGTGACTTTCTGCCTCTCTCTGGACTTCAATCTGCTGGCATGACACTGTCCCCAGCAGCTGTCTGCCACCTTTCCTGTTTACTTCCCCAGGACTTCTCGGGGCTTATGATCCAACTCACCAGTGTGAAGACAGGACTGTCAGCCACCGCCTCCCCCATCTGAAAACTATGGAGGCAAGACCAAAGCAACCCACCACCACCACCTTTAGCATTGTTTAGCATCAGAGTTCAAAGAATATGAGATGAACAGAGAAGTGGACAGCAAGCAGAAAGATGACGCACTTTCAGGGCTGGAGATAGGGCTCAGTAGTTAGGAGCACTTCCTGCTCTGATAGAGGATCTGAGTTTGCTCTGAGCACCCACACGGTGGTTCACAACTGCCTAGGAACTCAGTTCTAAGGGATCTGATGCCTTATTCTGGACTCCAAGAACACCTGCACTTAAGTGGCAAAAACTCACACAAGCACACATATTCATCAAATAAAAATAACATAAATCTTAAAAAAATAATAACAATGATGAACTTTCAATCTGGGCATGATGGCTGTAACCCCACTTCTTGGGAGGTGGAGGTAAGAGATGAGAAGTTTAACATCATCCTCAGCTACACAGCAAATGTAGGCTAGCCTGGCCAAAACAAACAAACAAACCAACCCCGACTTTCTTAAGAATTTGATTGTTTTTATTTGTGTGCATATGTCTATGTCTATGTCTATGTAAGGGCCTGTGTGTGCAGTACCCGTGGAGGACAGAGGGGGGCACTGACAAGGGCGCTGGGAACCATACTCCAGTCCTCTGCAAGAAGAGCAAGTGCTCTTGACTGCTGAGCCATCTCTCCGGCCCCAGAATCTATGCTCATACCCTTCTTATGGGAATATACAACAGTACAAACACTTTGGGGGAAATTAGTTGCCAACTTGTTTTAAAGCTAAACATGCTTATCATGTGATCCAGCAGTTTTGGGTAATAATTAGTTATTTTTATCCAAAATGAATAAAAATATTTATCCTCAGAAATGTACATGAAAGTCAGGTTTAGTGAGTGGTGCACACCTTTAATTCCAGCCCTTGGCAGGCAGGCAGACAGGCGGATCTGTGAGTTCCAGGACAGACAGGACTGCACAGAGATACAAACGAACAGAAGAGCGTGGAGGTGACTCTTGGAAGCGCAAAGGGATGTTAGTGCTACACCTTTATCTCACTGACACGGGCAGAAACTCTCAGGAGGGACACAATGTACACACCCAGGGATGCCAGTGGATGTCTCGGGCACAGCAAGCCTCCAGGACATGACTGCAGGATCTACTTTAATGAGGGTATCTCCGGAGGAGTATGAGTCTTCAGAATCATTTCCTGCTCTGATGCTCTGTGTAGAAAAACAATCATCAAGTGGAAGGAGAAAAGGTGAATACTCCAGAAAGCAAGGACATTTCCTTATGGGAATTATTTTCTTTAAAAAACTGTGAAGATCGCTGGGCGGTGGTGGCGCACGCCTTTAATCCCAGCACTCAGGAGGCAGAGCCAGGCGGATCTCTGTGAGTTCGAGGCCAGCCTGGGCTACCAAGTGAGTTCCAAGAAAGGCGCAAAGCTACACAGAGAAACAAAACAAAACAAAAACAAACAAACAAAAAAAAAAAACCTGTGAAGACATGATTATTTTTAAATCCCTTGAACTGCAAACTCTGTTCTGCATAATGTCTAATTCTGTTGCCCCAATGCAAATTCCCATACACACACATACATATAGACAGCAGCTTACATAATTAAGTCAAACATGAGGGCATGTGCAGTATAGACAATAGACCCAAAAGCAGACTGCAAAGAAGTCAGTTGACTGATAAGAAACTTAGGATATGAGGCTACAACAAATTACTGGACATGAAACCATATCAGGAAATTATTATGTATTTTCAGATGTTTTTCCACTTATATACACAATCATCACTTATTGTACCTAGGACAATACTCACCTGTCCAGAGAGCTGGAATCTCAATGTGTGTTTCATGTGAGGCTCTTTAGCAGGGTGGCACTCAACATCCCAAAACTGGGCATAATCCCCTCTGTCTCTGGGCAGAAACATGATGGAGACCTACATAACACACAAGATCCCAACTTTAAACAAAGTTTAGTGTAAACCAAGTAAAAGAGCAAATACATTTATATTGGCTAGTTCCCCGCCCCCCCCCCCCCCCCCCGCCAGAAAAATTGGATTTGAGGGCTAGAAAGACGGCTCAGTGCTCTTGCAGAGAACCCAGGTTCCATTCTCAGTACCCATGTGATGGCTCACAACCATCCATAACTCTTGTTCTAGAGGATCTGGGGCCCTCTTCTGGCCTCCTCAGGCACTGCATGCACATGGTACACAAATATAAACGAATAAAAAACACTCATATACATAAACTAATAAAATACCTTTAAAAGAAGGATTTGACAATTTTATCATAGTATAACATATCCAAAATATGTAACTTTCAAAGCTATCTATAACATTTCCCTCAAATGTGCAGTATACGCTTTTTTGGAGGAAAATCTCACCATGGAAACAATCTACTCTTTCAGCCTGGTCATGGAGGCCTTCTCAGTGCAGACACGAGAACAGTGGAAGGTTAGGGTGACCAGCACAATAAAGCAAATGGTGCTAGGTTAGAGGAGCTCATACAGTAAGTAATTCAGAGTGCGAGTCAGAGCTAGCTGTCCTGCTTACAGAGCTTAGGTATACATCAACCTGCTCATGCACAACCTGTGATGTTCAACTGATGAGGCTTAAGGGACCCCCAAAGGCAATGCTGGCTGGTGACAGCAGGAGAAAGGCTTCCAACAGTGATCTGAGCTCTGCAGCAGTATGCAGTACCCGGGGTCTGAAGACAACCTGCACAGCAGCAACCACAAAACCCCTGCTTCTCTTACAGGCTGTGTCCAAAGGCGGCCCTCAGTCACAACCGGCTGGATGGAACCCAGCAACCAACAACTGTCAGCTGCTGGCTTCCCTGCAGCCGCTAAGGCAGCAAGGGAAATGAAGCTCACACACACACATCCCAGCTGCCACTGAACCCATGCAAGAATCCCCCAAAGCAGCAAGCTATGCCTGGCAGCCTGACGAGGTGGGGAAGATCCCAGGGACACCGCAGTGGTGGCTAGGAATAAGGCAAACCCTACCGAACAAAAACTGATAATGCAGCTGGAGTGGAGCGCAGGCGCATCGAAGAGGACCACCACCACCACCACAGCAACAAAATGGCTCCTGGTGGAGAACGCAGGAGCTGCTCCTCTCTGCAAAGGTCATTAGCCACCTACAGCTGAGGAAAACAAGGGGTGCCCCCTTTGACAGCTAAGTATGTGCCTCCCTACCACCTCAGTGGCAGGGAACAGAGCCTACTGACCTGACTGAGTATACCCTTGAGTTTTGGTATGCTTTCTCTTTCTCCTCCTGGGTTTGATGGGAGGGAGAGCTCAAGAGAGTCAGATATATGGGTCAGATTGCCTGAGGAGGAAGAGAAGGAAGACCTCAGAGCCTGGCTCCCAGCCAGGATCCACTCAGCCTGCTCTGCAGCCAGGAAAGAAGACTGCCGCCAAGACCAACCCATCGGTGGCTTGCTGCAATGGCAGTTTCTGCTTCAAGTAAGGGACTCACAGGAACTCCTAATGCTCTGCCCTCCAAGATTCAACCTCCAACTGCAGGCAGGGGGGACTTGTTCTTGCCTTAGCCTCCAAGACTCAAACAGGAATCCACTTCTGCAGCTGTGACCTGCTTTCTGCAGATTCGCTCTACATGGAACTATTGTTGGTTGGCATCCCGAGACCCTGTGAAGGCTTCAAGCTGTATCACTTGGTACGGTCTCTGGGCTGGTATCTTATCTAGTGCACAGGGCTGCAGTCCATGTTCCCACTGAAGCTGTTGCTCCCATGTGGCAAATAAAGCTCCCTCTGAGACCCTGATTCCCTCCACTGTTGGCCCACTCCATTCTTAGATATCCTGGGACAAGAGAATTTGCCATCTCACTATAATCATGTGACAATATTTTAAAGCAGTGCTTTATAAAAATCAGTGTTTAAGCCTTGGCTTTATCAAAGAACAGTGATCATAATAAGTTAGTGTCTCCAAGTCTGGACTAAAACATTAAAACATGTAAGTGACCTCATTCTTGCCTTGCAGAGCATAAGGATAATAACTCAGATTCTGAGAGCTTAGAGGGACGGGCAGAAGAGGCCCAGGCGAGAGCACCAGTCCAGGGGGTCGAACACACAATGAAGAGGAGGGGACAAGCTTGAAAACAATGACATCCTGTATCGGTATAAAACAGGCAACTGCTCTAAAACACCGAGAGCCATGCCTCTTTAAAAACTAAATTCAAAGCATAACAAAGAGGAAAAAACAACCAGTATTACAGCACACCACACACTCCATACACACCCCCAAAACTTTCATGTTTATTACCTCATTTGATTCTTTTTTTTTTTTTTTCAGAGCTGAGAACCGAACCCAGGGCCTTAAGCGCTCTATCACTGAGCTAAATCCCCAACCCCTCATTCGATTCTTATATCACAGTGGTCAATACTTCAAAAGTCTACTGCACACAACTGCTATTTTTCCATGATGCAGCTGCCCAGGAGTCACCCTATATTCCTATTTAGTAACTCAATTCACCAGGCTAGACTAGGTGCAATTATTTATTGTCAGTGTCCTCTCTAGACTGAAAGTCTATTTATTCACATTTCCCTAGGAAAAGTCATACAACAGCAAAATATAAAATAAAAAACACCATGGAGCTTACATTTCTAAGTAAATATAGATAGATAGACAGATAGATAGATAGATAGATAGACAGACAGACAGACAGACAGACAGACAGACAGACAGATAGATAGATAGATAGATAGATAGATAAGAAAGAATTCTTGGCGCTCTAGCCACAGTGTGTGTAGCCCTGAGACCTCATCTGAGAAGTTTCTTTGGGCAGCGGATGGTGGTTACTGTAGAAACTCACAAATGGTCAGAATGCCAGGAGTCATTATCCAGGGAGTGCTCAGTCACAAATGGACATCTCAGCAGGGTCCCTTGAAGCTGGAGATACAGGCCGTTATCAACCACCTGATATGGGTGCTGGGAAACAAACTTGGGTCCTCTGCTAGAGCCAGAAGTGCTCCTAACCACCGGGCCATTTCTCTAGACCTCTAGCTAAGGCTTTGAGTAGGATTATGTATGTAACAAACAATGAAAAAAGTGGTCATGAATTTGAAAGAGAGTAAGAACTCCTTGGTTTTGGAGTTCTTGGAGGGAGGAGGGGAAGAAGGAAACAATGTAAGTATATTATCTCAAAAATAAAAGAAATAATTTTAAAAAAATCATCCTTTGAAAATAATAAAAGCTCACAACAGCTGGAAGGATTTGCTGCCCATGAAAATATTCTGATAACTATGCTGTGACGTAGAATTGGGTTTCAATGGCCATGGTTGGCAGGCAGACCACTGTCTTGACTGAACGCTCACAGCTGTAATCCCTGTCAGCAAACTGGATGCTGCTCAGTAGACTTCCTACCACAGCACAACGGAAGTGTGCTTGTACCAGCAGACCTCTTCTCCAGTGGACAGCTGGCTCTGAGGCCAGCTCTGGTCTGAAGTGACCAGGTCACATGATTCATTCCTCATAGAATAATATCATGTTCTTATCAGCTGCCTATGAAAAACTTCCACAACTCACCTTTTGGATTCCATGGCCTTCCAGTGTGCCAGAAATAGGTTTACATCTGAATGCTGTGTAAGTAGCTCTAAAAACATCTCCAGTTTCATCAACTCCCTGGAAAATAATCATTTTAAATAATGATTTAATTACTATTCAAATGATAAAGAATCTCATAATATAATAAATTAATAAAAAAGATCCCATTATTCTTATAGTAATGGAGGACAGGACAAATCCATCTTAAAAACAGGTCAAGAACCATCAGTACATTCCTAGGAAAGCTCCGCCCATGCCATTACGTCAGCAGTTCCCTGGGGCTGAAACATGACAGACCGAACAGCAATGAGTGAACACAAAACACGGTGCGCGTGGAAAGGAAATAGGGTGTGCACACGTGGGGCTCGATAATAAAACCCTTCACATTTCTCAAACTAATTTATTTCAGGTAAAAATCAGAACTAGGAAAATTAAATGGAGCAAGCATTTTTGTATGTTTTACACTTTAAAAAAAGCTTTCTAATTTGACTCTCAGAATTATCTGGTGAAAAAGCATGGGTAAAGGCCATCCCCACCTACAGAAAAACACCAGTGCATGAAGTGGTGGAATGAACAACCAGCATCTCAACCTGTACTTGTAGTCAGGGTTTTTTATTTTTGTTGTCGTTGTTGTTGTTTTCAGAGCTGAGGACCGAACCCAGGGCCTTGCACTTGCTAGGCAAGCGCTCTACCACTGAGCTAAATCCCCAACCCTATAGTCAGGGTTTGAAACAGCCCACAGTCTGAACAGTTTAGATGACTGACCTTGACATACGGGGGAGCAAAAGATGACAGGTGCCACCTCACATCTGTGGGGCCACAATTCTCCAGTTCCAGATAGTTCTCTGAAAAGAAAAAATGCACATTTGTACTCTGAGAGGCTAGTGGCAAGCAGCTCTGTGAAAAACCTCATGACCTTACAGTCAAGTAGAAACTGCAGACGTTTGTTTCTAGAGAATCAGAGATACTGTTTTGGATTTTTTTTTCTTCAAAGAAAAATGCAAAGATATTGAAGGACTGAAACAAGAGAACACGATTATAATACAATGGGAAGACAGGTGTCAATGACTCACATGGTCAGACTAGAGAGAGGAAGGTTCTGTCCTGGGTCCGACACCTCTAAGAACACATCACCTGAGCAAAGAGCAGTCACTAGTCTGTTTACAGGCCACTGCTCAGGGAGACCAGAAAGAAGGGGGAAGGGCATGGGTGGCAGGAGGGTGTAAGTGGGCCCAGGGCTCAGATGTAACTTCAGAAGCCGGGATACAAGAGTCTCGAGAAATTCTGAAAGGAACGGAGCAGGAAAATCCAGGAGTATCACCAGTACCCGAGGTGTGAAAAGTTCATGGAGGAAGGGTCAGCGTCACCTAAGAAGCTACGGATACAGCAAAACAGCTCTGATCAAGCTGGCCAGGCCTCGTGATGGCACCTAACCAAACCAAGAAAGGGAAGGCAGGGAGCAGGACCCTTCTACAGAGGGTGTGCTGAGAAGGTAGTGGTTATGGACAAAGATGAGGGGGTGGGGGTAAAGGTGTCTGTGATGGTAGCACACACTGTGGGCTCACTAAAAGGAGCCAACAAAGGAGAAAAGGAGGGCAAGAGGAAGGGGTGGGGGCAGGGAGAGTCCTGAGAAAGCAGAGTAGATGGTTTTGACTAGATTTAAAAGCAGAAGGCTTCCTTTATGACAGAAAACAGATTTCATTTAGCCTGATGACTTCTCTCTGTGTGAGGCAAAGTCAAGGAACAGCTGGGACATGGACTGCTGGTGAGAACACATGATAAAGGGACATCTGGGACTGTGAATCTGTCAGCAAGCCTATATGGTTTTGTCCAGTGATGCCCTGACACACGAGTGGCCAGACAGCTAGGTTTGACCAAGGTTTAACAAGAAGGCACAGGAGCCAAGGGAAAGGGGGGAAGGCTATGATTATCAGGACAGGCCATAGGACTCAAGGAGTCAGGAAAAGAAGTGGTAAGGCCATGAAGGCTGTGGACCTTGGAATGGAGACTTCAACAAGGTTGGAAAGACTGAAATCCCTGAAGCAGGGGAAAGACAGGGACGGTCTTAAGATAGAGTGAGAGCAGAGTGAGCTACTGGGGTAAATAGTAAGATCCAGGAGGCCTACAAAGGAGGAAACAAAGTCAATGAAAGGTACTGTATGTCTCAGTGAGACAGGGACCCAAATCTTTTCTAGAACACCCAAATAATACTATTCATTTAGCAAAAGTCAGAGAGGAAAAGGTAAAAGAGACATTAACTACAGAGTACCTACTGGATGGTAAAGACCATGTTCATTGCTGAACAAATCTGTTCAAAACTGAACAAATGAATGACTGAATCTACTCTCAGTATGCCCCAAGCAAGTGATGGTTACAACAGTCCCTTAAGACATGGGGAATGAGAAGGGAAGCTAGCCTATTGAGGACCCAAATATCTATCAGTATCAGAGCCTTGGTCTCACATCTACACTGTGGTGTGGTGTGAAAATGGCCCCCATAGGCTCATAGAAAGTGGCACTATTGGGAGGTTTGGCCTTATTGGAGTAGGTGTGGTCTTGTTGGAGGAGGTGTGTCACGGAGGCTGGGCTTTTAGGTTTCAGAAGCCCAAGCCAAGCCCAGGAGCACTCTCTCTTCCTGCTGTCTGCCAATCTGGATAGGAACTCTCAGCTACCTCTCCAACAGCATGTCTGCCTGTGCATCACCATGCTACTTAACATGATGATAATGGACTAAACCTCTGAACTGTAAGCCAGACCCAGTAAATGTTGCTATGGTCATAGTGTCTCTTCACAGCAACAGAACCCTAAGACACCCATCTCCTTTCTTCTTCAATTACTAGGTTAGAGATCTGGTTGGAACAGGATAGCAATGACCATTCAATAATACCTAAATACCAGGAATACACAGTTATTTGAGCCGAGGCTTCAGAGTTTAAGATTGTATTTCCAAATCCATCCCATTATTGAAATGACTGCCAATGACTCCATAATTTTCTCCTTAAGTATGAGGAGTAAATTTTGTATGTATTTGCTTAAGATGAACTTCCAGCACAAGGGGCTAGAAGTATAGTTCAGCAGCAAAGCACTAACATGTGTGATGCCCTGGTTTTGAGACCTGGTATACAAATGCACAGCTACATTAAAAGCAAAGCACTAGACTATACACAGCAGCTGACATCTGACTGACTTAACTTTGTGATACAATACCTGAGGTTTTACCAGGTTCTGTTGGAGGAAAAATCACTGTCTTGCTTCTAATTTCAACTTTTGTGGAAGGTGGTTTTGTTATTGGTTTTGTCAAATGGCTAATGGAAGGTTCAGGTCCTGGGGCAAGATTTCCAAATGTACTGGAGGCCAAATGAGGTAAAGGTTCTTGAGTCAAATCTTCTCGAATTTGAACTTTTACCATTTTCTGAAATAGGTCAAATGAGTAAGACACATAAGTAACTACCAGTTTAAAAGGCACATTCTGGTTTTTAAATTATGGTAAAGAGATTCCAAACAAATGAAACACTGATGAATTTAGAAATTAAAGTTTATTCAGATCTCAAAGAAGTATATCCTTTGGTTCTAGCTCCTCTCTCAGCATTAGCTTTCTTCCCTCCCTCCTTCCTTCCTCTACTGTCCCTGCATGTGTGTGCATGGGTGTGTGAGTGTGCATGCACATGTGCCTGAGCGCTCACGGGGGTGTTGGTACTCCTCTTCTATCTTGTTTTGAGTAAGGCTTCTTATTTGTCACTGTGTACACTGGCTAAGACGCCAGTGAGTTTCCAGGGATTCTCCTGCCTCTGCCTCGCATCTTGCTATGGGAGCCCTAGGATAAGCAGATGCACACTCCTATGTCTGTCTTTACACAGGCTCTGGGGCTCTGAACTCGGGTCCTGACACTTAGAAGGCAAGTGCTTACCCACTATGTCACCTCCCTGCCTCCCTCCTTCCTTCCTTTTTGATTTTAAAGCAAATAATTTGCAATAGTTTCTGGGTCCTTATTTTCCATCCCTGTCTCCCAATAAAACTGTTCAGATCACTAAGGGCAAAATTCTGTACGAAGTGCTCTAAGAAGTATACCTACTTGGGTTTCATTTGACTTCCAAAATGTAAAAGTTATTAAGGACTGTGAAACTGAAGCTACAAAATAAAAAGAATGGTGCTCAGAAAAATAACTTAGACATACCTTCTCTCCATTATCACAGTGAACGTAGATCAAGCCGGACCATGGGAACATTGATTGTTTTGTGGACAGGGAAGAATTGGGACTCACAAGAATTTGTATTTTACTCCTTTAAAAAAAAATTAATAATGAACACTGAGAATACTCTTCACTTTTACAGTAGTAATGACAAGTTACAAATATTGTTCTACAATAACCAATCTGTGGTGATATTTTATTTGTATGTTAATAAAGTTTGCCTGGAGAGCAGAGGACAAAGCAAGCCATTAACACAAAAGTCAGGCAGTGGTAGCACATGCCCTTAATCTGATCATGTGGCAGGTAGGGTCTCTGTGTGTTCAAGGACACACTAGGGAACAGCCAAGCATAGTGACACACTCCTTTAATTCCAGTACCAACCATAGAGACGTGGAGGTCTATATAGACAGGCACTGACAAGGAAGTGAGGTAGTAGGTGGTCTAAGAGCCAATGAGAGGGCAGAACAGCAAGGCAATAAAGGCGCAGGTTAGACAGGAAGTAGCTCCTTTTTGGTAGCTGCAGAGCTAGAGAGGTAAGGTTGGTGTCTCTCCCTATTTCCCTGTTCTCTAAGGCTTTCACCCCTATATTTGGCTCTGTGTTTCTTATTTAATAAGACCGTTTAGAAATTCATCTACATCAATCGTTTCCCATGGCTGGGAAAAAACAAAGAATGTGGTTAGCTCTTGCCCCAACTTTTTCATATGGTTCATCTAGCCTCAGTACCCAACAATGGCAAACAAAAAGTATACTGGTACAAATCCCTTAGCCCAAGGAAAAACTCTTTCTAGTATAAAATATTGAATAGAAATATCACCTCAGAATCAATTCCAGACAGATTCATACTACACAAACTCTGAGCCACTTGATAATTAGGGATGATATGGTTACAGCACACAGCAAATTAACTTTCCAGTAAACTGGAAGAAAGTATGAGAGGAAAATGGACAGGGGGTTATTAATTAGCCAGTTATTGATATTCTCTGTTCTCAAATTTCTCTTCCAGGACCTAAAGGTAAGCTTAAATGAAGAGATCAGACTGTGTCTATGGAAAAAAAAAAAAATCACACTTGTCAAAAATAGCATAGCAAAAAAAAAAAAAATAGCATAGCAAAATGATTTTCCATGACTAACAGCTAATCTATGGGGCCCCCAGGGTCATTTGTAAAATAACTGTTCTGTCATCCCTATCTTTTTACTCAGTAGCTAGCAAGGGAATGCTGCGTGTGATAAGCACTCAGTGCAAGCTGAGCTGATTGCTTTTCTCCAGGTATACTCTGGATACCCTATCCTTACATCAGTTCACAGCACCAGTCCAGCAAACTCTACAAATATGCAATCATAATTTTGCAAATGTAAATGAACTCCATGTTGCTCTTCTGCAGTGCTGTTAATTACAAACACTAAGCACTTTAGATGACAGAGTTCCATGTTGACCAGATAAAGTCTCTGCAAAGCTGCAAAGCTGCGGTTTTCATCTTGTCAGTAATCAGGCTGTGTGTAGACAGTACCTGTGTAGGAATAGCTGAACCCAAAAAGAGTCCTTCTTAGGACATTTTATATAGAACATTGTTACAAATCAGGAAATTCTGGCTGAAAAATGTCTTCAGAAAAAAATACAACAAACAAAAAACAATGCTCATTTCAAACCAAGGAGAGAGAAAGCAAAACAGCTAGGCTTTGAGAGAGACTGCCAACCCCACCACAGACCTGGCTTTACTCCCTACACTGTGATTCTGTGGGCATAATAGTGTGTCAGAAACATTTTGATGTCTTCTATTCCAGGGTCTCTGTTCCTCACCAATCATGTCTCTTTTCCATCTTAGGGTACCCCTACCTAGCTGTGTGTATGATCTCTTAAAGTGTGTGTCACACAGTAAGATGTGTACTTTGTCAGCACAGGGCAAATCTCCACTGATTAACTTTATTTGCTTATTTCTGCAGTTCTGGGAACAGAAACCAGGGCCTCACACATGCTAGGCAAGAGCTCTACAACTGAACCCTGAACACAGTTGTATGAGATAACCTGGTCCTTCAGTTGAGATGAGGAAAGAAATCAGTGGGAGTGGGAACAGAAGGGAAATAAGGTCAAAATACATGTATAAGATATTTACACATGTATGATAATGTTCTATACTCATTATATATAACGAATACCTTGTTTTAAAAGGCCTGCAAAAAGCCAGACATGGTGGCACATGTCTTTAGTCCCAGCATTGGGAGGCAGAGGCAGATGAATCTCTGATTTTGAGGCCAGCCTGGTTTACAGATCAAGTTCCAGGACAGCCAGAGCTACACAGAGAAACCCTGTCTCGTGGGGGGAGTGGGGGGGGTGAGCCTCCATGATGGCATCTGAATAATAACACAGAAAAGAACAAAAACATACTTACTCTGGTGTGATAAATCCATGTTGTGGTGTGACTGTCAGACAATGTGCTGGCCAGTATAGCTCAAATTTCAGCACCCTAACAGAGTTATTTATAATCTGGAAACGTCCAGTTTTTGCCATGTCACCTACTGTAACAGATAAATAATGTTAATTCCATTTAGCCATAGTGAAAAACCAAATGTTAGTAATACTGAATCCTGAATAAACGCACTTGCATAACAACAGCTAATTTTGCTTTTCTCAACAGTTCAATTATAGGAATTTCCAATCTGTGTTAAAGTGTCTTCTTAATAACTCCTAGAAACTACAAAGACACCGGCTGCACTGAGCCAGGTTAGAGACTGTAAGCTGAAAGGCTCCCATCTGATTTCACTCTGGGAATCATGGATGCACCATGTGTTCCTGCCCGGAACCACAGTTTTCAGGGTTCCATCAGCAACAGCAGGTAGAGCTCCTTAGTGGAGTACTGCCCAACTGTCAGGTCTCAGGGGTGGGAGCTGCAGCTCCAGAGATGCAAACCCTGACTCTTAAATGCACTTCTGAGAAGTTCTTACCCACGTATCCACACGGAGGAGGAGCTACCAGAATCAAGTATTCCGGATGGACAGCCCACCTTTCTTCAGAGGTTGGTGTGTCCTGAGCTGGGTGGGCAATTTTTGAGAGAAAAGGAGGACCTTGAGGGCCTTTGACTGGTAAAACATCCAAAGAGACATTGCCACTTTGTTTTCCAGACGTTCCAGATTCACTGGGAAAATCACTTAAAAACAGAAAAGAAAAAGACATCAAAAATACTAACAAATCTAATTATTTCACATTTTATATCAGAGCTTCATAAAATAAAAAAAAATGACACAAGTAAAAGGGTATGATATGTCATATACAGTTTAGTAAATGTGAAGTCTCCACATTTTATATACTTAAAAGTACTTTATAGGGCTTGGGATGTAGCTCTGAGATAGAGTGCTTGCCAAGCATGACAATGCCTTGGGGTCTGACCCTAGTACTACAGGAGAGAAAAGACAGAGAATTAAAAACAAAAAAAAAAATGTAACTTTAATCAAACTATTTGATGATCTACTTCTTTTTTTTTTCTGCATGACTTCTGTATCAAAAATCTCTTAAACAATTTACTGGAAAATGGCCCAATAGAGAGAAAAACCAAATTCATTAAGCATGGTTCAATACGCCTTTAACCTCAGCACCTCGGGGCTGAGACGAGTAGTTTTCAGTGAGTTGGAGGCTATCCTATCCTGGTCCACACAGGCATTGCAGGCCAGCCAGGGCTACACAGTCAGACCCTATGGAGGGAGGGAGGGAGGGAGGGAAGTAGGTAAGTGGGTAGGGGAAGGGAGAGGAGGAAGGAAGAAAGAGAAAAAAGAAAACCCTAATTACTTTCTAACATATCTCTAGCTGCACAATGACAACTGGTTTCACAACGGTGATACCGAAATCCATTTAAACAGCAAAGACTTCTGGAAAAACGCTAATACAGCCAAGAAGACTCTTACTATTTTCTAGGAAGCCTTAGAAACAATTCTAAGTCAAACCTAGTTTGTAATCATCACAAAAGCACAAATCATAATTGAAGTTTTAACGCACAGTGCCCAATTCTGCCCCCACACATGAACTGCAGCTTTATTTACAATCAACATTGAACAGAAAATCAGAGGGAATCCTTGCCTCCTCTTCTTACCAGCACATGCTCACCTTGGTTTCAAATCAGAATGCACGGCACCAGAGAAACAAGAAAGGCGTTGGAGAGGCACTGGCACAGTCAGAACCAGGTGAAACAAGTGTTGGTTCTTGGCATTTCTACTTACTGAGAACAATTCCTTACTATGTGATATATGTAACTGCTCTATTTAATTATTCCTTTAAATGCCTTTGAAAATCATCAGAACTAAAGCAAAGGAAGAGGAACAGAGAGGCAGGCAGGTGCCCGGCAGGTGGGAGGGTTACTGGCAGCGGGAGTGGGCTATGAAACTGAACACACGGACACTAAGCCTGTATGCACTGGGCATGGGAGACAAAATACAATGCATTGGCTGACACCGGGAGACTGAGTGAAACCTTACGGCAGAAGAGGGTAATGGGACTAATCAGAGAACAACATAACTATGGGGAAGATATACTATAGTGTTAGATAGGAACTGGAGGCACTCATATAAACTCGTGTTTGCTTTTTTGACATATTTATGAATAGAAATAGATACAGAAACATGTGGATTTACACATGAATCTACGCGTTTCTTAGGTCTTCCACTACAATACAATGGGCACACCCAATGACACTCCCTGGTTTCCAATGTCATTTTCTAAACAAAGGTACTTCTAAGAGAAATGAGCATCGTAAAGCTGGGAAGGGTAAGGTCAGATAAGTCTCGACTATCTTGCTGTGCTAATGAGTAAGAAACTACTCAAGGCCTGATGGGAGACCCATCAATAGTAATAGTGAACCAGAATGAGAGGAGAGAACCAAGAGTCACACTGACTCTCTAAGCCCACCCTGCTATTAGTAAGTACAAACAAAAGGCTCTTCTTCACAGTGGACAGTCAACTAATAACTATAGAATATAAAAAGAATAAAAAGAAATACTTTTGGCTACCATGATAGCAATAACATTAATCAGGCAACAATTACCAACAGATGTAAAAAATTTGGTAACAAAATAATTCTCTATATCTGAGTATTTGCTTGAAAGATATTAACTTGGTAGTGGAGAAACTTGAAAACACTAGTTTTAACCAAGTAATAAGAATATTACTTGGGTGGTGGTGGCGAACATCTTTAATCCCAGCACTCAAGAGGCAGAGCCAGGCGGATCTCTGTGAGTTCAAGGCCAGCCTGGTCTACAGAGTGAGATCTAGGACAGGCACCAAAACTACACAGAGAAACCCTGTCTTGAAAAAAAAAAGTTAAGAATATTACTACTGCTGAGCACAGTGGCACATGCTTCTAATCACAGAACTCAGGAGTTAGAGGCAGGTAAATCTCTGTGAATTCAAGGCCAGCCTGGTTTACACAGTTCAAAACAAAAACACCACCAGGATGGGTCAACATCATATACCACCTGTGAGACGCATGCAAAACAACAAAAAAAAAGTAAACAGCATCATTTCTTTGGTGTTCTGCTGAAAGCATCAAAGCTGAATTTGCAAATTGAAAAGTCATTGGTAGGAAAATGGTCAACAGCTGGCCTGTAAACTATTTTCTCACTTTTATTTATTTATTTATTTATTTATTTATTTATTTATTTATTTATTTTTGGTTTTTCAAGACAGGGTTTCTCTGTGTAGCTTTGCGCCTTTCCTGGAACTCACTCGGTAGCCCAGGCTGGCCTCGAACTCACAGAGATCCCCCTGGCTCTGCCTCCCGAGTGCTGGGATTAAAGGCGTGCGCCATCACCGCCCGGCTTATTTTCTTTTACTGGGAAAACTCAGGAAAAAAAGAGCTGACTTGGGCAGATGTGGTGATCTCATAGGCAGCATGCTAATCCCTGTCTACAGAATGCTGTAATAGCATGTCTAGTGTATCATCTGCTTACAACTGTCTGGGGAAAGAAACCTGAAATTTATGAGCCTATGGGACATAGCTCTTTGAAAATTATCATATAAATTATTTAATTACCATACTATAAAACAGATCTTTCATGCTTAAAATAGCTCCCTTTTGCCACATGCTCAATACAGAGAATCTGTGTAAAACTGGCCTAGAACACAGGTATTACTACAAAAAGTACTTAGGAAGCACCACAGATAACTGATCTCAAATTATCAGCAAAGCCAAACTATGAATTCTTTGACTGAGGTCCTGATTTGATAATCTATTCATACTCTCTCATCTATGAATGGTAAGGAAGGACAGCTCATTACTGAGGAGACAGTTCATCAAAATGTAATATAAACTTGGATTCTAGACAAGAGAAAAGAGGATCTTCTTCCATAATTGAACTGGAGAGATTTATTTTTAACAGAGATGTATAAACAGAGTCCATGCACTACGGATATCACTGTCTTGATGTTAAATGTTCTAACTCTGATAGATTAACTATGGGGACTAATTTTAGCAACTCAGGGTTACTCATGCCTGCAGTTCACTGGTATGTGACTAAGACAAAAATTTCTATAAAAAAGAGATGGCAACATAAATATGCTAACAACTAGGAAATCTGAGTACTGAGTTTTCAGAAGTTGTCTGCACTATTATTTTTGAACTTTTCTAGGAGCTTTAAATAATCAAATTTAAGATTTAAAAGTAGGAAAAATGAGAAAAAATAACATGGCATAGGGGGAGAAGATGAGCTGCAGTATGAATCAGTCATGAAATCTAGCAAAAGATTTGTTTATGTATTTGTTTTACCTTTTAGATTCCAACCTAGCACTGGAAGAAGGCTGAAGAAATTCTCTGCTAGAAACAGAATCTCTGAATTCTCCAATTACTGACAGGGTAATTTTACGCATACTTCCATAAAAGAGCTGAATATCATTAGGCCGCTGAGGAAGATCACATGCTGCAAAAAAATACACTTTGAAACACATAAATCCTCATGCAAGCACAGCACAAAACAATACATCTACATATAGCCATATTATTGCCTTAGGTTGGGGTAGGAAGCATCTCAATTATCAATACCACTGACTGGTACAGACTGTCCACCACCAGAGCTGACAAACTATGACCCAAATGTGAATGATCATCTTTGCTACTCCGTAACCTTTGGCAACTTGATAAACGCCTCTGAGCTTTAGTTCCCTCAAATGTGATCTGGAACAGCAGTGCTCATCTATCTCAGGGACACCATGAGCCTTAAAACATGAACATTTTTCAAGATATGTATGGCACAAAGCATATATGGTAAGTGAGGCACTCTTCTAGTTCTTCAGGTTAACTAAATTTCCAGAGTGACTCTTTGAGGTAGGTATTATGAGGTACACATTTAAAAGGAGGAATCTGAAGCACAAAAAGGCTAAAGGCAAGTTTCACAGTTCAGCAAATCTAGGAACCAGTCACTATTAGCATTACTAAATGTTTCTAGATTAATTAAAAAGGGGGGAGCATCATGAACATCTCTAGGGAGTGTATTTCATTCTATTATCCTTTAAAAATTATACATTTTAAATGGAAATCATGCTTAAGCAGTAAATTGGTTTTGTTTTTCTTGAGACAGGATCTCATATAGCCAAGGCTGGTCCTGTACTTCTGATCCTCCTGAATCCACTCCCAAATGCTTGCATCACATTCATGTATCACTGTGCCAGGTAGTAAATTTAAATTTATAGTAACTATGCCATGACTACAAATTATGAGAGTAGTTGCTTCTTATTTATTAATAGGTTTACCAAAATAACGCTTCTTACAACACACTTCTTGAATTTCTGGACAAGGAGCTACCCTGGAGCATCTTTCCTCATCCTGGTCCATCTTCTTCACTTTGTCTACATTTCCTGTTCTTCAAGTATATTTTGACAGTCATGTCATTCTCAGTGACTGCTCTCCCATTCCTAAACACACTCCAGTGCTCCACTCCTCACAACACACTTTAGTCTTCCTACATCTCCTTCTACATCTGTCAGTCCTTCAGGGGAAGGACTGCATTCTAGTGTCCACACAGCTGGGACCATCTCTCTTCGGAATGCGTTTATTCAGCAGGTGAATGGACTATCACTAGCTGGTGGAATTATGCCAACTTCCGAACCGCGTCTTCACCGCAGCTGCAATGTTACTTACTACGTACGTCCACAGCAAAATGCAGTTTATCTCTTAGCTAGAACTTTCCTCTGAGGAAGGGATGATGTTCTAAAGTAGCAAAGAACTACTATTAAAAAAAACCTAAATGTGTATATTCATGTGTGATTTTATTTACATAAATATTTACATATTATTTTACCAAAATGATACTTTGCTATGAAAATTTTAAATGATATTTTCTAAATAAATGAAGACTTTCATTAAATGACATTTATCACAAATTCCTATCACTGTTCTAATGGCTATAAATATTCTGCCCTATATGCTTGGACATTTAGGGTACTTCTAACTTCTTACTACTATCAACAACACTATAAAAATTACTATGGTATAAAAATTATATATGCATTTTTACAGTTTGTATGTCTTGGTATATTTATTTTGTATGGATAAACAGACACAATTAAATATTTGAACTGTTTCTCTCGAATGAGCTTAAGCATCTCTCCTATACTCTGCGTGTGTGTTTGGGATGTCTTGGACACCACTACTTCTCTAAACATGATCAAGAAATCTGAAACAGCATGAAATGAGTATAATAATGGCCCCATCCTCCTTCCATTTGTGAGCCTACTCTTTACTGACACACATTACTGAAACCAAAAATATTTATAAAGCAAAGTTCTTCCATCTGATTTTCAAAACCCTTGAGGATGAAAAGTAGATGCCATTCCCATTCCACAGAGGACACTGAACTCAATGATAGTCTTTGAAGTCAGAGGTTCAGACAACTCAGATTCAGCTAACCACATCTAAACTAACCACTTTCCTGTTCACACCCCATCCTAGATAATATCACAAGTGACCCAAAAGATGAAGGATGTTACAGTTCTTACCTTCATCTATGAGTAGCTCATCCTGAAATGCTTCAGTGAAGTCGATGTTCTGTAGCACACTATGTTCCGGAAGTATCTGCTTTGTGACTCCTGGTTTATGCAGCAGGGCTCTGCCAGAAGAGATCTTTATTCACTTTATACATAAAGTGACTTACATCAGATTTTAAAGTATTTGGCAAACCCCACTAACAGCATGGTACATTCATTCATACAGCATATATCTTAAGTCATAATATAAGTACTTTTTAGAGCCAAACCTGTTTTCGGAAGTTCAGCTGAAACGGTAGTGAAATCATTAGTTTTAGCTCAATAGTAATATCAAAGTAAGAGCTCTTTAATGTAAGAGAAGAAAGAAGGATAGATCCTTCTGAAGGCCTATCTTTTCACTATTTGTGACAATTTGGTCATAAAACTTGCCTCAGTAGGAGACAAAAAAAAAAAAAAAAAACAATAAATAATGATAAGCTGTTTAGGGAAACACTTAAGTAACCACATAACTACTGTAGAGATAAGCATCTCCCAAAGGATCTCTTTGCAGTGAAAAACAAACTATAAACATCTCTGTAAGTCTCAAATGTTCATATCCAAAGGAAAGTTCAGCACCGCAAGTTTGTGGTAAATAGGAGTTATGAAACAATACACTGTATTTTTTATGTTTCAGTAGAGAGAAAAAGGAAACAGGATATGTGATGATCTGATTTCTTCAAATTATTCTAAACTAATTAAGAAGTCCGGTTCAGCTGTGCTTGGTGGCGCACGCCTGTAATCCCAGCACTCAGGGGGGCAGAGGCAGGTGAATCTCTGTGAGTTTAAAGCCAGCTTGGGCTACCAAGTGAGTTCCAGGAGAGCCAGGGCTATGTAGAGAGACCCTGTCTCAAAAAATAAAAAAGCCAGGTTCAAGGAATCACATAGTGAGCTATCACTCTCATCATGAACTTCCTCTAGCTTCTCTAGGCAAAGAAACTCAAGTTTATAATAAGAAGCACCCAGAATTTATCACATAACAATGTACCATTTTTTAACCACACTTGACCTAGAGCAATATTCCAAACTCCCCAACTCAGTATATCAAATCATTTATATTAGATGTATCAAATTTTATAAAGTATCTATAAGTTAAACCATCCTACACATTTTAAAAATACAATTATATTTTCCAATAATTTTAGCTTTTCTAGAAATATTCTAAGTTAATCATGTAGATTTATATATCTGTCAGTAGTTCTTAAAATCTTTTCTAAACTGATCTGATATATTCTTAAGTATGTTAGGAGTAGAGTCCTAGTGTAAAGTATGATGGTCTTATTGGATAAGGAAAAAGAGGCATATTTCCTATGTCAAGAAAGAAAGCAGAATGCAGGAAAATAGAGGTGTTTCCTCCAAGTATTTCTAACTCACATTATGCCAACTTATGAGCCACACCAATTTAACAATGTTTTCTTCACCTATCAGTTGACTAATAAATAGTGAGGTATGTTCTAAAACTTCTAAATCATTAACTCTCCTTGCTTTCACTGACCAGTTCCCAACACTGTCTGAACAAAGTCTGTACCTTCGATACTGCTGTCTGGAGATTTCGTCACCACCAAAGAAGTAGACAGTTAGGAGCTGTGTTGAGGGTCTGCTGTCACTCTGTCTGTCTGATGGACTGTACAGTAAAGTAACATCCTGATATACAAAAAAAAATCACGAGTACCAACAGTCAGTATTTTCCTCAGTAGTCATCTCACTCTGAATGAACAGTCCTGCAATACTAAATAGAACACAGGCACAAGAACCAGTACACTGGAAGGCAGAGGCAGAGAGATCTCTGTGTACGAGGCCAGCCTGGTCAACAGTTCCAGGACAGCCAGGGCAACACAGAGAAACCCTGCGAGTACAGGTCTTCCAGAAAAACTAGGTAAGTATTTCTACTCCTTACTCCTTTCTAACATGATTTTAGCCCTTGGCCATAAAATACATAATTAATATTAATCAAAACATAACTTTAGATTTTAGGGCAGAGATTTTATACTTACTTTTTGGGTTCTTTCCTTAAGCACAAATTTATCTGGAAAGATCCTCATTATTTTAGGATCCAGCAAAACTTTTCTTTGAGAATCTTTAAAACATACTGCTTTAACAAAGGCTGCTCTGGAGCCAGTGTTGCGAACAGAAAAAGTAACTTTACTTTCTTTGCCAGGAATTAAGCCATTCACTGTTACCAAGTAACTGTCAGATAATTTTTTAACATCTTCTAAAATAAGATTACTTGTTCCTCCATATCCAGACAAAGGTATCTAAGGAAAAAAAAATAGACACATCAAAAATTATTTTTATATAAGAAAGCAGAAAATTTATTACAGTCAGAAGAAAACAGATTTAGTACAATTAAACTTTTAGCGTTTGTATCCTTGGGCTAGTAATTAATTACCCAACTTCTAGTCTACCATATATATTATATTATATATTTGTTTGCATATATTATATATGCAGCACTTCCAAACTGCATCTGACTATATAAAGATCAACCATTTCCTGTTGCATAAGCCAAACTTAACCAAAGAACAATAAAAAATAGTATAACGACACTTGCATATATTTGTAAGGTGAAGCATACAACTGTAATTTATTTTGAAATGCCTAAAAACACAGATACACTAGTAGGTGGTCAGCTTTGTAGTAAGAAATACACCAAAGCATAAACTGTAGAATCTCGGTGGTAGTTTTTCAACTTCTCAGCAATTCAGAAAAATTGTCATAATAGAGTACTTTAGGAGGAAAAAAGCCTACCCTCTCATAGTCTTTTAGTAGAGCTATATCAGAAAGGAGTGTGCAAACAGGACTAAACTGACGACCAGTACTCAAAACTCTCGGCACAAACAAGGCAGGGATTTGGAAGCCTGAAACGGAAGCCAGGTTTGAGAGATGCTTGCTGTAGTTTTTTATAGGAGTTGAGCCTTCCAGAAAAAAAAAAAAAAACACCAGAAAAAGGCCTACAGATACCTCCATTATAAAGAAAGTAAGGGAAACAGTTACCTTGCTAGAAGATAACCTTCTATGCTGGTCAACAGGCATCTCTAAAACCAAATAGACCCTCGAAAATATGGGAAAATCAATAATTGATTTTGATTTGCCTTATGTACCTCATCAAAACAAGATTAAAAACTAAACTTAGGTTCCTCATAAATTTGCTTGATTTATTATAAAATAATAACATTTCCAAGACCTCCAGAACAAAAACTTAGAAATCTTATCATTTAAAATTAATTCCTATAGTTACAAGAGCCAAAAATACCTCAATTTTTTTTTTACTTTTTATAGTTTTGAGTAAATTAGCTGCATGAAATTAAACAGAAAATGATAAAGGGAAAAGGCAGCTTTTAAATACTCAATGTAAGTGTTCTTTCTGAACATCTGTCCCTCTGTCCTCAGAGATCTGTTCCAGGACAGCCTCCCATACCCATGAATACCAAATTCGGTCATGCTCAGGTCCTTTATATGGAATGGCGTGGTTATACATGACCTATGTACATTCCCACATACCCTTAGAACACCTTTAGAGGATACAATATGCAATAGAATATAAATAACTACTGGACTGTTTAGAAAATAATATCAAAACAAACAATATACATGCTCAGTACAAATGCAGTTCTTTTCAAGAATTTCTGGCTAGAGTTCTTGCTACACAAGCACGAGGCCTGGAGTTCAGATCCACCCGTAACCCAGTACTCAATAACTGTAAACAAAAGCCCTAGGGAAGCTGGCTATCCAAATAGCAAGTGCCAGGGTCAGGGAAAGTCTGACTCAGTAAATAAAGTGAAGTGACTACGGAAAATACCCAAAGTCAACCTCTGGCCCCCATGTGCATGCATGCATACACATGCACACACACACTTGCACATATATGTACACATCACACACACATGCTAAAACACAAAAGCAAAAATTGTAATTAAAACCAACCTGACTTGACCAACAGGTCCATAGATTAATCATTTCTCTAAAGGAGGGTCTCTTAAGCTCAATATCATCGGCATTTTGAGTCAGGTATTTGATGAGGTGAGTGTGTGTGTGTGTGTGTGTGTGTGTGTGTGTGTGTGTGTGTGTAGCATATGGCAATAATACTCTTGTCCTAGTCTCAAAGCAATCAAAAATGCCTCCAGATACTGCCAAAAGTCTCTGGAAGCAACAGAGCCTTGGGTTGAGAACCACTGCTCTCAAAGACTACAAAACAGAGCTGTTCTTCAGCACCACAGGGACTGCATAGAAACCAATGTGGGCTCTACACTTATGTAGCCTCAGTTAACCTATGTATCTCGGGCTATTTTGAAAACAAAATGTGATATTCCACCTACCAATTAATAATGATATTTAACATGTATTCAACATGCAAAAAGAACAACTAATTTTTATTTCAGTCCATCATGCTTTATGCTATTCAGAGCACAGAACATTCTATTCATTCCTCAGAACCCAACCACAACATTAGGGAGAGCAAGAAGCTGCATGTCACAGGTAAAGTCCTGAAGTGCCAATCCAGAGCGAGTGTAGATGACTGAGACAGGGCTGACTCTCTGGATTCCCTCCAGTTTCCCCTACCACTTCACTAGGCTATTTTAACTTTTTAACGGTCTAAGCCTTCTCTTGAAATACAAGCCATTTTGAACTGGGGAATCCACAGAAAACCTGCCCTACCCAGCTCTATAGAATCTACGCAGGCAGGAACTGCACCAAGACTCTGGTTAGCTTAAGAGGGTGCAGACTACAACTAGAACTATATACTGTTAGATCAAACGACCTACAACCTCAAATATCGGCTAAAAGGCCTGGAATTAATCACATTATACTAAGGATAGTGTGAAGGACACAGCCCATTTAGTCCTACCCACAAACCCGATTTTACTTTTATCAGAGTGCTATGCACCCATACATTAAAGCTCTGTCACAAGTTCTAAGAACATTCACGTACATATTCAAACAGGTTGGCTGACCAGCCGGCCAAGGAAACATCTCCACAGACACTAACTCCTGTGTCAGACAAGCTATCTTGGCTAAGCTCCTATCTGACACTAAGAAACAGAACACAAATTTCCATTCTGGCCTCACTGACAGATAGTGTGCAGTTTGAAGGGTTCACTTCTGTGTAGCTGGTGTCATCCAACTGCACTGCCCTTATTCTCTTTCCTCAGTGATTTATACCTTCTACCTGTAGTTCTGAATATATTTATGCAAATGGTTTTAAATCAATTTTTCAAAATTTGTCTTTGTAGGCCCACTATCTGGAACATAACCTAGGAAACTGTATCAAGAGATATTTGCCAAGGTCTGAATGTTGGTGTCTCACGAAATCCATATGATGAAAGAATCCCCAACACAACAGCATTAGAGAGCAGGACTTACAGAAAGTGCTGACGTCATGACAGCCCTACTTTCAAAAGTAGAATCATGGCCGGGCAGCAGTGCGCACGCCTTTAATCCCAGCACTTGGGAGGTAGAGGCAGGTAGATCTCTGTGAGTTCAAGGCTAGCCTGGTCTACAGAGTGAATTCCAGGACAGTCAGTACTACACAGAGAAACACTGTCTCGAAAAACCAAAAACAGGCAAACAAGCAAATGAAAGACAGCAAAAAAGGTGAAGAGAGTGCATCACTCTTGCACCAAAAGTAAGCGTCATCTTTGAAACCCAGTGCAACTCCTTGCTAGATAGTGAATCTGCTGGCACATTGATTTAGGACTCTCAGCTTGAGAATTATGAGCAAGAAATGTTTAAAGATTATCCAGTGTGGGGCTGGACAGATGGCTCAGCAGTTAAGAGCACTGGCTTCTCTTCCAAAGAACCAAGGTTCAATTCCTAGCACCCATATGGCAGCTTACAATAGTCTGTAATTCTAGTTCCAGGGGACCCAACACCCTCTTCTGGTATCCATGGGCACCAGATGCACACAAGGTACAGTGACATGTAAGCAAAACACTCCTACAGATAAAATAATAAAATAATTCTCTAGCTTGTGGTATCTGTTGTTTATAATGGACCAAATGTGCTAAGACAATAGTTTGCTGAGTTGAATAACTCTATCTGGATTTACCCAAAATGTGTTTATGTTAGGTATGTTTCAAATTTCTCAAGTTGAAATAAAACTATAAAAGCTTTAGGATACATGGTGATTATATGAATCTCACAATGGTTGCTTTTAATGACTTGATAATTACCTTGTAATTTGTTTATAAGTCTATAAAAAAACAGAATATATAATTTACCAATATTAAAGCAATGGTTACTACTTAACATGAACTCTATGGAAGGAAAAAAGCAGTGAATTTCTCTTACCATAAACTTAATGCCTGGCTGTGAACGATTTCCAAGCTGTTTGATTTCTAGTTTAGCCAACATACAAGATAATCGAGTAGGTGCAAATAACACAGAGATTACATAATCCTCTCCTGGGCAAATTCTGATCTCACAGTTACTGGTCAATCTCTCTTCTGAGCCAAAAGTGTTCTTAATCTATAATTTAAAAATAATCACTATATAAACTCAAATACTGGCACAAATGAAACACACATTAACACAAACTCTTACAGTTAGTCTTGGAGGCTGAAAGATGGCTCAGCAATTAAGAGCACTGCTCTTATAGAGGACCCAGGTTAAGTTCTCGATACCTACATGGCACTCACAAGCATGTCTAACTCCAGTCCCAGAGAATCTGACATCTTCTTCTGAACTCTATGGGCACCAGGCATGCACATGTTGCATAAAACATACATGCAGGCAAACACTCATACACATGAAACAAAATTTTTAAAATCTTTTAAAACCAACAATCAAAAAACCAGTTGGTCTGGATGAGGAGACAGCCCAATAGTAGAGAGTTGGCCCAGCATGTACAAGACTCTGGTTCCATCCCCAGCACTGAAAAAACCAGAATCAGAACCACTTGGTCTAGGCTGAGTGTGAAGCCATACACCTATAATCAGCTTTGGGAGGCAGAGGTAGATGGATCTCTGTGAGTTCAAGGCCAGCTTGGTCTATAAAGCGAATCCCAGGTCAGCCAGAGCTCCACAATAAGACCGATTTTAGACAAATAAGACAACAAATGGTCTACATATATTGAGTAGCCATGTGTGGTGGTACAGGCCTGTGGGAGGCAGTAGGATCATGAATTTCAGGCCAGCCTAGGCTATACAGTGAGACCCTGGTGCATAAACAAAACAAAATGTGAAATGAAATAAGTTTTAAAAAGTGTTTAAATCAAACAAAACAAAGACCGTAGTACGAACCTGAAAGCAGTCCTGGTCCTGTCCTTTAATAAGCAGTCGCAAGTTTTGGGCTGTAGTTGTCGAACTGTTTCTTAAAACTAGTTTCTGGAGCCTAAAAACAATCACACATTTTAAATGTCTTCTTTTCCATGGATAGTGCTACATCGACAGAAACAAAGCCAACCAAACCTGACCACAGTCTAAAGACAGGTTGACTATGCAACTCACTGATAGGCTGGAGTCATCTTTCCACAATTAGGGAACTTGTTTCTGGAAACGCGAGGCTTATTAAGACTCACCAGGGAAGGTTTTTAGCTTAATATCACTCTCTAATTTATCTTCTCAGATGGTCTTATTCATATATAATATGTGTATGATATATATGTGTGTGTGTGTGTGTGTGTGTGTGTGTGTGTGTGTGTATGTGTGTGCATTTGTGGGGGCGGGGTGAAATCTTTAAAGGAGATGGACTCTGGGAAACAAGAGGTCAAAGCTACCAGGCTCATTCATACAAAGTGGTCTTCTCAGCAATATGCTGAGTTAATTCACTTTTTAAAGATATTAGAATATAAGTAAAGTAGACATATAAATAGCAGGTTGCTAGTATAAAAAACCCTGAATCTTTGAAACTAATTCCTTTCTTCACTTAATACAAAATAAGAAATCCCTGTTGTGCACAAAAATGAAGACCACTATCACTTAACTTGAAGTTTGTCCTAAGAATTTATCAACTAGATTGCAATCTCCCTAAACAAGACACAGTGCCTCAATTACCTTCTCTCTGCCTTTCCATAAAAGGAGCCCTCATACTCTAAATGCTTAACCAGAGAACTCACCCAAAAGCCTAAGAAAATAAAAGGCAGTTTGAGATGCATTTTAAAAATGAGACACTATAAATTTTTTAAATTTACTCTTATCATATGAAGATTAAGCAAATATATGACAGCTTTATCTCCAATCAAAAGAGAATAATACAGTCATATTTAACACCTGAGAGAATAACATTAGGTAACAAAATCTCAGTACTCTTGATGGCTTCTGTGAATACTCACTGTGTCCTGCCGAGAGGGATACCTCCCCAAGTCAGAAACTGCTTATTGGACAGAATCAATGGAGTCTCTGAGCAGTGAGGTCCAGGTGGCAGAGGTTTACTCCCAGAAGAAATGACTTCACCTTTTAACACTACCTCATACTGAGGTCCTAAGGGCTGCACAAATATTTTCAGGATCCTAACCAAAGAAGAAAATACAAGTCAAGTGTTCCATAGTCAGTTCCTTTGCCAACTATATCCTATTCACTCCCTTTGTCTGAGAGACGGAGTCTGTGAAGAAAACCCAGCATTTCTATCTCAAAGGCTTACACTCCAGGGAAAGTACACACAAAAGAAGTAATAATCACAATAATGTCCACACGGCATAGCACAAGGGAAGTTTCACAGGGCTTTCTTCATGAGGAATTTGGGAAGAGCTGAAGGTCGCAGAAGAAGTCAGCACAGGGTTGAGGAAAAGCACTTGAGGCTTAAACAAGTACTTCAACTCATGTCCGTTCTTTCAAGAGTCTCATAATGAGCTAGCTAGATGTAGGCATTCTATACTCCACGCTGGGGACAAGCAGGGGGCCTGGGTGGGTCCTTCCGTGACATATACTAAGCTAGCTCCATGCAGTCAGGTTCAAACACAACAACAACAATGATATTCTGATTGAAAGTTACTTATGACTTAGATGTCAAAGTCACAGGTCCTGGAAGAGACCGGTGAAGAATTGTAAAGCAATAAATAAAAAACGGAAGTAAAAATTTTCTGGAAGAAAAAAAAGAGGAATACCATAATTCACGCTTTATTATTTACTTTTATCAGAATATATCAGGAAACAGAAACTTCTTAACTTTGTTTCAGTTGGATTAAGAGAAGCATTTTACTAACAAAAAAGATGGGCCAGTGGGTAAAAGCTCTTGCTGAGCAGGCCTGAGGATGTGAATTTGATCCCCAAGCCCATGGTGGAAGGAGAAACAACTACTGAGAACTGTCCCCTGATCTCCACATATGCGCCATGGCATGTGACACCCATACCACACACATCGTACACACAACAGTGACACTATAAATTACATATGTACATACACACATACATATATATATAAATACATGTAAGTGTGTGTGTGTGTATGTGTGTGTACATATATGGTAACTGAAAAGATTAAAGCACAGCTGTATCATTATTTCATATATTAGGTGAAGTAAAATAGGTGTCTGTACATGAGTGAAAAATATCTAAGCAAGTGGTCATTATAAATATTTTCATATTACCTTTCTTCATATGCTTTGGGATCCTTTGGTGTAAATGAAACTGTAACTTCATGTTCTTCTCCAGGTTTAAGAAATAGACTCTCTGGATCCACTGAAAACTGACTTCCTTGTTCTGCAACCTAAGAAATTACAACTTAACTCATGCAAGCATGTTTTCTTGTATTCTCTGCTTTTCTATGCTATTTTTTAAATTTTTGTTTTTGTTTGTTTTTTTGTTTTTCGAGACAGAGTTTGTGTATGTAGTAGCCCTGGCTGACCTGGAACTCTCTCTGTAGACCAGACTGACCTCAAACTCATAGAGATCTGCCTGCCTCTGCCTCCCAAATGCTGAGATTAAAGGTGTGCGCACCACTACCATCCCTCTTACTCCTTTTCAAAAGGATATTTCCTTCCTCTTCCATTTTCAAATCTTTTTTCCTACCCCATCTCCAATTGGATCTCAGAAATAAAACCTCTATATGCAGACTACTCTTTTCCACTTCTACACACCCACAGATGCCACACAAACTTCTAAGGAACTATTCAAGAATTCTTACATCCAAGGTTTCAACAATACCCAAGCATACACTTGGGGCTAGTGTGACTCTCAATCTTTACAACACTCTCGGTGATTCCCAGCTCAATCCTCATAGCATCCCAACAAGGCTGCCAGCACAGGGCCATCAGAAAGACATCACTCTTTCAAAAGTTCTTACCTTGATATCTAGATAAACTTCAATATTCCCAGCATTTTTCAAAGGCAAGGGCTGCTTTGTTGAGGAATTTACATCGGCCAACAAATACATAGTCTGTGAGGTAGGGTAAAGATGCATTAAAAAAGTAATCACAATTAAAGAACCAGAACATCACAGAGTAACGACAGAGAGAAGATGAGGATACCTGTAAGTCCCTGGGGGCATGAATCCTAGCTATTCCTGCTCTTGCTCGGAGGTCCACACTTCTAAGAACTGGGATAGGATTTGGGCTGTCAACTTCTATATCCACTCTGGCCAGGAATTCTTCTGCTGAGCCTAGAATTTCTACAAAAGTTTACTTTTACTTTAGTAAACAGATAGTTAATCCCAGATTTCACCAGTTATCCAAAATGATGTCCTCAGGGATTCAAAGAAAATTCAGGGGCCAGGGAGATGGCTTAGTGGGCAAAAGGTGCTTGTAGTGCAAGAATGATGACCTGAGTGTGACCCTCAGAATCCACGGAAAGGTAGAAGAAGAAAACCAACTTCAAAAAACTGTCTAGTGACCGTCACACAAATGCCCACATACATACACAATAATAATAATAATAATAAATTAATTAAAAAAAAAAGAAAACCCAGTTAAGACTTTTAAAACAATCCAAACCTAGGCATGACTAGAGAGACAAGCAGAGAGGAAAAATGGGTTTTCTGCGACACTTGCTTAGACCACCTATACTTCCATAGGTTTAGCCCCAATATCATACCATCTTCTCCATTTCCTAAACATAAAATTTGTGACAATGACCCAAAATATTGTCATTTAATTAACAAACAAATAAACTGTAAATCTGAAGTTTAATTACAGAATAGGATAATTCCAAAAAAAAAAAAAAATATGATACCTGAAGTGAAGAGTTTCTTTGGGCTATGGAAAATAACCCAAACTATCAGAAATTCTGGATCCTATTAAATGAAAAACAAAATTTTAATGTATATTGATGTTAAGACTGAAATCCTAATGAGCTAAAAGTAGTTTGGAAATTTGTTCTTTACTTCTACACCAGTTTTGTTAAACTGACCCAACTGACCTGTCCATCGTAACTGGCAGGCATCACATGACTGACTACGGACGGGGACACCAGCTGAGCAATCACATCAGAGTAAGAAGCGGCTTTCAGAGACGCATGGATGGGTTCTTTGGAAAATGTGAAGCAGCACCAGGCTAAGGCATTCTGTTTAGAAACAGAAAAGTCAGTTTCAGCAAAGTCATAGCAGTACATTTGCTAATAGGCTCTTTAGCAATATAATTTACTTTTACAAGGAAAAATTAACCAAGGCTATTAGCATTGCCTATCATTTCAAATCACTATATTCTGTAGGCAGTCTCTTAGAAATTCTAGGTTAGTACTTACAGCATTAATAATCAGTCTGATTGGCACAGTAGCATGTGTCTTGTTTATTAGCTTGAGTGGGAGAGCTTTCCAACCATCATAGGTCAAGTCACCAAAATCCAGAACACCTCTCTTTTCCGTTTCTACCTAAGTATGAAAAAAGGACTGAGTGACATAACGCATCTATTATTAATGACTATCTTAGCTATGTGCTTCTTTTAGCAACAGTTCAGAGTCCGCACGACAGGTAAACTTAGACCTAGGTCTTCCCATTCTATTTTATTTTCCATTTTATTTTATTGCTGTCCATAAAACTGTGCTAAAGTCTTCTTTTAAAGCAGGCTAAGTACTCAAATATACTATAGAACAAGGCAAAGTGGCTATTGCAACTTTGCAAACACTATTAGATCTTAAGTTGAAGCCAATTGTTTTAGAAAACATAAATCTCCTCTTAATTAATCCTATCATTAGACTTTTAATTCCTTAATTCCTTTCACAACTTCATGAAGATCTTGGTCTATTTCAGATTCAGTCTGATACACAAACGGTATTTAAAATGGTGTCACACAGACATATCAAAGGGTAAAGATAAGTGTGTACTATGTGTCAGACTGCTGTCTTTAAACAGAGCAATCTAACAGACTCACCCTGATAGCCACACATGTGAAACTTTGCACAATATTTAAAACACATAAACTCTCATAGTTTATGAAACTACAAGGAAAGCAAAGATATATTAGCAAGTAGGAGCTGAATTCTATAACGGCCAATGAAGGTCAGGGGTCCAAATTAACCCCCAAGATAGTTGAGGTTTGACACTTTCCAAAGGTAGTAAATTTCAGGCTCCTTGTGGGCAGGGCAAAGCTGGAAGAGAATGTAAACGTCATACATAAAGTCCTGGAATGCCGTGTCCTTTCTAAGAATATTAAAGAACAAAAACAAACAAAACATTTGAAAAACTACCCTGTGTTCAAAAAACAACAGGGGACCTTCCAAGGGATGGGGACATTTGGAAAGATTGTTGCAAGACTTGAGTCTAGGCCACACCAGCACTGGCATGGAGCTCCAACTGAGACTCACAGAGCCTTGCATGCCTTCTTTGCATTTCCACAGGATGCTCTCAGGGTAATGAGGACACATGAAAGGGAGGAAAATTTTGGGCTGAATAAAGAGACATTATAACAAAAAGATGTTAAAGAAATGGAATCCATTAACAAAAGAAAGATGCCATAGAAAGATCAGCACTGGTCAGAACAGGCTTTAAACAAAAGGGATGAAAGAATGGCCCAGTTCTCAGTTCCAGCTGTCGAAGAAGACAACTCTAATGGCCTAGTTTACACTGACTACCACATCCAAACACTCTCCTATGGCCTACACAGGCACACATGTGGCACACATTTGTACATGCAGACATACACTCATACACATAAAAGCAAATAAAACTGAAAGAAAATTTTTAAGAAACAGCTAAGATTTAGCTTCAAACACTGGGCACATCTGCCCACAAATTCTTTCTGCAGCAAATGACACTAATTTACAGAGTTACCTCGATGACAGGGCTTTCGGCAATAGCAGTGAGAGTGACTCTGCTCCCCAAAGCTTCTGCTTGCACTACTGTATCAGCATCTGCTGAAAACGGCCACGAAGCAACACTAAACGTACATCTGAAAATTCCAGGATTTGTGGGTATAAAAAGAATTTTTATCTCTTCTGTGGCATGAGGTCTTATAACAACTTTATTCTTGAAAACTAAACACGTTTGTGTTGAAAGATCCACCTATAAATAAGAGCAAGATAGTATGTTAGAAACGGCTCTACCTTTCAAGGCTAATCATCTAGTTTAAGATTCCTTTTCCCAGTCAAACTAGGAAATCTAGACCTTTGTTGCATGTTAAAAAATACTCTACTCTTATAACTCATTATTTGAAAAGTATCATCAATCCAAAAGCAAAACGCTTTTTGATGGCTGGTGAGATGGCATGTAAGTAAAAGGTTGTTGATGCCGAACTTGACAGTCTGACTTTGAACCCTGGAACTCACATGGTAAAAGAGAAAACCAATGCCCACAAGTTGACCTCCACACCTGTGTTGTGGCATGCATACACCCACCCACACATATAAGCAAAAAATAAATAAGTAATTCTCACTACATACAGACTGTGTCCACTCCTAGTAGATTTTAAAATGAACAAACATATTTACCTAGACCCTCACTCTTCTAAAAAGGACACTGAACACAGAAGTACTTCACAGCCCTAGAAACCTGTCTAGGATGATTTCTAGTTCTATATGCTGTGTCAAATCCTACCTTCAACCCACAATGCCTTCCTCCAGTTATTTTATTTTTATCTCATTTAATGATCTGGTAACAGATGGGAAAGTGAGGAAAATAAGAGATGGCGGAAAAGTGATGGAGAGTGTTAACTGTCAACTACAACATCTACAATCCCCTGGGAGGCGCGCCTCTGGACAGGCCTGTGGGGGTGATCTGGATTGCTTTATTTGCAGTGGGAAGACCCACCCACTATGAGTGGTACCATTCCCTAGCTGGGATCCTGAACTATATGTGGAGAGAGGGAGTTGAGTAGCAGCACGCATCCAGTGCTCTTTGGTTGCTGATTGTGACTATGATGTAGCCAGCTGCTTCAAGCTCCTATTGCCTTGATTTCAATGCCGTGATGGCCTATACTCTTGGACTGTGAATCAGAGTAAACCCTTTCTCTACTGTTGATGCCAAGAATATTTTATCACAGCAACAGGAAAAGAAACTAAGATAGAGACAATATTATTTGACCAGGATGCTGAGAGGAGAAAGGGAATAAAACCAGTCTGTGTCGGCTGGCAAGCAGCAGTCACAAAGCCTGGACATGTCACAGCAGGAGTTACTGACCCTACTCCCTGCCCTCCCTACTCACAACTTCCACATGGCCATCAGTGTGAAGAAAAATTTACAGTCTCTGATAGCAACTGTAGTTGATCATGTGAGATCCTTGCTAAACATTAAAGCTATTGTTTCCATGGATTTCAAAAGATCATATAATAAAATTAACAGATTAATAATATTCCTCTTTCCAAATGAAGACTTGGTCCAAATAAGTAACTTAGTTCTTTTGTCTTTTCTTTTTTTTTTTTTTTTTTTTTTTTTTTTTTGGTTTTTCGAGACAGGGTTTCTCTGTGTAGCTTTGCGCCTTTCCTGGGACTCACTTGGTAGCCCACGCTGGCCTCGAACTCACAGAGATCCGCCTGGCTCTGCCTCCCGAGTGCTGGGATTAAAGGCGTGCGCCACCACTGCCCGGCTGTCTTTTCTTGATACATGACAATAGCTTATAGTCAACAGTATTTAGTAAAACCAGGAACTCACTGTGCTAAAGGCAAAATAACATGGCTTTATATATAAATAATGATTAATAAATATTAAAACTGATACAAAATGTAAAATATTCAGATTTCACGTATTACACTGAAAACACTACAACAACGAGGGGCTTAAAAAAGACCCCATTCCGCCAGGCAGTGGTGGTGCATGCCTTTAATTCCAGCACTCAGGAGGCAGACCCAGGCGGATCTCTGTGAGTTCGAGGCCAGCCTGGTCTACAGAGTGAGTTCCAGGACAGGCACCAAAGCTACACAGAGAAATCCTGTCTTGAAAAAACCAAAAAAAAAAAAGACCCCATTCCAAAATTGTTCAGTTGGGTAACTATCAAGTCCTACGAGAGCAACAAAAATTAAAAAAAAAAAAAAAAAAAAAAGCTGGGCATAGTAATGTCTGCATATTAATCCCAGCACTTCAGAGGTGGAGAAGAGGGGATCAAGAGTCTACAGTCGTCCTTGGCTACTTAGCAATCTGAGCTGCCCCGAGTTACATGAGACCCAGCCTCAGAACGACGAAACCAAAGGGATTGACTGCAGCCGTGCATGTGTCTGCTGGATGCAATGGCTCTGCACATACCCACCATGTATCAACAGGGAAAAAGAATCTTATTTGTGTTTCTGTGTATGTTAGAGAGATGTGAATAGACTAGACATAAACAAGGCAGTGAAAAAGCCGGGCACGGTGGCATATGCCTATAATTCTAGTACTTGGAAGGTAGACACAAAAGGATGACCACAAAAAATCAAGGGCAGTCCGATCTAGACAGCAAGTTGCAGACCAGGTAGGGCTACACAGTGAGTCTGTTTAAAAAGAAAAAGAAACAAAAACAAAAAGGAGGCCAGTAAGACGGTTTCATGGGTCAAGGCACTTGAGCACAAGCTCAAGATGTGGCCGGCCACTCATCCAAGAGCGGCATGACTGTTGGCAGGTGACGACCACTTTCAGATCAGATCTGAGGCTCGCTTAATAGAAGGCATTCAAACCAGGTACTGTAAACCAGCTAAACTCATGACTGAGGGAGGTCATGGGTCCTCCTGGGGAAACTCACTACTGTCTAGCTGAACTAACGTGATACCAAACTACATGCTAAATATGTAGGTTTAAATCCAAAGACAAATGCTACCCTCGGTCTTACTTAGAGACACTCTTCTTGGCAGGGGGACAGTGATGAATGAAAAGACTGTTGGCTGCTCAAGGAGCTAAGAATAAAAGACAGCTGAGTTCTCAGCCCTAAACAGAGAGGTCATTTGTACCAATCCCTCTAAGGCTCAGGGAACATTGAGAAAAAGGGAGCAGAGAAAATGTAAAAGCTGGAAGTTGGAAGAAAGGCTGAAAAAATACTATCTTCCAGGCATGCCTCTACAAAAACTTCCCAAAAGTGGGGCTGGAATGATGTCTCTGAGGCTAAGAACGCTCCTGCAGCAGACTCAGGTTCAGTTCCAAGCACCTACATGACAGCTCAAAGCTGTCTACAGCTCCAGGTCCAAGGGATCTGACACCCTCTTCTGTCCTCTGTGGGCACTACACACTTGTGGGCAAACACTCACATACATAAAAATAAATAAGTCTTAAAAAAAAATAAAACTTTCAAAAGAACAATTTGGTTAGTTAGAAAAAGGAAGAAAAAAAGGGGTGGACCGAGGAGTAGCTAGGGAAAGGGGAAACAAAATACATAGCATGTGTATATTAAATTATCAAAGAATGAACTATTATTTTAAAGGGGGAGTGAAAGGAAGTCAAGTGCTTTGTTGCAGTGCACCTGTGACGCCCAGTGAGGCAGACAGACGACTCACCTTCTCCCCATCCACACAGATACTGAGGACTCTGGTGCTGACTTGTAGCCAACGGTCAGTGGGGTTGAGGACACTCAGGAGGGTCTGAGAAGCAATCCCGACACAGCACGCGTGAGGAAACCTCAGCTCCTCAGGTACTCTGGCATTCCCTGCATGAGACAAAGTCAAAACGGAGGTTACACTAAACATCTGACTAAGAGGACTACTGGTTAAAAGGAAAGCATTACACAGGAGTGTCCGATTACACCCACGATCTACAGAATAAATGCCCTAGAAGTGTAAGAGTCCTTGACATAACAAGTCTCAGTGGAAGCTGCCAATAGCTTCCTCTGTCTCTTCTATACAGCTCTGAGAAAAACAATGCAATGTAAGTTAAGCTAATCGAATCAGAATTTACAGCAAATCAAATCTTTGTTGTTGCTATCATGCCCTTTATCTCTCCCAAGTCTAAGCCACTGACAGCTGTGAAGAGAAGCTCCAGAGGCTTCTTCCAGGTGTGCCTGGCTACAGTGTCTTCACAGCACTATCTCCCTCCTCCTCCTCCTCCTCCTCCTCCTCCTCCTCCTCCTCCTCCTCCCCTCCTCCCCCTCCCCCTCCCCACCTCCTCCTCCTCCCATTCCGATGGCCTCTGTGTACAATGCCCAGCTCCACTGAGCCGATGTCTGTCATCAGGGAAAGCATGCTGTGGGTGAGAGCAGAGTTCTGCTCCTCACTACCATCACACCACACCCTGAAGCACCAGGGGAAGGTAGCCCGTTCTGGGAAATGATCTGGAAGAGAACATTTCCTAAGTAAAAGAATAGCAAAAATCAAGTGCAGAGGAAAAGAAACATCAGGACGAAGACCCAGAAAACTATCAGCATACAGCTTACTGCTGTTCTAAGCCAAGTTCAGGAACCCCTTCACAGAAACATTCTGGTGCTCTCAATAAAAGACAAAGGAAGAGCTTGTAAGAAGCTCACCTATAATCCTAGCACTTAGGAGGTACAGGCACGAGGATCAAAAGCTTAAAGGTTGTTTTCCCTACATAGAAAGTACGAGTGAGGCCAATCAGGGTCCTGATTTTTTAAAAAAGGACAAATAAAATAAAAGAGGGGGTCTAGAGAAATGGCTCAGCAGTTAAGAGAATTTGTTGCTCAATAATGACAAACTAAGTTCAAATCCCAGCACCTGTATAAGGCAGCCCACAGCCACCTCCAACTCCAGCTCCCAAGAAATCCAATACCCTCCTTCAGCCTCCATGGGCAAGTGCACATGTACGTGTGCATACATTCATAAAGACACACACAGATAAATCTTAAAAATTAAAAAAAATTTCATTTCAACCAATGTTTCTTTGGAACAAACTAGCTTTGTGGACCCATTTGTGAAAATGCAACCTTTACAGAACAAAAACTATGACAAGAAAAGTCATCTTACCAAATCCAGACATCATCCCTGAGTCCCAAGGTTCGGTTTCACGGTTTGCACCAACAGACTGCACAGGAAATGGCTTTGCTGTATTCAGCAAGTTCTGGTGTCCAGCAGTAGGACACAGGTTATAAAGAGAAGAGGGACCCATCATTCCAGAGGCAAGATTTGGTCCTACGCACATCCCAGAAGCCATATGTTCTGGTACAACAGGAGGATAAGAAGAACATCCTGAAATACCAAAGACCTGCATGCCTGCATGGCACTGAGGCAAGGTGGCATTCCCAGATGAAGGGACTGGCCCCAAATACTGCTGGGCCACAGGAGCTGTGTAGAGAGAATGTCCAGTCCAGAGGGCAGCGCACAGAGCAGGCTGGTTCTGCACCTGAGCAACAGAAGCATGACCTGAAATGTGGGGAGTAGGATTGTGCTGGTTTGCAGAGCTGCCCAGATTAGGAATCTGGCTGCTGGATCCACTGCTGGCGGTTGAGAGACCAGTAGACATTAACCTTTGACCTTCGTCCACAGCTTTCTGGCTCAATACAGGGAGGCTTGGTATGACTGGCCCAGACCGGTGGCTCAGACCTGGCTTGTTCAGGAGAGCCTGGCCAATCAGGTCCTGTTCACTGGGGCCAGATGTTGAATCTACCTTACTGGCTTCCAAGTGATCTTCACTTTTGGAAGAAATATCTTGACTCGGTGTAAAATTAGGGTCTCCATCTTCAAATCCACTACTCAAAGAAGGAGTTTCTGTCACTTTTCCTAAACGAGACTCAACCCGGACAATACAAGGCACTGCTACTTTCTCGGTATTCTGACCTGGAACTTTGTCTCTTAGCTTCTCCACAGTTCGCTCCTCTGATGGAGTTGGACTGGCTCCAACAACTGTGGTGCTCAACTCACTGGTGAGATCGCTCTAAGGATGACAAATTTTGTTTTTTAATAATTCATAGATTAAACAAAATGTAACAGATTCAAACAATGCTGGTATAAATCTCAAGTAACATGAAACCTACATGGTATCCTGAAACACAGCGTGTACAAAGGAAAATAACTGCAAATATGAAATGCAGGCTTATACATGAAAACTGCACCCCCTGTTTTAGAAAAGTCTTATGGTAGGAGGGAAATAAAAGGTAAACACCAATTGCATCTAAAACATTTCAATAAAGAACCAAAGTCAGCTAACATTTTTCAAATTAAAGGATTCTTTGTAAACTTTATAAAATAATATAAATTAGTAAATAAAAGTATAAAGGGCAGACAAGCTATCAAATGATATGGACATGAGGTTAGAGTCAGTACAAAGCCAGCTCCCAGACCCTCCCAAGTCCATTATTTGTCTACGCTATATTAAATATGATAGGAATATATGATATTTTGAGTACTAAGTGTTTTCCAATTTCTAAATGACGTTATGGTTCTTTTTTATTATTTCTTTATAATGCACAACCTTGAAGAGTAACAGCTATAGACCTGCAAGATGAACAGTCTAGAACTAGCACACAAGAGCACACTTAACTTCATTTATTGTTTTTGTTTGTACTGGAAGTTTATACTGAACCAAAGTTTTAGAAACAAAGATATAAGCCAAGTGGTGGTGGTGCACGCCTTTAATCCCAGTATTTGAGAGGCAGAGGCAGGTGGATCTCTGTGAGTTTGAGGCCAGCGTGGTCTACAGAGTGAGTTCCAGGACAGCTAAGGCTACACAGAGAAACCCTGTCTCAAAAAGAAAAAGAAAAAAAAAAAAAAAAGGAAGAAAGATATAGTAAACAGAGACTAATGGTAACAAAAAAATATGTCCTTGGGCTTTAATTACTAAGTGACAAGCACTAACTTCATGCCACAAGCCTTCACAAAGGTGAAGAAAATAGGATTAAAGAGGGCTAGTAATCCAAGAAAGCAGCAGGCCCCATCATTCAGCAGTTCAACACTATGCTAAGAAAACAGACTCAGGGGAGGGGGGACAGGAGTGGGTTAATTTAAACTAAGGATATATAACAAAAGCCTCATGGAACCTCACAACTTTGTAAGCTAATTAAAAATGTAAGTTAAAAGGAGTTTGAATGGAGGTACCCAGAAGATATGAGTTTGGAAATTCCAGTGCCAGGTATAGAATACTTCCCTATGAGCTAATGGTCAGAAAGATCCTAGAGACCCCCAAAACAACAAAGGCTACTGCCACTGCTCTTGGGTGCTCACCAGAACTAAACGGTAAGAACCTATTAAAGACACAGCACACTTTGGTTGCAGAGCATAGGGAAATCAAGCTAGACCTGACCCAAAAACTTCCTCCCTGCTGGCTAGCCTTCACAACATTGAAAGCTGCTATGCTGACCACAGGAGGAGAAAAGTTATCAATGGACTTACACAGCGCTGGACCATGCATGCTACAATACTGATCTGCCAAGAGAGATGCACTCACTGGGCAATAGTGGCATGATTAGTACTGGGGTAACCAACTGCTTTCTGACTGGATTTGAGAGTTGCTCCATGGGAAGGAACTCATACCTGACACTGTAAACCTGGTCAAAAGCCCATGGCTAGGGAGGTCATAGGCCCTAGGGGAACCTAGTACTATTGTTTTTGCTAAAAGCATATGTAGTCAAAGTATCTTCTAAATATTTATTTTTGGTTGTGAGCCTAGCCTTTAACGGCTGAGCTATCCCTCCAGCCCATCTCCTAAATATTTAGGTTTACACCTGTAAATCAATGCTGCTCTCATCCTTGGTCAAAGATGCTTCTATTTGAAGTGGGCAAGAGTCAATGTAAAGACTTAAGTACAAATATATACATACATTAATTCATTCTAAAGATACAGAACAGCAACACAGAAGTTAAACAGGCCAGGATTCCAGTTTGAGTCAAACATCACTAACACTTTTGGTCTTGAAGTGGCACCCACCTTATGGCCCTCTGAGCTTTCATCAGCAGCTGTGACGGGAAAAGTGCTTTCCCGTTCAGACACATAAGTCAGCCTGCTCAGATCAGCATGGGAACATGTCAATTTTGACAACCCACACTCTGAGTGGGGTTTCTGGGGATGAGCTAAATCAAGAGACTCTAGAGCACACCTGAAAGAGAAAGAGGAACATGGTGTTAGAATCTGTATAAGAAAATGACCACAACTGTCTATCTAAAGCTTGAAGTAACTCAACCACAAACTTACCATCTTTAATTAAAATAATCAATTACATTTCTACAGATGAGCTACTTGGTAGCTACCATTAAAGAAAAAGTTGTCTCATTTTCATTAGTAAACACCATATATAGACACATAACAATTATTCATCCAATAAAAATTGAGTATCTGGCATATAGCAGTTAATAAAACCATTTAAAAAAAATCCCTATCCTCAAAGAGCAAAAGCATCACAAAACATTATGTAGATAAGGAAAAAAAATGCCCACGTACTGCTAATCAAAAGGTAAAATGAGTAACTTTTGGCTGAGCAATTAAGCAGCACCTAGAAAAAGCTCATTGACTCAAATATTCTATAGCTGAGAAATTCATCCAGAAAGAAAAAAATTGAGAAATAAAAACACTTCATAAAAGGTCAGTTTATTGATAATAAAGTAGGAAGCTCAAATGCCATACAAGAGGAACTACTGCACGGCACAAACATGCAGCAAAACACTCTTTAACCACTATAAACCATGCCGTTAGGGCTGAGAATGGAGCTCAGTGGCAGAATGCTTGTTAGCATTGCAACATATAACAAAAACAAAAACCCCAAACCTTGCTGCGGAATACTATGCTATGGCTCAGAAAGATTTTTACAACATATTAAGTAAAACAAAAACAAAATTCAATGGATAAAGGCTAAATGTGGCACAGTGGCAAATCATGCCCAAAAACCTGGGTATCAATCCCTAGTACCAATACAAAAAATACATAATAAAAAAGCAAAATGAAAAAACAGCCTTTGCGATGGAACCCACATCTATTTACCACACACACACACACACACACACACACACACACACGCACTGGTGTTACTTCTAGCGTATTGTGTTTTTCAGCAGCCGTCAGGGCCTCCAGCCAGATCTGGGAGAAAAGAAGCATGCTCAACACCTCAGCCTAGAGAGGCTGCTGAGGTGCTTGCCGCCAGACCTGACGACTGGCGTTGAGTCCCAGGAATCACACAGTGGAAGGAAAGAGAAAACCAACTCCTACAGGCTCTCTGTCCTCTGACCTCTAAACAGGTACTGAAGTATATGCATCTTCATGAGTGTGAGTACAATCAGAGACACCTATGCATGCTCCATATACACACAAATACATGTAATTTTAAGAATATATTCCGGGCTGGAGAGATGGCTCAGAGGTTAAGAGCACCAACTGCTCTTCCAGAGGTCCTGAGTTCAATTCCCAGCACCCACATGGATAAATCTTTAAAAAAAAAAAAAAAAAGAAGAATATATTCCACAAGTGTATCATAGAGTTCCCTCCTAAGGGCAGAAGGCAATGAAGCAGGAAAATTATTTTTTAGAGATAATGCCTGAATTCACACAGCTAAAAAAGAGGCAGCTTGGGAAAGTTAGTAGATAGCTCTGAAATCAACTATTTTCTAAAGCATAACATTTTCAATCATTTCAGTAACTACTCAAATTTGTTCATTTAAATCTTTCAGAGAAACACCTGTATGATATCTTATGAAGCCACAAAAAGATAACATTTGCAGAATTAAAAATTAAAAGAAAATTATTCATTTCTATGTTATTAAAATAGCAAAACATGGGGCTGGAGAGATGGCCCAGAGGTTAAGAACACTGGCTGTTCTTGCAGAGGACCTGGATTCAATTCCCAGCACCCACATGGCAGCTCACAACTGTCTGTAACTCCACAGGGGATCCAATGTCTTCTGGCCTCCTCAGGCACCAGGCACACACATGGAACACTTACATATATGTGGGCAAAATACTCATACACATGATTAAAAGATAGTAAAACATAAATAATATACTAAACGATACTAGAAAGACTAAATAAACCATGAAAGTCCTAGCCTGGTTAGCATTAAACTGTCAACTTGACACAGCCTAGAATCCCCTGAAAAAGAGTCTTAACTTTATCAGGTTGGTATGTGGATATATGAGTGCGGGATTTCCTTGGCTGTCTTGAGTGGCGCCATCCCTAGGCATGGACTGTATCATGAAGGCTAGCTAAGCATGACTCTTTCAGTCAGAGAGCAAGCCATCAAGCAACATTCACCAGGTTCCTGCCCTGGTACCTCTCAGTGACGGACTGTGACCTGGCAGTGTAAGCCACAATGAACGTCCCCTCCCAAGCTGCTTTTGGTCATGGTGTTTTATCACAGCAAGAGAAAGGAAACTAAAGCAGGCCCATTATGCATTCTGAAATATCACTACTTTTCATGTTGGGTTTTTTTTTTTTTTTTTGGTTTTTCGAGACAGGGTTTCTCTGTGTAGCTTTGCGCCTCTCCTGGAACTCACTTGGTAGCCCAGGCTGGCCTCGAACTCACAGAGATCCGCCTGGCTCTGCCTCCCGAGTGCTGGGATTAAAGGCGTGCGCCACCACCGCCTGGCTTTTTTTTTTTTTTTAAAAAGGAACAGCAGAATATAGGATCTGGGGAGATGGTTCAGTGGGTAAAGTGCTGACAGCCAATCCCGAGGAACGGAGTTTGAGTGCCCAGTACCCAGGTAAAGAAAACAAGAGCAAACAAAGAGACAAGTCCAGCAGCTGGGCAGTGTGTATCTATACCGCCAGCAGGGGACTGGAGAGGAGAATCTAAGGGGCTTGCAGTCAAAGCTCACTGGCTTGGATAGAAAAACGGGTGAGCTGCAGACTGCCAAAGACCCTTTCTCAATATAAGATACGGTGGGAAACAACAGCTGGGGAGACAGGCAGGTGGATCTCTGCTGAATTCAAGGCCACGCACAGAGACTTTATTTCAAAAATTAAAAGTAAAGAAATTAAAAAGGTATTTTAGTGACAGCCTTTAAGAGACGAACCTAGCCAGGCAGTGGCGGTGGTGCATGCTTTTAATTCCAGCACTCAGGAGGCAAGAGGCAGATGGATCTCCGAGTTTGAGGCCAGCCTGGTCTACGGAGAGACCCTGTCTCAACAAAAAAAAAAAAAAAAAAGCAAAACAACAAAAAGAGATGAACCTAAAAATGATTTTTCCTCTTTTATGATTTTTTACAATTTAATTTTCCTATATATAGCACAAATTTTTAAAACTTAATAATCAAGGTGGAACATATCTAATCAAAACACATTGTATGCCTGTATGAAATTCTCAAATAATGGAAATAAACAAAAATAAAGTTAAATAAGCACTTACCCTGATAAGCTTCCAGAAATCTCACTAGGAGAAGAATGGCTGAGTGGTGAAGTAGACAGTCTGAAGCTCCCCTGCTCTTCCAAGCCAGATCCACCACTCTTGGGAAAGGCATTTTTCACATCTATTATGAAGGTGTATTCTCCAATAAGAACAGAAAACAACAATAACAAAAACCACACAATTTACATGCGATGGATCACTGATACTTACCAACACTATTAAATAAGACTCTACAACCTTCTTCAAAAGTGACGTGCTTGTCACTGCTGCTTGTCTCACTGACACATTCCTTTTTCCTTTGGTGTTCTCTATTATCTTGTATTTCTTCACATTCTTCTAAAAGGCGAAGGCATGGTACTCTGGAGTCCCTCACTGATGAGTAACTACTGGGTGTTGGAGTGGAAACCGAAGCAGCTTTCTCATTGTTCTGCACATCTGGTAATTCGTCAATGGAGCATGTCTTCCTCCCTGTGGCTGTGTCTCCATTCTCTCTGATGTTTGTAAGTACCGAGTTTGAAGAGGTTATTGTTCGAAGTGATGCTTCAGTCTCACTCTCTGTATTTTTACCATAGAAAACAGCTGCTGAATCTCCTTTAGGTTCCCTTGTATTAGTAGCAGCAGCATTCACTATACTGATGTCTTGAAGAGTCTGCTGTTTGGGCAAACATACATCCCAAATGTCACATGTGCCGGCTCTCGAAAACGGCTCCCGTGCACCTTCACAGCTACTAATTTCTGTTTTTGTAAGGTACTTCTCCATATCAAATGCATTGGATCTGTTACTTTTTTCTACATCATTAATTAGGAAATGAGACATGGTGGAACAGTCCTCTTGTGTATCATCATCCTGAAAAGTCTGGCCTCTTCTTTTATTTGTAAGTGCCTTCATCATGGCAACAAGCTGGGCAGGATCGGTACTCAGGGACACATCTGCAATGGCTGAAGCAATGGTGCTTATTCTCAGGACAGAGTCTCCACCGCCAGACAGTGTGTTCTGGTGGTCTTCCAGTCTGTCAGTAATGCAGAAAGTGTCCTAGACATAAGAAAACGTTTATTAAATAACTCCCTCTACTTACAAGGACACGTACAGATCAGTTTAATCTTTATTTAGTGTAGTCTTCTCTTATTCAAGGGCTATCTATGTACCTAGTGGATGTCTGAAAGCAAAGACAGCACACCAAACTACACACGGACACACAGACACACACATAGACAGAGACAGACAGACAGACAGACAGACAGACAGACACACACACACACACGCACACACACACACACACACTATGCTTATTCCATTCCTAAACAACATACATACCTATGAGAAAACTTAATTTATAAATTGGGCACAGAAAAACATAATGGGAACCACAGTATAAAACTGAGATGGGCCCAACAGCAAAAACTATAAATTGCTATTTATGGTCAACACATTAAAACATCTACCTCTGGTGACAACAGGCTAGGCAGTGCTGACGTCCCACTGAGAACTGGAACCGACAGCATGTTTCACAGCACCCCCTTTGCTCAGTGTGCTGGCACATGTCTATAACCTCCACAGGGGAAGTATAGGCAGGAGGGTCAGGGAACAGTTATTCTCAGTTATGTGTGGGGTCAAGGCAGCCTGGGCTACAAGAGACACTGTCTCAAACAAACCAACGGAAGGAAGGAAGGGAGGGAGGGGAGGGAGGGAGGGAGGGAGGGAGGGAGGGAGGGAGGAAGGGAGGAAGGAAGGGAGGGAGGGAGGGAGGAAGGGAGGAAGGAAGGGAGGGAGGGAGGGAGGGAGGGAGGGAGGAAGGGAGGAAGGGAGGAAGGGAGGGAGGGAGGAAGGAAGGGAGAGGAGAGGGGAGGGAGGAAGGAAGGAAGGAAGGAAGGGAGGGAGGGAGGGAGGGAGGAAGGAAGGAAGGAAGGAAGGGAGAGGAGAGGGGAGGGAGGGGAGGGAGGGGAGGGAGGGGAGGAAGGAAGGAAGGAAGGAAGGAAGGAAGAAAAGAAAGTTTTATTAAACAGTCTATCAAGGAGACAGGTCATAATTTCCTGGATAATCACTAATATAGAAAAAAATGTATGAGATTAATAGAAAAAAGAAAACACAATCCTATAAAATACAATCCAAAAGAAAAAGAATAAAGATCAGAGGAAACAGCCAACAAATAAGAGAGAAGATTCAACTGGTCATGGACTAGAAATTGCATAAAAGAAAGTACAGTGCTCACTTTGGCAGCACACAGACTAAAACTGGAACGATACAGAGAAGATGAGCATGGCCCCTGCGCAAGGATGACACACAAATTCATGAAGCATTCCATATTTTAAAAATAAATAAATAAAAGAAAAAAGAAATGTACAAAGGCTGGGAAACTGATTTAAAAAAAAAAGTCTCTTTCTATTTTCTTAAATGAGAAGCATCCAAAATAAGAACAAGGGAAGATTAAAAGTAAAGGGCCAGCAAGATGGCTCAGTGGGTAAAGGCAACTGCCGCCAAGCCTGATGACCTACATTCAATACCTGGAGACCCACACGGCACACAGCAGAAGGAGAGAACTGACTCCCACGAGTTGTCCTCTGACCTTTACACACACACTCTGAGGAACACAGATAAATAACTGTGTCGTTCTTAACTATAAAAATGTCATGGGTAAAACACAGCATGACAACACAACCCTAGGGAAAAAGTTTGTATTTACATGGTTGATACCAACCTCAGGGGTAAAAAAACAACAGGAATAGAGGGAGACGTGCACAACGATAAGAAGTTAATTAATTAGCCCAACAAATTTGATTTATATAGACCTAAAACTATAGCCTCAAAAAATTTAAAGCAAAAACAGACTCATAATGAGGAACAGACAAACATACAGTCATAGTGGGTGGTATTGAAACCTAAATGACTGAAGGAATAGCAAAATAATTTTAACATGCAATCAACTTTAGCATTCTTGTTTAACAAAGTTCACATTAATGAAACAAAAACAAAAGCAGATAATAGTTATGCAACAGGTGTTCCCTTCAAGTGAACAAAATGCATTTTTAAAACTGAACAAATCCAGATCCATTAAATATATGTCTTGGTAAAATTCAAATGACTAAGAGCAAAAATCTTGAACACAGAACAATTAATCTAAAAACCAAACATTTTAAAATCTGGAAAGATAGCTCAGTGGATAAGAGCATGTATTGTTCTGACAAAGTACCCGAGTTCAGTTCCCAGCACCTATGCCAGGTGGTTCACAACTGCCCAAAACTCCAAGTCCAGGAGCAGGTACCCACACACATATGTACAGTCCCTATCCTCATATACATATAATTAAAAATAATTTATAATTTAAAATAATAAAAATAATTTTTAAAAATCTGGAAAATCTCATAAATGTTTGAAAACTAAGCAAGATAATTTTTTTCAAAAGGCAAAAATTCATGAGCCTAAGGAATCAGAAAATATATTGACCAGGGATGAGGGATATCAATCAGTAGAAGAATGCTTGCCTAAATATATGTGAGGCCATGGGTTCAATCTCCAGCACAGCCAGAACGGGAAGGAGGATGGGCAGGAGATAGGGGGAAAGTGTTGATACAGGTAGACTGGGGGGTGAGGAAGGAGGACGGGCAGGAGAGAGGGGGAAAGTGTTGATACAGGTAGACTGGGGGGTGAGGAAGGAGGACGGGCAGGAGAGAGGGGGAAAGTGTTGATACAGGTAGACTGGGGGGTGAGGAAGGAGGACGGGCAGGAGAGAGGGGGAAAGTGTTGATACAGGTAGACTGGGGGGTGAGGAAGGAGGACGGGCAGGAGAGAGGGGGAAAGTGTTGATACAGGTAGACTGGGGGGTGAGGAAGGAGGACGGGCAGGAGAGAGGGGGAAAGTGTTGATACAGGTAGACTGGGGGGTGAGGGAGGAAACTGAATAGTGAAAATATGATGGATCAAAACATGAAATGAAAGACAAAACACAGGTTTCAGCAAAAACTGTGTTCTCTGGAAAATTCATACCACTAGATAAATGCTCATATTAGGAAAACAATACAGAAAATATAGTAAAATACACAGAAAATTCAGTAAAAGAATCAGTGAGCTACACATTCATCCCAGGAAGCTAGGAAAAAAAACAAGGCCAGTCTAAGCTACATAATGAGTCCTTTTCTAAATAAAATTAATAAAATAAAGCCACACAACTTTAAAACCCAGCACTAGGGAGGTTGAGACAGGCAGATCTTGGTGAGTTCAAGAAAAGCCTGGTCTACACAGTGAGTTCTAGGACGCCCAGGGCGACATAATGAGACCTGTCCCAAAGGGGGAAAAAAACTATTAAAATGTTTCAACTACTTGAGAAAAAAATCTAACAAAAGACAAGGAAAATCTGCCCAGTCATAAAATGTAGAGGAAATTTACAATAAATATTAAGGAATAACATGTTTATAGAAGATTCAGTAGAGATTTGAATTTTATTGTTCTATAGAATAAATATAATAAGGTTGTTGGCGGGTTAGTTGTTTGGTATATAAGAAAAGTATGGAAATGATTTTAGTAGATGCCAAGACTTACTATCAAGAACAATATTTACAAGTGACATAACACAGACAAGACCAAAGAAACATTATCTTGCAGATCTGATTTATTATAAAGTCAGCACATTAGTGGAATAGAGAAAGCATGAATTAATTAAAAAAAAAAAAAGTAGATACTCTTAAGAGTGAAAAGGCTAAGCCAGGCATGGTGGCTACTCTGTGTAATCACTCAGGAGGCTGAGACAGAAGACTGACAGAGTTTGAGCCCAGCCTGGATGACACAGTTCCTCTAAGACTAACCAGCACTACACGGTGAGCCCCTATCTTGGAGGGAAGCGGGGGTAAGTCACAAACTGGAAGAAGATAGGTGAAATTTTCATGACCGACCAGAGATATAAAGAAATCCTACAAATGTAATTTCACCTAAGAAACTACCTAAAAGACCAGCTAAAGTATAAAAGTACTTAACTTCATTAGTGATCAGTCAGAGGAATACAAATTAAAACAAAGAAGTACCACCACAGAGCTATTCAAGTGTTTAGTAATCCCATTGTGAGGAGAGGTCATGTGTTAGCATGAATTATTACAGAACACTGGAGACATCTATGTTGGGGCACCTACTCCAAACACTAGGCCAGAGGCACTTCAGTGTGAGCCACAAACGTGTGCCAACCATCAGCTGCATTAGGTTGTTCACAGCACACATTCACTAGCACTCATGTAGTAGAACAGAGCATACTAAGTAAAATGACCTTCTATCACATTCCTCTCCTGAGTAAAAGCTGAAGCAAAAGCAGTCAAAGAAAAGGAACACACTACATAGTTTCCTTTATATAAAGTCAAAAACAGGCAAAAAGAATACAGTGTCCTGGACACTAGTAATAAGTACTGTTTAGAAAAGGTTTTAAAAAAGAATTCTGAATTATTGGCAATTTTTGTTTTTTGGTTCTGGAGGTAGAAGTTGACAGACTTCCTACTGGCCAAGTCAAGAAGGACGTAACACATCAGACAGGAAGAACAAACCGTGTATGCATACATCACACTGTTCTTTTTCTTCATCTGGGACACACAAATTTTAATAACTCATTCATTGTAAGTCGTTTTATATATTCTTCTGTGTGTACATTATAAATTGATTTTTAAAATGGTTCTCATTTAAAGGACACTGTAACAAAATTGAAGCCAGGAAAATAAGGCCATACATTTTCACAAGTGTCCTTGGTCCATCTTATTTGAAAGCCATATCAAGATAATATAAGGATCCCTTTAGGAAAAGCTTGAGCTACCTCTGTCTTGCTTTTGTTAGCAGTTAGTGTCACATCATTTTCATCCACCTGTGACGTACTCTGCAGTTCTTCAGCCTGAAGTGTAACTGATCCTTCACTTAGCTGTGTCTGGGACTGTTCATTTAAATTTCCTATAGAAGATAAACAATAGTCAACTTAAAGGCATGTATTACCCCTCATAAATAATCTGAAATAAAAAAGTACCAGTCAAAATGATTAATTGTCAAGGAAAGTATCTTTGTGCTGCAAACATAAGTTGTCCTCAGTATGACTGCTTAAATGATAAGACATCTAGACAAAGGACAAGCTTTGATGGAAATCTCTGAATTTTAATCTCCCCTACAAATATTCACAAAAACTAATTTAATGTATTTTGGCTTCAAATACTGAGTTCAAAATTATACACTTCTTCAGAATGATAAAAAATTAATTAACTACACACACGGGCCCTTTATCCTAAGTCCTGTTTTGGAACACAGGCTCTTTAAGAATGGAACACATCTTGGGTTATAGAGATGGTTCAATGATTTATAGCACTGGCTGTTCTTCCAGAGAACCTGGATTCAATCCTCGGCACCCACGTGGCGGCTCACAATTGTCTATTACTCCAGTTCTAGAGGATCTAATGCCATTTTCTGGTCTCCACAGGCCCTAGGCATGCACGTGGTACACAGACATATATAAGACAAAACAACCATACATACATAATAAAATAATAAAATTTTTAAAAGAATGGAGCATATATTATTCAACTCCATATTCATGCAGCAAAAGACATTGGGTTATCAAAGAGGAATTGCTCAACAACTTAGTTAAACAAGAAAGTCTAACAAAATATTTTCTATTAGCCAGGAATGATGATACACACCTTTAGCATATCTGAGTTCAAGGCCAGCCTGGTCTACAGAGTGAGTCCAGGTCAACCAGGGCTACATAGAGAAACTGTCTCAAAAATAAAAAACCACCAAACTTTCCATAGATATTGCAGGAATATTAGGTTATATGTAGACTATTATACTATAAATTCAAAGTATCTCTTTAAAATCTATCTAAATAATAAATATAATTCCTATTATTCCTTAACAGCAATAATTTAATAAGCCAAATTTAACTAGGTCACTTGAAGTTATTTTCATTTGCTATAGTAGTTTATACAAAAATTTGGGTGGATTTTGGCTGTCTTCCCTACTTTCAATTGAAAAGAAAATGTGAGGTTATATAAAAATCAAATCTACGCCGGAAGGTGGTGGTGCACACCTTTAATCCCAGCACTCAGGAAGCAGAGGCAGGAGGATCTCTGTGAGTTACTTTGAGGTCAGGTAGGTCTACAGCATGAGTTCCAGGACAGCCAAGACTGTTACACAGAGAACCCTGTCTCGAAAAACAAACAAACAAAAAATGACAACAAAAAAATTAAATGTGCAACCAATGTTGAAAAGTTACAAAGCAATGTATATCTTCACCCACAGAGATATGATCATGTGATTCCCAGGACTACACGTTCAGACACAAGTTTCTTGAAGTCTTTCATTTAATCTACTACCTGAATTTAAATCGTGGTGAAGATGAGTCACTTCTTTTTCCAAATTACTTCTTGACACATCAGATTTCAGTAATGCAAAAGGTTCTCTCTCCTCTGGTGATCTAATAAAATAACCAAATGATGGCTGCAAAAATAATTAAGCACAAATTAATCTTCTTTTGAAAAGCTCTTGATATAATACTACTAAAACATTAAAATGACTTCAACAATCTATTCTTGCCACTTCACTTCAAGTCCAGACAGAACCTTTGGGCTGGTTCTCCATGGCAGTACCTGCCGTATCCATGGAAAGACCTGGGTTCTACATGCAACATGGAAGAGGAGGAGAAGCTTCAGACAAAACCTTTTCTTTCTTCAGTCCTAGCTGTCATTGAATCACTGTACCTAATGTCATTAGATAAGCCTTCCTAAAAACTCAGAACAATCCAGAAGTGACACTTGAGTCAGTCTTTAATAACCGTGACAAACATTCACTATTAGGCACTATTCTGAAGGTGGGGGGATATGGTAGAACTTAAATATAGCATGCCTTGAGATTAAGCACACTCCCACTGACTTTCATGGAAGTTTCAGAAAGACATAGGCTCAAGGAGAGAACTAAATTTGCACTTTTTTTACATGACTTCAATATCACAGATCTAAAATACGAATTCAGTTTCTAGTTGATATTCATTTGGAAGTTTCTTCCCTTGACCCAGTAAACTGAATGTGTAAAACTTCCTAATACCAAAATAAAAATTCTGAGTCAGACCTCTTTTCCTAAGATCTACTGCTGTGTTCTTCTGTTTAGGAAGGAGTTCAGAAAACTATTCATGGTGGCACATACTTGTAACCCAACACTTAGGAGGAGAGACAAGACAGATCTCTAAGACTTCAAGGCCATTTTGGTCTACAATTTTCAGGTTAGCTAGGACTAACTACATCCCCTATATTAGAGAGAGAGAGAGAGAGAGAGAGAGAGAGAGAGAGACAGAGAGACAGAGAGACAGAGAGACAGAGAGACAGAGACAGAGAGAGAGTGAGTGTTCAGAGTCAAGGATATGGCACACAACTACAATCTGAACAGAGTAAGATGAGAAGAAAACTACAAGTTCAAGGCCAGCCTGGGCTACATAGTGAGACATTGTTTCAAAAGCAAGACAAAACAAAAAAAGAATGACTACCTTTCCAGTTCTTTCATAATCACAAAAACCCCAATCAATCCACCTCTTTCAAGCATTTTATTTTTTAATTCACTGCATGGATTAAGACAGTTGTTCAAAAGTACAGTTTCCCAGCACTCAGGAGGGAAAGGCAGGAGGATCTGTGAGTTTGAGGACAGCCTGAGCTACAAAGCTAGTTCCGGGACAGCCAGGGCTACACAGAGCCAGGACTACAAGACCCTGTCTTGAAACACCAAAAATAAAATAAAATAAAATATGGTTTTATATTTAGGTTCAGTAGTTAAGAGTGTGCACTACTCCTGCACAGGACCTAGGTTCCGTTCCCAGCATCCACATCCATATGACAGCTCACAACTGCCTGTAACTCTAGCTCCAGGGTATCCGACACCCGCTTCCAGCCTCTGCAAGCACTATATGGATGTGTACTACTGGGAGCTGCTGGGAGCAATGGCTTTACCAGAGACCATGTAAGTATACAGCAGGTGACAACTAGTGTTCAGCAGGCCAACCCACTAGATGAGCAATTCCCTGATGGGGAGTCCCACTTGGCAAAGCCGTGGGGTCACTGACTAATTGACTGGTTGCTCCTGTCTGTAATTTCTCTCATGTGCCACTACATTCCTTCCCTAATAACAGCTATGGGTGTTTGCCCACTGCCTGTGTGTTTATCTCATGTACATAGTCCATCTATTGGGCAAACACATAGCTGTAGATGGTCAGGAAGAGGATTTTTAAAAATAATTTATTTATTTTCCTTTCATGTACATTCATGTTTTGCCTGCATTTATGTCTGTGTAAAGGTGATGGATCCCCCGAAACTGGAGTTACAGACAGTTGTGAGCTGTCATATGGGTGCTGGGAATTGAACCTGGGTCCTCTGAAAGAGCAGCTGGTGCTCCTAACTGTTGCCATCTCTCCAGCCCCGGAAAATGATTTCTGTTTAAGCTGTATAATTCTGATAAACAGAAACAATGCTGGGATATTTTTCATAACTGACATAGGAAAGTAACAGTATTCTCAGTTACAAAGACAGCTAATTTTAGACTTCAGAACAAATTCAAAGCAGACTAGCTGCCCCCGCAGAGAATACACAAGGACAAGTTCCCAAGCGTCTGTCGAATCAAGGCCAGGCATGAAGTAACTTTGGTAGACATAACCCTCTGCAGTAATGGACTTTCTGCAGGTACCCCTAGCATTCAAGGTTCAGCCAACTAACTGTTTATTGCTTAGGTCCCAGATTTCAATGCCACTTTCTGTCTGGGAACCCTGACCACTAAGGCTACGGGCATGGCCAAGCATTACTCACTGGCTGGTCAGTGTGACATCTCTAGCCTGAGAGAAACTGTGTCTTATCATGTGTTAAGAGAATGGATCGGTCCCTGAAAATGTAACATATAATTGTCCAGAGTTTGGCTGAGGAGTGAGAGAGTGAGAGAGTGAGAGAGAGAGAGAGAGAGAGAGAGAGAGAGAGCTGAAAGGGAGATGTAGTTGGGTATGCAGAGAGAGCTGAGGAGAGAGAATGAGTAGCTAGGTAGAAGAGAGAGCAAGGAAGATTTTCAGAGGATTTTTTTCAAGATGGAGTAAAAGAGAAAGTTACCATCAGAAAGTGTTTTTTCCTTAGAAAAAGTTTAGCTTTCACCACATTCATGGATTTTTTTTTTTTTCATTCCCTGGTGCTGCCTGGAAGTGGCCCTCCAGTATGTACAAATCCACACAGACACATGCATGTACACATAATTTTTAAAAATTAATTTAGGGGCTAGAGAGATGGCTCAATGGTTAAAAGGACTGACTGCTCTCCCGGAGGACCCAGGCTCAATTTCTAGCACCTACCTGATGGTTCACAACTATCTGTAACTTCAGTTCCAGGGAATCTAACTTCCTCTTCTGACTTCCACAAGCAACATGCATGCACACTGCGTACATACATACATAAAGGCAAAATACTCATATATGTAAAATAAATAAATCTTCTTAAAATTTTTTATATTCTACTCAAGTTTAAGAAACTGTGGAGCCGGGCGGTGGTGGCGCACGCCTTTAATCCCAGCACTCGGGAGGCAGAGGCAGGCGGATCTCTGTGAGTTCGAGGCCAGCCTGGTCTACAGCGCGAGATCTAGGAAAGGCGCAAAACTACACAGAGAAACCCTGTCTCGAAAAACCAAAAAAAAAAAAAAAAAAAGAAACTGTGATTTTGCCAGGCAGTGGTGGCGCACACCTTTAATGCCAGCACTTGGGAGGCAGAGCCAGGTAGATCTCTGTGAGTTCGAGGCCAGCCTGGTCTACAGAGTGAGATCGAGGACAGGCTCCAAAACTACACAGAGAAACTCTGTCTTGAAAAAAAAAGAAAAAGAAAAGAAACTGATTTCATTATACTGTGCCATAGTTTGAATCTGGAGTGTCCCCAAAGGCCTATATACTGAGGACCTAGTGACCAGCCTGTGTCACTGCTGGAAGGTGGCAGAATCTTTAGGAGGTAGTTCCTCGAGAAGGAAGTTGTATCACTGAGTGCATTTATTTCCTTGAAGGGGATGTTGGGACCAGGTCACTTCCTTCCTCGTCTCTCTCCCCTCCTCTGCCCTCTTTGCTCTACCTCCTTTCTTCTTTTCCTCTCCCCCTCCATGACTCCAGCCCTCCTAGATGCCATGAGGTAGTTCCCTCTGCCGCGCTCCTGCTGTGATGCAAAGTGCTGACACAGGCTCACAGTAACAGCCAAACCACCATGGAACAAGCCACGCCTCAAACCCTACTTTCTTTAAACGGATCTTAGCCATTTTACTACCATCTTGCTAGGAAGCTAACACAGGCCCTTAGTGAATTCAGCCTTAATAAACACCCACATTATACATTTTAAAAATTCTGTTGTAACTCAAATTCCCTGTGCAAAACAGATCTTGAGTCCCTGCACCTTTCAAGTTTCAACAGGTCACACTGTCCCCAGCCTTCACCACCTGTCTCCCCACTTACTTAAGTCTATGTCTACTTCTGTTCCTCCTGTGTTTTACTGGCTGTCCCCCATACCGGCCTCTGGCAAAGGTAGGAGCAACATGGAATTGACCTAGACAACATGACCAAGATAGTCTCTGCCTCCTAGTCCCTCCTGGAAGTTCATCTGAGATACTACCAACCCCTACAGGAAAAGCCCTAATGATCAGGTCCTTATTATTTATTTACTTTTTTGGACGATTTCATATGGCTCAGATCACCCTGGTTTTCAATTTGGGACCCCCAGTTTCCCCAGTGCTGGACTTAAAAGACTTGTAATCTTTTAATATCCTACCATGCCTACCTTCACCCTGGACTCTCACATTAGTCCTATCTGCCTTTGATGGACGACTCCGATACCTGCCTCTGGGCCTCACACAAATGGTTTTCCTTTACCAGGAACACTGTTTCTCTGGATCTCTTTGTCATTGTTTGATGCCAGTTCGATGTCATCCTGACATTATTCTTAACAGCACAATGAAGCAGCTTTCTACTCAGTCATTCTCTAAAGTACTTACCACTGTATGAACTGCTTGCATTCTAAAATCTCTATATCTACCACATATTTTAAATCAAAACATTCCAACATTTGAAAACATCTTTGCAGATAAGTAGAATAATGAATCCCAGAATTCTTCCTACCAATCAACCATATAACAATACCAAAAGTTACTCAGTGTATACTTGTGTTATCTGTTTCATATGTAGCAATACATTTCAATCTTACAACATCCTATGAAACAGCACTACACTTTAGAAATGGAAAAAATTAAGGCACAGAAGACAGTTGTTCAGTGTCATAGAGCTAGTTAAGAAGCAGAACCAGAACTGAAGCCAGGTCTGACTGGTCATAAAATATAAGCTTTTAACCATTATTCTACCAAGTTCCTAGGCTGTCTCCGCCCTAAAGTTGCTATGTTCTAACTATACCACCATAACATTCAAAGTAAAAACCTGGTACTGTGGTTCTCCCACCAAAACTAATACTGAGATGCGGTCTCCATTGTAATGGTACTGTGAGATGGTGGGGTCTTTCATAGGCTTTTGGTCTAAAAGGAATGTACCCTAATGAAGACATTAGGGTAGCTCTCAGAAAAGTGGTCAAGACCAAAGTGGGTTATTTACAGTCAGTTTGCTTCTCTTTGCTTTCTCTTACACACATACCCCTTTCACACACACGCACTTCTCCATTACGAGCTGCTACAACGGCACAGGACCTTCACAAGAAGTTGACCAGATGTGCCCATCTGATCCTGGACATCCCAGCCTCCAGAACTGGGAGCCAAAAATAAGCCTTTCGGTATTCCTTGTCCAGTCCTGGGTACTGTGTTACAGCAACACGAAGTGGACATGAGTGACTTCGACCCCTTTCAACACATTCCATACTTACTCTTTTCACATTGTTACCACCACCCAGGCAACCAAGAGCTTCAGATCTTTCTGCAAAGAACTCTCCTAATGACAGGCGTAGGTAACTGCCATCATCTTTGTCGAAATCTGATGTGCCAAGTGATTTCCTCAACAAATGGTAATTAACTGTAGCCACCCAGGACGTATCACCAAGTGCAACTGAAGTATTCTGAACATCTATTTTTTCATCCTAGAAAAGAATAAAGTTATTGTTCCATTTTTTCCCCCTCAACAAGGCTTCTCCTTGTTCTTCTAATGTGTGAAACTAAAAATAAAAGAACTAAGAAAACTTAAAAATTAACTTTTTCAAAATGTGGCCCAAAACATTTAGATAAACATAAGGATGAGCAGTTACTGAAGTCTACAGAAGGATTCATTTTTGTATACATGTTACAATATGCACTGTCTGGGGCTGGAGAGATGGCTCAGTGGTTAAGAGCACTGACTGCTCTTCCAGAGGTCCTGAGTTCAATTCCCAGCAACCACATGGTGGCTCACAACCACCTGCAATTAGATCTGGTGCCCTCTTCTGGCCTGCAAAGACACATGCAGGCAGAACACTGTATACATAATAAATAAAATAAATCTTAAAAAAAAAAAAAAAAAAAAAAAAAAAAAAAAAAAAAAAAAACAAACAATATGCACTGTCTGAATATATTAATCAAACACGAACTGTCACAATATATACATCTTTTTTTTTCTTTTGGTTTTTCAAGACAGGGTTTCTCTGTGTAGTTCTGGAGCCTGTCCTAGAACTTACACTTTATCCCAGGCTGGCCTCGAACTCACAGAGATCCCCCTGCCTCTGCCTCCCAAGTGCTGGGATTAAAGGTGTGCACCACCATCGCCTGGCGAATATACACATCTTTACCAAACATAAAGAGAATTACAGGCTGGGCGGTGGTGGCACACGCCTTTAATCCCAGCACTCGGGAGGCAGAGGCAGGCGGAGGCCAGCCTGGTCTAAAGAGTAAGTTCCAGGAAAGGCACAAAGCTACACAGAGAAACCCTGTCTTGAAAAAACAAAAAACAAAAAAACAAAAAAAAAAAAGAGAATTACTTTTCTTAAAACATTTTTAAAAAGCACAGAGATATCCATGGAAACTTTAGAAACAATTTTAAGTAAATTAAAGATAAGTCTGGGGCCAGAGAAATGGTTCAGTGGTTAAGAGTGTATACTACTCCTCCAGAGGACCCCAAAACCACTCCCAGCACCCACACCTGATACCTCACTGCCTGCAATTATAGCTCCACAAGATCTGATACCTGTGAGCTCTGCGGTTACCTGCACTCACATGCAGGTACTTATACATACACATAATTAAAAGTAATTCTCTTTAATTCTTTTTAAAAATTTTAGGCCAAGCCAGGCAGTGATGGCTCATGCCTTTAATCCCAGCACTCAGGAGGCAGAGGCAGGTGGATTTCAGTGAGTTCAAGGCCAGCCTGGTCTACAAAGCGAGTTCCAGGACAGCAAGGGCTACACAGAGAGACCCTATCTCAAAAAAAAACAAAAAAAAGGAAAATAGGCCAGTAGCCTGACTACTTGAGCTTACTCACCAGGACACATGGTGGAAGGAGAAAACGTACCACGAGCCATGGAACACACATGCTGGCCCTAAGTATCCCCTACCACAGACACACAATAAATAAATAAATAAACGCAAACTGTCGTGTTTACTCCCGTTCCGTACAACACCGGAAATGCAGTGCAGAGTTTCATGGGCCAGGCACTCCCTCCAAAGGTGTATTTTACAATATCAGTTTTCAACTAATAATTTAGAACAAACAAGTAAAAGTTGTCATAAAATGAAAAAAAAGTGAAATAATTCTATAGTAACTACTGGGGGAGGAGTTTTTTTTGGTCCAAATTTAAATTAATACAAGAAAAAATTTAAATCTAGGTTAGAACAAGTAATCACAAACCTGTATAAATGGATGTTCTTTATTGAATTCTTCTTCATCTTTTGCAATTAAATCCAATACTTCACCTTAAAAAGAAACAAGTTTATATAAGTACATTATATTAGCACACACAGAAAGCAAATTAAGGAGACACTCTTTTTCATGGGGAGAGGTGCACATGTTGGGGTTGCACTTCTGCAGGTTCCCTTGTCTGGTATGGAGGCAGCAGTCAACTTCAGGTGTCTTCCTCTACTGATCCAAACCTCCTGTTTTGAGACAAGGACTCTTGCTGAACCTGGGGTTCACTTTTCCCCTACAATGGCTAGCTAGCAAGCCCCCAGCATCTGTCATTTTCCCTCCAACCCTGCACTAGGGTGACAAGCACACACCACCCACCACCTTCGACCCCCCCAGTCTTTACATGAATACCATGAGTCAGAACTCAGGCCTCATGCTTCTATAGCAAACACTTTTATCCACTGGGCCGACTCTCAAGTTCTGAAATATAATTTCTTTAAGTATGTAAAAATTCCATTCACATGACTTATAATTATGTTAAGTACACAAGGTTGTCAAATTTCCACTAAAATGCACAAAACTGTAACTAATTTCATCAACAATTTGCCCTAATTAATTTTGGAAAGGCATTTACACATAATTCTAATTGAATGCAAGCACGATGTCATGTACCTACAGTATCACCCATTAAGGAAGCTCAGGCAGGAGAATCACTTGAGCCCAGGGGCTTAAGGCCAAACTGGGTAACATAGCAGGGTTCTAGCCATAATAAGAAAAATTCCAGACTCAGGAAATGGCTAAGCAGGTAAAGTACTTCCCAAGCAAGCAGAAGAACCCAAGTTCAAATCCCCAGAACCCATGTAGAAGCCAGACATGGTAGCACACAAGTCTACAATCCCTGTGTCCTGCAGGAATACGGGAGTGGGAGAAAGGAGAATCTGGAAGCTCATGGGCCAGGCCAACAGTTAATAAGAGGAAATCTTATTTCAAAAAAAAAAAAAAAAAAAAAAGGATAGAAAGTAAAGACAAGCATCTGAGGTTGTTCTGATCCCCACACACGATGCACAAGATGCACAAGATGCAACAGTTGCATGTCTGCCTGCATATGCACGCTACAGCCACATGTCATACATACAACACTCACACAAATTAAATAATTAAACACTCATTCTTTAAATTAATCAAGGCTCCAATTATTTTAGCTTTAAACAGTTGAAAACATGCAAATTAAGAACTTTGTCTAGGAAGGTGGTGGTGCAGCCTTGAATGCCAACACTCAAAAGGTAGAAGCAGGCAGATCTCCGAGTTTAAGGCCAACCTGGTCTACACAGTGAGTTCTAGGAGCCAGAGATATGTAGAGGGAACCTGTCTCAATGTCTCAAAGAAAGAAAGAAAAATAAATCTGTCTAGAGCTGGAGAGATGGCTCAGTGGCTAACAGCATGTACTACTCTCCCTGAGGATCTGAATTCAGTTCCCAGCACCTCCATCAGATGATTCACAATCACCTGTAACTCCGGCTCTAGCGAGATCCAACTCCTCTGGCCTCTGTAGGCACCTGCACTCATGTGCACATACCTATCTATACACAGATAAGTACATAATTTAAAAAATAACAAAAATAAATCTTTTTAAAAAAGAAAAAAGAAAGAAACTTGTCTATGTACATACACAGTATTTCATCTGACTAAAAGCCTCTCTACAAGTTAGTTACAAAGAAAACTGCTAGAATGCCCATGTACTTGTGTGGCCAGGAATGTACCAACCTTACAAAGTCCCACATCCCAGAACAACTCAGAAATAGGTAGTCCTCTAACATCTGACCTCAAAAACCCAAACGAGTACCTTTGCTTTCGTGGGGACGTGTCTGCCTGATCACACATCCTAATCTCTAGGACAAAAACACAAAGTAAGGAAGCTGGGAGTGGTGGACAAAGAGGAGCAGAAGCCATGGCACTGGATTGGGGAGCACAGCAAACAAGGAAGTTTTAAACACACGGCTAACTCACATGAGACCAGGGTCGACTCTATCTGTCTGTGGTCCAGGCCTCTGTCTGCTACTTCAAGACTGTACAGAAAGGGGAAGAGTGAACTAGAAGAACAGCCCACTCATGGCCAAAGCAAGGACACTGTCCTCTCATGTGCCCACAAAGAACTAATTAGATCCAAACTATCCTTTTGGACAAGTGGACAGTCTCACATTCACAACTTGAGACGCAAATGAGAACAGACAGAGTTCTGCTTCTAGTAAGGAAAATCAGAGAGTCGAGCACAGCTCAGGATTCCTGTTGCCAGAATGATGCTGGTATGTCTCTGCTGAAGCAATCACCGTGACAGAGGACCTATGACTGAACATCAAGAAAACCACGAAGCCCCCAAAATTAGATGCAAAATAGTATAATTTATACAGACATGTTTCTGTGGATCTATAACTCAAAAAAAGCTAAAAACACTATTGTAAAATGTGAAAGCATCAACCAACCAAATCTAACAGTCAAGAAAGGGCAAATAGGAAACTCAGTCCACGGGAAGATAACACAGAAGAACCTTGATTTGCTTGCATGAGTTAGCATTACACAGTGTTTAAAAATCATGGGATTGATACATCAAAATACTACTTATTACATTTCAAAGTGCTTTTCCTAAGGGATTTCTCAGTTAATTATCTCCAATACTCTAGTGTTGCCTTTCTGCTTCTCAAAAATCAGCCATGGACATTAAGAAAGAAGAGTTTCCATTTTTAGAAAAATATAAACCTAGTTATTACCTAACCTAAAATAATAATCACCTGAATTTTGTCACTGGTTAAACATTAAAGCAGGCTTCATGTCTTTCCTTACATGTTTACTTGTTAGGACAACAAACAGGAGTAATGTAAAACTGCATCCTGTTTCCTTCTACCAAGCCTTGTAACTGTCTTCTATATCCTTTGTACTAAACAATTTCCAGAACACAACAATTATTTCAGAAAGGACTTTATATGACTGACCAATACAAGTTGACTAGTCTCAAAACATCATCATAAACAATGAATCTGGCACAACAAAATTGGCTATCTATATACTTACTACCAGATCTGAAGTCTTCATTCATTTCATTATTTGGAGACATCTGTAAATCTTGCTGATCAGTAAAAGATGTGTAGTATGCAAGGTCAGTGACCCATTTGCCATCCTCATTTTGGTAGACTACGTTCTGTGAGAGATCTGTTTCTAAAAAGTAAATTCCAAAACCACTGAATGACGCATACAACAACTAACTTACTTAACAATAGTGTTGAAGTCTGCTCAAAATAGGTTTAAAAAAAAAAAAAGGAAAATCCATTTCCCAAAAAGAAAAATATCTTTTTGATGGCAACATGCCAAGCTTACTAAGAAGTCTATAATGGAAGATGAGACATAATGGGGAAAAGACTCAGAAAGGTACATTTACAGGGCTGGAGAGATGGTGTTAAGTTAAGAGCACTGGCTGCTCTTCTAGAGGTCCTGAATTCAATTCCCAGCAACCACATGGTGGCTCACAACCATCTATAATGGGATCTGGTGCCCTCTTCTGGCGTGCAGGCAGAACACCATACATAATAAATAAATAAAATATTTTTTAAAAAAAAGGTATATTTGCACTAGATGTCTGCTTAACATTATTATTTCTGAGCAATACTAGTATATTTCAAAAATCTTTAAAATCCGTAATAACAAGGAGGAGCTCATGGGGTCCTGCCTTACCCAGGGGAGCCAACGGCAGTCAAGGGCCAATGCAGGGAGAGGAAACTATTTTCTTTAGTGATGTAACTACTACGGAGTTACTTATACTCCAGAAGACAGTCTCAAAAACCATGTGCACTGGCTCTAGTTAAACCCAATGGGCCACAAAGCAGAAACAAACACATAAAAGACATCAAAGTGAGATGGGGACTTGATGGGGAGGAGTTTGTGGGTGAGAGGAGGGTCAGAGAGGGTGGAGATGAATGTGACCAGAATGGATTAAATGGTTGTTGAACTTGGGGTTTTTGTGGGACTCCTAACAGTGGGAGTGAGGATGTCTCTGACTCTTTTTCCTGCTCTCAGGACCCTTTTCCCCATTAGGTTGCCTCGTCCAGCCCTCATGAGGGTTTGTACTTAGTCTTCTTGTAGACTGTTATGTCGTATATTGTTACGTTTTATTGTATATTGATACCCCTGTGAGTACTCTTTCCTAAAGGGAAATGGAGGAGCAGTGAATCTGGGGAAGAAGTAAGGTGGGGGCAGGGCAGGACTGGGAGGAGTGAAGGAGAGGCAGCTGTAGTTGGGATGTATTATATGAAATAATAATAATCCATGACAATATTAAAGTACTTCAGAGAGTTCTACATGGCAGTTCAGCCTACTCTAAATATATACACATCTTATACACTTCTTTAATTCTACTTATGATGAAATAGTTCACTTACGGTCATTAGGCTTTGTAACGGACTCATAAAATTCACATGCTCTCCTTTCACAAGTTGGTGACCAAAGAGAATCAGAAGAACTAACTCCATTGTCACCATTAGTCTTCAGAGATGCAATGCTCTCAACTTTTTGAACAAACACTGTAGGAGTCTCCGTGTTTAAGCATCTATCCACATTCAAAACTGTTTCTAAATCTGAAGCCAAATGCTTATTTTGGTGAGAAGACTCTGAATCCTGTTTTGTGGAGTCAGCCGGGTCAAAGCCACCTTTCACATCATTTGTGTTGTGACTATAAGTAGGGTTGAGTGTCTCATCCACAGTACGCAGCATTTTCCCCAGAACATCCTCTCCTGCACATTCCTTTAAAAATTGATTAATGAAACAACAGTAAAAGTTTGTTTTTCACACTCATTTTAACACTTAATGGAGAAAGCAACGCAATTGCTAAAAAATGATTATTATATAAATAAACCGCCTATATAGTATTCAGTATATCCTGGACTATGTATGAGCCAAATTTAAGCAATTTACCAAAACCAACTTTAAATGTGGTCGTGCTCAAGTCTATTCACAGATGCATTCAGTGTTCTCAGTTTGGTTATTGTAATTAAAAGAGAGAGCGAGAGCGAGAGCGAGAGCGAGAGCGAGAGAGAGAGAGAGAGAGAGAGAGAGAGAGAGAGAGAGAGAGAGCGAGAGAGAGAGAGAGAGAGAGCGAGAGAGAGAGCGAGAGAAGGATGTTCATGGACTGACTATTACTGTGCCTCATCAGTTGGGGCCCAAAGCTGATCCTAGCTCTAGCAGAATCCAAAAGCTGTTCCATCTCTTTAAAGAAGATGATGTCTTGCCAATATGCTGTCAGGAAGCCTCAAACAAAGAAGATAATAAAAAAAAACCCAGGACCAAAACACTCAAGATTCAGGGTTTTAGCAGGCCGTGATGGCGCATACCTTTGATCTCAGTGCTCAAGTTGGAGGCAGGTAGATCTCTGAGTTCGAGGTCAGCATGGTCTACAGAGGGACTTCCTGGATATTGAGGACTACACAGAGAAACCCTATCTTGAAAAAAAACAAAAAAACAAGTCTTCCAGCAGTGGGCTGCATCTCCTCAAACCACTGTCCAAACAAAACCATCCTTCCTTTCTTCACCTGCCTCTGTCAGGTCAGGGGTAAGTTACTACACAGCCTTAGACTGGAAAGACCATTTCAGTCAGGTGAGGGAAGGCGGGGAGGGAGCTAGGCTAGACAGACACACACGAAAATGTAGAAGTCAGAAATGGCTAAAATGTTTCAGGACAGAAAAAACCAGGTGGCATCAGAACAAAGAGAAATCTAACATATGAAAAGAAACATGCTTGAGCAAAGTAAAAGACAACGATTGCTTTGGTGGTGTTTTTGTTTTGTTTGTTTGTTGTTGTCAGGTTCCCATGTATCCCAGACTATTCTGAACTATCTAGCTGCTCTGACCTTCAAGTTCCAATCGTCTTGCCTCCACCCCCTGCTGGAATTCAATGCATAGACCACCACACCCAGACCCAGCTATGTGCTTTATTAAATGACAGCACACTAGCTTAAAGAACTTTTCAAATGAATAACCTAAATGCATGACTTCGGATGTTTAAATCTAAGAAAAATGTATACAATTGCTTATGTTAGTGATACTAAAGATACATACAGTCAAACACAAATCATATGAGTAGTGACTTTTATATTTTTTCATATTTTTCAGAGGCTAACAGTGGTTGCTTATTTTGAAAATCTGGTATCATACAAACATGAGAGATTCGAAGGAAGTTGAAATACAATGCTTATCAACTTACTCTGCTTTGATCTGGAACAATATCCTTCAAATTGTGTGCCCCTTCCTTCTCAGTTTTCCAGGTATGAGAAGAAAATGATGATACACTATCTATCTGCTTTATATTATCTACAATACCTGCACAGCCACCTGAAAACAAAGAAAAAAGGTTAAATGGAAAATGTCAACGTTTAGGTAGTCTAATGTAATAACTCTGTCTTTTTAGCTTAATACTTAGTATTCATATGACAAATTTAGAAAACTGGAAACAAGTGAAAATAAGCATCAGTAAGGGAATGCACATCAGAAACCAGGGGGCATACAGAAAGTTGATTTCTAGTTCTCAAATGTCTGAGTAGTACGCAACCATTTAAAATCCCAACCCAAGAACATATAACTGTATTTCTAGCAGAACCAATTCACACAGGCATTACCATAACTATTTCTTGTGTAAGAGGTAACTGATCTTCTGCTCAGGTATTAAAACATAGACTCAAAGTTTTTAGGCTGAAGATTTTAAGAGAAAATGAGTTATTTGATAACAAATCATAGGAAAGATTTTTTTTTTCTAAAAAGATAAACTCAAACCCAAATTTAAGAACAAAGGAGAGACAGACATGGAGGCTCATGCCTAACATTTCAGAAGTCAATAGGCTAAGGCTGCAAGATTTCAATGAGTTTGTCCATCTGGAATATACCGTAAGATCCAGGCCAGTCTAAGTTACTATATGAAACCTTGTCTCAAACAAGCAAAGAAAAAAAAAAAAAATCATACTTTAACACTTACTGGTCCCAGGGAGACAACCATGGCCTTCCTCAGACTCTCTCTGAGTTGTTCCAGAACTTCCTGAAGTACATGCATCATGGGAAATCAGAGAGCTATTATTTTCTAATTGGAACTCACAGTTTAAGATATTGTTTTCATTTGCCTGTTAAGAAAATATCCTCTTTTAAATTAAAAAAGAACATTTTGAGGAAAATGTCGAGAACAGAATGTCTGCTTTACTGAGGGATGCCAAATAGAAAATAAGGGAAAAATCAGAAAAACCACCATGGCAACCACCAGTGTAATTAATATTTTATTCCAAGAGGCTTTAGCAATTAAACTACCACCAGTTTGTGAAGACTTTGCTGGAGACAGGATGTTTACAACTCCTGTATATGTCATCACACAAATGATTTAATCACAAAGGAAAAAGCATCTGCATCAAGAGACATATGACCAACAATGACATTATCAAACACAAAAATGGTACAAACACAAATGTGTCTGTCTACTGCTGTTAAGGAGTGAATACACAGCACTGCATATGTTTAATCAACGTGCTCATGAGAAAAATCAATCACTAGAATTCTTCCAAATGTTTAACCTATTCGAATCAGGGGAAAGAGTAATCAGAAGTTTCCAGATTATGGGTCATTCTACAAAACAAAGAGCCTACATCTTATAAAATGCTTAATGTATAAAAGAATTGCGAAGTTAGAATAAAGAAACACAGCAACTACAGGCCATATAACCTTTGATTAAATTATGAATCATAAACAGTAAAACTAAAGAACATTTTAGAGATAACTGAGCAAATTAGAATATGGACATTAATTTAAAACAATGTATCAGGCGCTAGAGAGATGGCTCAATGGTTAAGAACTGCTGTAGAACAATCCTTTTCTCATTATGAATATGTATTACTCTCATTGGTTAATAAAAAGCCGACAGGCAGATAGCTGGGCAGGAAATTAGGAAGGAAAACCATACTGAGAATGATGGGAAGGAGGAGGGTGGAGTCAGAAGACCAGCTAGCTGCAGAAAAAAACAGGACTGTAGAAATGAGGTAACATGCCATGAGCCACGTGGTAATACATAGATTAATAAAAATGGGTTAATTTAAATGTAAAAGTTATCTAGTAACAACCCTGAGCTATCAGGCAAGCATTTATTAGTACTATTAAGCCTCTAAGTGATTATTTGGGACTAGTCGGTGGGGACAGGAAACATCTGATTACAAAGAATACTGGCTGCTATTCTAGAGGATTTGTGTCTGGTTCTAGAACCCACTTAGTGGATTACAACCATCTGTACCTGCAGTCCCAAAGGATCTGACACCCTCTTCTGGCCTCTGAGGGCACCAGGCATGCAATTAGTCCACAAATATACATGCCAGCAAAACACCCACACATATAAATATATTTTAATTTTAAACTACTGCATCAAAAGTAGATTAACAGCATTGTGATTATGTGGGGAAATGCCTCTTACTCACTGGTGATAAATCTAGTGTACAGTCACAAATCATATGCAATTTATTTTCAAATGATTCAGAGGGAGAAAAAATGGCAACAAAATATTAATTGCTCAATGCATAAAAGGATGCCCATGGACTACACTTTCTTCATTTTTCTGCCTTCTTGTATATAACCTAGGTTGGCCTTGAAATCCTAATCCAGTTTCCCAAGTGCTGGAATTCTTAACTTCCTTTTTTACTTTCTTAGTTGAGAGCAAAGTAAGAGAAGAGAGAGAGAAATCAAATTTTTCATCAGTTTTAAGTCCACAGAAAACCACAGTCTTAAGTTTAATGTTAACATGAAATGAACCAGATATGGTGGTACAAAATTCTAATCCTAGCAACTGGGGAGGTAGAGGCAGATGGATGAGATGTTCAAGGTCATCCTCAGCTACATAGTAAGTAGAGGCCAGAATGGTCTACATGAAACTGTATCTCAAAACAGCAACATTAAAAAAAAAAAAAAAAAAAACTAATGAGACACACAGTAATTTACAATATCAAATTTCAAAAATAAACAAATAAATAATAATAATCCAAAAAAAAAAAAAAAAAAAAGACTAGACATACTTGACAGAAATCACTTACAGGTAACTTAAAAACATTTTCTGGTGACTCCTGTCCTCCTGCTTCATATATCATCCCTGGAATAGCCAGCTGTTCAAAATATGCTTCTAAATGATCATCATAAAATTCTTCATCATTAATATCATCATCTATTGATAAAGTAGAATGAAAAATAAGATAGATTTTCAAATAGAAACTGAACTACACACAATTTTTAATAACAAAGGCTGATAAACATAAACGGGGCAGTGGATGACATAATTTTGTTTTTATGCTTAGCCTCAGAAACTATCATAAAGCCAGGTGAGGTAGTGCATACCCATAAATTCCTAACACTTAGAAGGCAGGAACAAAAAAAAAAGATTGCAAATTCAAGGCCACCCCAGTCTACAGAGCAAGTTTCAGGACAGTTACAGCTACATGAGTCTGTCTCAAAAAAGAAATCAGAGAAGTTGGGGGAGGGTTTAGGATACAATTCAGTGGTTGGTGTCTGTCTAACATGTCTGAGGTACAGCGTTGAAGACCCAGGACCACAGAAGAAAAGGAAAAACAGCACGGCAGAGAGAGAGATCAACTGATATAATTATCTGTGAAGCAGAAGGATCATGAAATCAAAGCCAGTGTGAGCTACACAGCAAGATCTTTTCACTCAAAAATTAAATAAAAATAATGCTGGGAGTGGTAGCCCATGTCTTTAATGCCAACACTTAGGTAGCCCATGCTTTTAATACCAACACATAGGAGGCAGATCAGTGGTGAGTTTCTGGGCAGCCTGATCTACCTACGGAATCTAGACCAGCCTACATAGTGAGACCCTGTCTCAAAAGAAATTAAAAATTAAAAATAAACTCTGCCACTCAGAAGAGTGTTAAAGGAAGAAAGAAAAGACAGGGGGGAAAATAACCCACCCAAAGTATAATGACTACTACAATGTAGACAAAAAGGGAAGTGGCAAAGGGAAGGCAGAAAACAGCCATTCTGTAGTACCAGAGGAGTCTTCCAGGCTTGTGAGTGTTAAAAGTCTCTCGTTTTCTAATAAGCTGGTATGGCTGAAATCACTGTCTGGAGTCTTGTCTTCAATATGCTTCCTAGCACCAGGCATGACAGTCTAAAAGGAAACAAAGGGCACAGGGCAACAAAAAAGACCAAGTATTTATTTAATCTGCAATGCCGTTAATCAGTGGAAAATACAGGTCAGTCAATGAAGAATTCCAGGCTTTACAGGGACTAGTAACTTCCCTTCTTGCCCTACTCTACCACCCGCACTGACCCACCTTCAAATTAAGGCCCTAACAAACTGCCTCCACAGCTTAGAGAGCTAGGAACACAGTTAATACACCACACAACTGAATTTGGGCAATGCGAGGCCTGCTACAGCAAGTGAATGCATTAAGAAAGCTGGAATAACTGCAGATAAGCACTGGAGGTCTCCTGTTGCAAATCACCCTCTGGAACAATGGAAGGATCTTTTTACTAGCACTTGAAGGAGACCCAATCTGGTGGTGGTGTAGGTCCGGGGTTCTGTTTATGTCTTTTCTCAGGACAATGAGGTTCCTCTTTGGATTCCTGAGCGGTGTGCGCCCTGTGACTGCTGCTGAAACCCAACACGGCAGAGACCTATTGGGCCTTAATGAAAAACTCTCCACTTCCGATGCCAATGGGGATTGAGAGCCCAATATGGCCAGCTTTGGCAAGCAGTAACATAAGCCTAGGAACTCGTGCTGGGATCAAGAAAAAGGGGCCTTGGCGGTTCGTGTTCCTGGAGTTGTGTCCATGTCAGTGGATGTCCACACGCTCCAGAAGAGAATCTGACATTGCTGCTGCCGTTGTTGCTGTCATAGCAGTGGCGGCCACCGCTGCTACTGTTTCTGGGATTACCATTTCATAATTGCTTACTACAGCTAGCACAGTGGAGACCCTGGCAGCAAAAGTAGCTACAACAGTTAATTAATCTTTCATCCTATTGGGCATGATAAATTTAATTCAATAGTTACATACATTTCGACTGGCTTTGAAAATTACAAATTTATAAACTCAAGTTCCATTTGCTTTTGGGATACCATCTTACAAGGACTCCAATTTGCAGCAAGGCTCGTTAAGGAAGGGAATGAATGGCTCAGTTGCCTTTAGCCTACTGGCTATGGATGGGATAGGACCTCTGTTGGTCCTTTCTGTGTCGAACACACAGATTGCAAGCCCAGTGCCACTTTGAGACCTTTGGCAGCAGTTAACTCTGCAACTCACACATGATTGAGCCTGTATGATAATGAGTATTCAGAGACGGGTAATACCTAGGGGGCGCTCACCAACCTAAGACAGAGCGCCTGTGTGGCCTGGGCAGGCGTCTCCATGACGGGTAAGGTGACCTGCTGACGTCCCACACAACCTAAGTCAGAAGCTCATTTTTTAGTAAAAGGGGGACCTGTAGGGTCCTGGTCCCCGTTTTGGGTAACTGTTGCCTTGCTTGCTGACCTTGATCTTGATATCCTTCCTATGCTAATTCCCTGCCAGTTCTACCCTCCTGAATGCTTAAGGGAAGTTCCTTGTCTGTGTATCCTGCATAATGGGCATTAACAGCTTGAATGCAAGATTGTAAAACAACTGCCCTCCGGGGTTCTCCCATTGTGCTGTAAGCCTGTATTTAAGACCTCTTCCCTCCTCCAATAAACAGCATTCGGCATTTAAAAAAAAAAAAAAGATGGAATAAGTAACCTTAGTCCAAGCAATCTTTCCTATCATTTCTTAGAACTACTTATTTCTATTCTGCCCAACCCAAGAACCAGCTAACACTAAAGGGCATGAGCAATTTACTAAAAACAGGTAAGGCCCAGAATGAAAATTTAACACTTCCTTGTGTCATTTATTTCACACCAATATTTAATATATATTAAACAACAGATACCAACTTAAGAGTTAATTGCAAAATATGCCTAATTTCAAGATTAAAAACATTGCATGTCAATGTGATTTTACATTGATACAGGACAGGACTCAGCTAATCCAATAAATACTTAGAACAACTTTTTTTTTTGAGACATGGTCTCACTATGTGGCTGGCTTGGAACTCACTATGTAGAACAGGCTGGTCTTGAACTCAGAGACCAAGTGCTGGGATCAAAGGCAAGCACCACCACATCCAGAAAGAACTACCTTTGAATGTCCTTATTACTAGAGGTAAACCACCCCACCTTTGTTTTTTTGACAGAAGGTGATGGTTAGGGTTTCAACTTGACAGAAGTTAGAATCACTTAGGAGATAGGTCTCTGGGTTTCTCTAATGCAATTACCTTGATTACATTAATTAAGGTGAAAAGACTCACCTGCTATAGGTGGTGCCATTCCCTAAGCAGGGAATCCAAGGTTGCATAAGAGTGGAGAGACACCAGGCATGGTGGTGCATGCCTTTAGTCCCAACACTCCTGAGGCAAAGGCAGGCAGATCTCTGTGAGTTCAAGGCCAACCTGCTCTACATAGCAAGTTCCAGGACAGCCAGGACTACAGAGTGACCTTGTCTCAAAACACAAAAAAAAAGAGCAGAGAAAGCAATCTAAACCTGGGCATGCCTGCAATTCCTTGCTCTGTTCCCAATTATGGATTTCCTAGAACTGGGTACTCAAGCTCGTGCTGCTGTAAACTCCCAGTTATAAGGGACCGCAATGTGGAACTGTGAGCTACAAGAAACCCTTTTAGCCCTTTTTCCCTTGTCTTCCTCAGGGTGTTTACCACAGCAACGGGAAAAGGATCTAAGACATTGAGACTTCCCATAGAGCCCAAATTGGCCTCAAACTCACAGCAACCCTCCCAGCCAGTCTCCCAAGTGCTAGGAATATAGGTATATACCACCAAGCACTGCTAAACTTCCAATTTTGCTACAAAAGTTCTGTTATGTACAAGCTTCTCTGTGTGTGTGAGAGAGAGAGAGAAATATGAACTTCTACTCCATTATAGCACTCCACACATTGACAACAAATACAAAAATTTACCTTGTGTTCTTGGTTACTCATCCATGATTTTAAGTGAAAATCAAGAGCTGAGTCTATTGAAGAAACAACAAAAACTGAGGGGTCAGATTATTATTCAACACAATCATACTTAAAAGCAACAAATAAATGAACTAAACGTTTTTCTTATCTTGAAACAGAATTGAAGCATGTTCAGATGATAATACAGGAATGATAGTACAGGAATAAGATTTAGTAAGGGGAAGAGAAATGACCTCCACATAAGCAAGCAGAGAAGTCCAAATACAGAAATAAGCTATCAACGACAGGCCTCCCTTATTCAACGGCATGGCATACAGGACAAAACAAATGATCCTCAGACCTCAATTCAAGCACATTAGTAGGGGCTGCCGTGCTGGAGCACTAGGTAAGATTTAAGTTGACCAACTGATAATAGCACTCTGATCATAAAAGGTTTGTACATTTGGAGATGTAGTCTAAAATATATAGAAGGAAACAACACCTGAAATCTTACAATGTAGGGAGAGTCACAATAAATGAATAGAGTACAGGAGCACAGCTCCATGGCCAGTGCTTGCTGAGCATGTGTGAGACCCCAAGTCTGATCCCCAAGCAGCAGGACTTAGAACTGTCTCTGCCCCATGACCAGAAGTCAGAGGTTTGCTCCACCATATACTCCCACCACAACAGTCATGCCCACAGCAGTGCGACCAGCCAAGCATGGACAAGGTCACAGAAACGAAAAGCTACAATCAATCCTTTCTCCACTTAGGGTTTTCCAGGCATTTATCACCGTTTGACTGATATATATGTAAGTCTATTTTAATGTTTGAGTACTATCGAACTGACTTCCAAAGCAGCTGCACTATTTTCTTTCTTTTGGGGGGGAGGGGCAGGATGGGGTGGTAATTGTTGTCTTTTCTCTCGAGACAGTGCCTCACTGTGTAGTCCTAGATGTTCTAGAACTTGCTATATAGACTCATCTGGCCTCAAACTCACAGAGATTCTCCTGCCTCTGCTTCCTCATACTTCGATTACAGATATATATCACCACATTCAGCCACCATTTCCCATTTCTACCATCATGTATGCATTTTAATATCTACTTTAAAATAAATTTTTAAAGAGGGAGGGGAAACTGCAGTTGGTAGGTAACATATAAGAATAAATTTTTTTTAATTGAAAAAAATAAAATAATTATATATTAATAAAAAAATTTTAAATGACTCATCTGAGTATTTCAAAAGTATAAACTTGATTGTCTTAGAAATAATAATTTTAGAATTTCTAATTCATCCATTATATTAATACAAAAATAAGTTAGGTTGGTGGAAGGAAAGAGTACCAGCAATGTGCTCTTTGTTCTAAACATAAGCACGCTAGTCATATCAACAGCACGGTTTCCAGGGCAAAGGAGATCCATTTGTTTATCACAGCACAGAAACGTAAGACTGACATCAAGCAAAGGACAGGGAAATTAAAACTATTAAAATGTATGCATGAGCCGGGCGGTGGTGGCGCACGCCTTTAATCCCAGCACTCGGGAGGCAGAGCCAGGCGGATCTCTGTGAGTTCGAGGCCAGCCTGGTCTCCAAAGCGAGTTCCAGGAAAGGCGCAAAGCTACACAGAGAAACCCTGTCTCGAAAAACCAAAAAAAAAAAAATGTATGCATGAAATAATTTCTAACATTTCATACCTGGTACTTGTTCCAGAGGGGAAACTTCATCCAAAAGACGCTGACACTGAATAGATGTTGTAATGTTAGCTTGCTTCTCTTCTGTTCGTGGTCTCATGAGAGCAAGTGGCAAATGTGGACTTTCTATGTAGTTCTTTTTCCTTAAGGCAGAACTTTTTGAGGGAGTAGAATTAGGACAAAATGTTAGTTACCTTAGGTATATATCTATAAAATGTCCATTAATCAGCTCTATATTTCATCTTTCAAAAAGGAAAATAGATATAAACAGTGAAATAAAAACTAAGTCCAACCAGAAAATGCAACTGGAGATGCACTCTGGGGACTAGATAAGCATGCTGGGTCCTGTGGCACACAGTCCACCAGATCTAAGGATAATCTCTCTCTGCTACTCTGCCTCTCCAAAGAAAAATTTTTTTATCTATCACATTGTAGTAGTATATTATTTTAAGTTGTGTTACTTTTGTTTATGTTGCATTTGTTTAACTCTGTGAAGCTGTGTTACTATGCCTGTCTAAAACATCTGATGGTCCAATTAAGAACTGAACAGCCAATAGCAAGGCAGGAGAAAGGATAGGCGGGGCTGGCAGGCAGAGAGAATATTATATAGGAGAAATCTGGAAGGAGAAAGAAGAAAAGAGAGGGAGGAGTGAAAAGAGAAGGAGTCGGAGGAGGAGGAGGAGGAGGAGGAGGAGGAGGAGGACTCCAGGAGCCAGCCACCCAGCTACACAGCAAGCCACAGAGTAAGAGTAAGATTTAGAGAAGAGAACAGGAAAAGCCCAGAAGCAAAAGGTAGATGGGATAATTTAAGTTAAGGAAAGCTGACAAAAAATAAGCCAAGCTAAGGCCAGGCATTCATAATTAAGAATAAGCTTCTGTGTGTGATTTATCTGGGAGCTGGGTGGAGGACCCCACCAGAGTTAAAAAAAAAAAAAAACCTCCACATCACATATTATGCCAACAAAAAGCCCAGCTTTCTAAAACTGAGGTATACTTATAGACACTGGAATACTATGTTGGCCAAAACAGCAAAATCTTTGAATTAATAAAGGTTTTGTAGTTGTTTTGTTATTGTTATGATAAAGAGTCTCACTGGGTTCTTGGTTGCCTTAAAATGTGCATGCAGACCTGGCTAGCCTGGACTTTTGGTATTCCTGCATCTACCTCCCAAGTGCTGGCATTACAATGTGCCACCATGCCTGGGAAATAAAGGCTGCACATATTTAACCCTACTCCCACTTCTGTTCTCATACCTAACTTTCTATCTGCTTCTGCAATTTTGCATGCAGATGAAATATTTCATGCTAACAGTAATTTCCTTCCAACCTACTTCTAGTGTGTGGGTCTACAGAAGCTCACCACAGCAGGAAAGGATGCAGAAAGACCCACAGGGAAAAATCCCAAAATGTGACAAACACACCATTTGATAGAGACCAAGGGCCAAGCTTAAACTGCATGAGGAGATCAACAAAAAGAACACAGAAACCAGACGGGCGGTGGTGGCACACGCCTTTAATCTCAGCACTCAGGAGACAGAGGCATGCGGATCTCTGAGTTCTACAGAGTAATTTCCAGCAGAATAGCCAGGGCTACACAGAGAACTCTGTCTCAAAAAAAAAAAAAGGAAAAGAAAATGTAATCAGTGTCTGTTCTTTAGTTAACAGATAATAGACCATGATGACCTTCCTAATAATCACTTATATTTTTTACTTTTTTCAATGAGTATGTTTCATTCACAGTCAGAAAAAAAAAAATTAAAGGCTAAATATGCAATTAAAAGATGTAAAGGAAGGGTCTTACAGATGGTAAGTAGTAGTGTTCAAAGACAAAGTCATTCATTTTCCCCAAGACAAAGGGTAGCTTGACCAGAGTGCAAATGAAGAAAAGAACTTACTCATCACCCTGAAAGCTGAGCTGTAATCTTTGTCTTGGTTCAGCAGTGTCCCCCTGGCAACTGGAAGATGAGACAGAAGGAAGTGAAAGCCTTCCTTCAAGTAAGTATGACGCCTGGACATCAGGACACCTATACAAAAGTGTTAATATTCAAATTATTTACAATTAAAACTCAGCTTGTTGGGCTAAAGATATAGTTTTCTGTTGTTGTTGTTGTTTATTTTTTTGTAGTGCTTGCCTAAATGCACAAAACCTTGGATTTGATCCCAACACTATATACTCTGGGCATGGTGGTAGCTTATAATTATATATAGAAATAGGAGGACCAGGAATTCAAGGTCATGCTGAGCTACAGTAAGTTTGAGGCCAACCTAGTCTACATGAAACCTGTCTCAAAATTAACTAATGTCATAAGACTACACAATAATAAAACTAGCCACCATCAAATAAAAACACACAGGAGCCCAAGTGTTCAAAAATCATCTTTTGGAGAGTTACCACAGCCCCTTTGTCCCAAAGGTAAATGCTATCCCTTATCAAATAGTCAAGCTGGAAGGAGAAGGTGGTCAGATGTGTAAATGTAGTCAGATTTTACACACTGTCCAGACCATACACGAAATCATGTGTGAAAACTACACACATCACATCTACAGTGATATAAGTAAAACATACTTAGCCAAACATGTACTTATTCAGTTATAAAACTAGAATAAGAAAAATGAAAAACTAAATAAAAGTTGGTTTGGTTCCTAAGAATAAGAAACTTGATCTGGCCAGGCGTGGTAGCACATGCCTTTAATCCTAGCACTTGGGAGGTAGAAGCAAGGGGATCTCTGTAAATTTTAGGCCAGCCTGGTCTACAAAGAGTTCCAGGACAACCAGGGCTGTTAAACAGAGAAACCCTATTTCGAACTCCTCTACCCCAAAAAAGAAATTTGAGCTGAGGAACTGAAAATGATTTGAAGATAAAGCTGAGTTACTTCAGAGCGTACAAGGGTTAGGGATGTAGAAAGTGGTGAAGTGCTTTCCTAACATGCACAAGGTCCTCAGTTCAATCCACAGTACAGAAAGAAAGAATCAGAAGCATTCAATAAACTTGGCTAGCGAAGAAAAGGAGCCACACAAACACAGTAAAGCACGAAGCTGGCTGAAATGAAGTGAAAAGGGAAACTGTCACATAAAAAGATGCAGTGATCCGAAGCCACAACCCCAGATCGATGCTGAGAAACAGTTTACTAGTCTCCTTGTATAACTAGAAAACTCAATTCATAGACGTCTTTTCAGACATATTCTAGAACATGAAACAGGAAAGCATCTAAAACCAGTAAGCTGAGAAAATAAAAGAATGACAGTGACCCAGAGAAGCAGGAAGGGAGCCAGAAACTCAAGCTTAACACATTCCATACCCAGCTCTCTCTGTGTATCAGTTTATTATAGGGTTTGTAAACCTGAAAAAAATGTTCAAGTAAGTCTTACCTGCTGTCAATGCTGGGTCTGTTCTTGGCAAGTGTAGAAACAGCAATGGGCAAGCCAAAATTTGATGAAAGAGTGACATTTTCCAAAACCTCACTATTACCAAGGAGTGAATTGGTTAAAAAGCTTGGAAATGACTCTTCTGCTATACCTCGAAAATCTTCCATCTCACTGCAACAACAGCATTTTTAAATAAGTTGAATATTCTATTACCATACTATTTTCCAATGATCAAAAGAACAAGGTCTCAAAAAAAAAAACCAAGATTTCTGCAACATCAATAAGAAAGAATACCTACTAACAAATACTCTGAGCTAAAGTAAGCTTCAGAATACTTTGCTACCACCAGGCACAAGCCTTTACTCCCAGCACTCGGGAGGCAGATGCAGGCAGATCTCTGTGAGTTCAAGACCAGTTTGGTCTACAACGCTGAGTTTTAAGACAGCCAGGGCTGTTTCTCAGAGAAGCACTGTCTCAAAAAAAAAGAATACCTTGCTACCTTACAGTTGAGGATAAACACATCAAATACTAAACTTACCTTCTTAGAACCAACACAGTACAGAAAAAAAAGTTGGACTTACCCAGGGTTTAGTGGAGGAAGGAATATGAATTACCACAAACTTAACCAGTAAGGAAAGCAAAGATGGCTAAAAGTAGTGATTTTTAAGGTAAGTTTAGAATTTTGAGATTTAGAGCTAGCAAGATGGCCCAGTGGGTAGATGCTTGCTGTCAAGCCTGATGATTTAAGTTTATTTCCACATGATGGAAGGAGATAATCAATTCCCATAAGTTGTCCTCTGATAGCTACAAATGAGCTGTGGCACTCAAATATCCACAACTACACATATACTCAGATATACACATAGAAGTAGTAAATAAGTAAATACAAAGGAACGGGCGGTGGTAGCACACACCTTTAATCCCAACACTCGGGAGGCAGACGTGGGCGGATCTCTGTGAGTTTGAGGCCAGGCTGGGCTACAGAGTAAGTTCCAGGAAAGTCACCAAAGCTATACAGAGAACCCGTCTCGAAAAACAAAACAAAAAAAAAAACCTAAACTAAATATAAATAAATAAATAAATAAATAAAAAGGAAAAAAATCAATCCTAATGATTTTAAAAAGTGGGCATTTAGTCATTTTCAACACTTAATAAAAACAGTAAGAACAAATCTAAATCTAGCCCTGGGCTAGTGGAATGGGTCAGTGAATGGAGCCACTGGCTGCCAAATGGCCTAATGACCTAAGTTTGATCCCCAGGATCTACATGATGGCAAGAGAGAACCAACTTCTACAAACTGTCTTGTGACTTCTATACATACGTTGTGGCACATGCATGCCCCCACACATAAACATTCACACAAAATAAACCAACCAATCTAGCTCCTGGTTTCAGAGATTATTATTTTAGTCTTGTCAGATTTTAGGCATGAGGGACTGAACCCAGGTCTTTGAGCACGTTAAACTCAGGTTATATACTACTGAACCATACTCCAGTCATAGATTTAAGAATAACTAAACCAGGCTGGAGAGATGGTTCAGCCGTTAAGGGCTAGGCTCACGACCCAAGTGTCAAGAATAAATATACAGGTTTCTATATTTGTTTGTTTTGGTTTTTGAGACAGTGTCTTGGTATATAGTGCTGGTTGGCCTACACTTACTAGGTAGCCCAAGCTGGGCTGAAACTCATGCCAATCCTGCTGTCGCAGCTTCCCAAGTGCTGGAATTATAGGTGAGTATACACATAGTGTGTGGATGTGGATGTGAGCACAAGTGTATGTGGAGGCCGGAAATTACTGTCGTTTTTTCAGATAGGATCTCTCGCTGACCCAAAACTCATCAAGTCAGCCAGGCTGACTGGTCATGAGCTCCAGGATTCCTCCTGTCCTTACCGCTGCTTCCTTCCCCCAGGGCTTCGGTTACAGCCATACGCCACTCAGACAGCCTTTATGTGGATCCAGACTTCACGCTGGCACTCACCTGAGCTGTGTTCCCTTGAATACCGCTTAAAACATAAGCCCATTCAAGGACTATGTTTCAAGTAAAGACAGCTGGCACATGGGCATGGCAGAATGACAGAACTGGCATACAAATCACTAAGTGTAGAAGACCCAGGCACAAAATCTCTATCAGTAAAAATGGACAAGCTCACATTGGCCCCTGGTTCAACTTGACTCTGATCCGTGTTCAGATGCTACTTTATTTCAAAAATCTTTCAGGAAGCCTCCTCCCTGAGGACTAATTTTCCTGGTCCCAACTACTAGGGGGTAGTAGGGTCATGAGATCTTAAGAGAAGACTCTACTAACATGATTTTACTAACCAACATAATTCTAACTGCATTCTAAATACTTATTCTCATATCTGCAGGTAAGTGTAGCTCCCAACCTTCACCAAAGAAGCTTCTCTTTCTTTTTTTTTTTTTTTGGAGCTAAGGATCGAACCCAGGGCCTTGAGCTTGCTAGGCAAGCACTCTACCACTGAGCTAAATCCCCAATCCCGAAGCTTCTCTTTCAAGCAGAAACCATTACAGAAAATAGTCAAAATGCAGAAAAAACTAATCATGGGGTACCCAGCCCCAATGGTCACATCTATAACACATCCTGAACCTAAGTCTCAGGGAACACTGAAGGAAGGATGGAAAGACTATAATCAGAAGACCAGAAACTCTGCCTAAGACTTTGTCTCCTAAACTGGTGGTGGTACACACTTTGAATCCCAGCACTTGGGAGGCAGAGGCAGGAGGATTTCTCTGAGTTCTAGTCCAGCCTGGTCTAAAGAGTTAGTTCCAGGACAGCCAGGACTACTCAAAGCAACCCAGTCTTGGGGAAAAAAAAAAAGATTCTGCCCACTAAAAATGACAGGAAAGCTTCAGCCATGATAGCACAACAATATGGCTGCTGAAACAAGACTTGAACACCACCAATAGACAATGTGAAGGGGGATGTTTCCTGAGGCCCCACCCTACATAGAGAACTACAGGCAACTAAGGGATGCTAAGAGCAGAAGTAATACATAGTCTTACCCCAGAGAGGAGTCTGCTCATTGGTTATCTAATACCAGGTGGTCAGCCCTGTAATCATGTACGTACAAGAAACACTGACTGGACTGTGTGTGTGTGTGTGTGTGTGTGTGTGTGTGTGTGTGTAATTATAACTGAAGAGGAAGTGAGAAATTTGGGGGAAGGATATAAAAGGAGTTGTAGGAAAGAAAAGGAACAGAGGAAAGTGATGTAATTATATTTTAATTTTAATTTAAAAAAATCAGAGTGCCTACTAGATAAGCTCTATGTGAATCTCAGTAAAGAAAATAATGAGATAAAAAGATAAATCTTCTGGAAATGAGGCTCCTGGCACTTCCTGATGAATGAGAAAAACAAGCATGAGATGATGGTTTTCAGGATGACAAACAGAAGTAAAGCAGTAAGAGAATTAGAATTCATCAGCCATCTACTACCTTAACTCACTGAATCCACAGAAAGGCTTATGACTAGGGGTAATACGCTATTTTACAAATGAAAACACAAACTGGAGAGACCAAACTGAAATTTCCAAAACTTGTACAATTTTTAAGATTCAAACTCAACTCTGATTGATTTTAAATTTTCCTCTAAGTTTATGGTAACAATTGCAACTATTCCAATGTATTATGGTACTGGATGAGAAAAAAAATTGCATTCAGTGACATTAACACAAAAGAATTGAGCTTCAAATATGTACAAAAAGTTTGGGCTCACGGGGCAGTGGTAGCGCACGCCTTTGATCCCAGCACTCAGGAGGCAGAGCCAAGTGGATCTCTGTGAATTCGAGGCCAGTCTAGTCTACAGAGCGAGATCCAGGACAGGCACCAAAACTACACAGAGAAACCCTGTCTCAAAAAAAAAAAAAAAGTTTGGGCTCTTGAGAAGCAAGCCTGCAATCCCAGCTAGTCAGAGGCTAAGGCAGAATGACCACACAGTCAAAGCCAGCCTGGATAACCCTAATTCTCGAGATCTTGTCTCAAAACAAAAAGTAGTAAGAGGCCTAGGGAGATGGCTTAGAAGTAAATCATTTACCTCACATGAGCAAAGCCCAATATTCAACTCCACCACCCTAAAACTTGAGTCTATATCCTGCAACTGACAAGAGTTTGGGGACCAGGCTCTAGTAATAATAAAAGATGATGCTACGATTGATGACTAATGCCTAGATTTCAGGCAGTGTGGACTGATTTACTTATGCTTCAAGGAAAAAAGCATTTAAGAGCTATAAAAATCGACTTGGTTCTACGTGTCCAAGCTCCTGCCTGGAGCTCTCCTTTTCCCTCTACATTCGATCCCAACCCTTCTCACCAAAGCCTCTCTGCATGTTCCTTCCCATGCTTTACCTACTGTTGTTGGTCCTCCCTCTATCCCCGACTCCCTGCTACCCCTTAGCTGCCACCTGACCACTCGACGCTCCCTCTACTACATACTCCCTCCCTAATAGGAATCACATCTGGACCCCTCCTAATGTACTCCATCCAAACAGTGCTTGTCAACTTTACTACCAGTGACCTCCCTGTTGCTGAACCCTAAAAAACTGCAGGCAAGTTTTAGTCCTCACCATCTTCAGCCTAACAGAAGGGGATTCAGATGATTATTCCTTTACTGAGAAACTATTTCACATGGTTTTTGAGACACAGCTACCACTCTCCTCTTGCTCTCCCAGCTGCTCCTTTTCTTTCTCCTTATCTCCAGCAATTCCAGAGGGAGCACAGTCCTGCATCTCTTCCACCTACATTTTCTGAGTATCTGCCTTCAGTTTCAAAGCTTTAAATCCTATGTGAGATGTAGATCTCCAGTCTGGGCCCCTCCCACAGGCCCTAGGTATTAGATATCTAACAAGCACCCAAAGTATAAATCATGATTCTGTATCCTCCTCATGCCTTCAAAAAAAAAAAAAAAAATCTATTCAATCTTCTGAACCAGAAAAAAAAATGGCAACTCCAACCCCTAGTCAGTTATACCAAAAACCTTAGTCACGGAATCCTTTGACACTACCTTCAACCCCTGAAATGCAATCCCTCATCAAATCTCAACGGCCACACTTCAATAACACAACCGGAATCCTGCCATTCTTCCAGGTCTCTACCTTCCCCCCTGGTCATTTCCTTCGTTTGTTTTAAAAAGACAGGGTCTTGCTATATATAACCCAATCTGGACTGGAACACACATCCTCCTGCCCAGTCTCCCAAGTGGCAGGATTATTACAGGCATACACCACTACACTTGACTCCTTCCTTTCTTCTAATGACATTTCTCATCTTCATTTCTACAAGCATGTTCAAAGTTCTCCTACATCAGAATGGAGAAGGCAAAGAGAACACCATCTGCCTGATCTTTCCCTGCCTTTCTGGCTACCTTCTCACCTTCCTTCACAGCCAAGTGTCCAGGAGACCACTTCCCAGTTACTATTTCTGTCTCGTCGGACATCTTCCGCCTCTCTCTGCTCCTCATACACTAGTTTCCAGACTTCATATAACACAGGTTACATATTACACGATACAGGTCTGAATTCAAATGCCTCTAGGGTAAACACTGTCAGAAAGTAGGGCTATCACCTGGAAGTTACAGACCTCCCCTGAAGCCAATTAAATTCAATAGATACTCAAACAAAACACAAGAACGGCTGCAGTGCATTCCTGAGTGCAAAATCAATGTCCAAAAGCTATCCTCAAACAGTGTACATCTGACTCTAATCCTGCCACCCACCTTAGAGACCTCCAGTTTCCACACTGTCACCCTGTCACCTCACACACAGTAATTTAAAGGACCACAATTCCCCTACTAAAAACGGTTTACTTTCCCTTCTGGTCTCTCTCCCCACTCAGGCTTGTTCACACATCCTGTAATACTCCGAAGTCGATGCGCATCTCAGGGCGTACATTATTCTTCTCCCAGATAAGTGCATACCTATATTCTTTCTGACTTTGACCTCAACTTAAATGTTACCTTCTAAGAAAAGCGGTCCCTAATCAAATTCAGTTCCAGCCCCAACAGCCTTCATTATCAGTTTCACAACCTGGAGATCATTCTAATCTCTCCTGCTATCACAGTTATCAATTTATTCTTTTTTTTTAATGATTTCATTTCATTTATGTGCACTGGTGTTTTGCCTGCATGTATATCTGTGTGAGGGTGTTGGATCCCCTAGAACTGAAGTTGTGGGCAGTTGTGAGGTGCCAGGTGGGTGCTGGGAATTGAACCTGGGTCCTCTGGAAGAGCAACCAGTGCTCTTAACTGCTGAGCCATCTCTCCAGCCCCAGTTACCAACTTGGAATGTTTCTAATTTCAAATGTCTCTCTAGGGCTGAGACGCACTGCTTATTCCCAATGCATGCTGCCCATTATATTTTAAGCCACTGCACAAGTGTTCCAACTATCCCCCCTATGTCTAGTCTTGGACACCAATACTCCAGGAGGCTGAAGCAGAACTGCCTCAAGTTTCAGACCTGCCTGGGCTACACCGCCAGTGCCATGCCAGACAGAGCTACAGAGGAGGATCTTGTATAAACAAAATTTAGCCGGGCGGTGGTGCCGCACGCCTTTAATCCCAGCACTCGGGAGGCAGAGCCAGGTGGATCTCTGTGAGTTCGAGGCCAGCCTGGGCTACAGAGCACTAAAAACTACACAGAGAAACCTTGTCTCGAAAAACCAAAGAAAAAAAAATTAAAAACAAACAAACAGCACACGGCTCATCAGGTGTTTGCCACCAAGCCTGACAACCTGAGTTGGATCTCTAGGACCTATGAGATAGGAGAGAACCAACTCCCACAGGTTATCCTGACATGTGCATGTACACAAAATAATGTAATGATAATAAAATTTCAAAACTAAGCAAAACAAAACCCCACTCATGCATACGGCACATTCCTAAAGCTTTCCTACATGGGAAAAGGCCCTAATTGCCTCACTAATCCTTTACCCACCATGTAATGTGAAGATAATACAATGCTATCCATTCTGTCCTAATATTGTATTTTAAACAAGTAGCCACCTTAACAATTTCATTTGCTATTTTACTTTTATTTTCCCTTGATTTTCCAAGACAGGGTTTCTCTGGGTAGCCTTAGCTGTCCTGGAGCTTGCTTTGTAGACCAGGCTGGCCATCTTGCTATTTTCTTAAAAGGGTTTAGGGGCCTCAATTTTCACGCATGGGCTTACTTGTATTTAATAAATGACATTCACGGGCACATAAAAGATTACCTCCTGTAGTCTTAACAGGTCTATGTATATAGTTACATTTAAAAAGTACATCCTGTGGAACTCAAAACACAGTCACGGTTGCCAGCAATCATCAGTTAACTATTAGCACGCCGTGATACATGTCAAAATTAGGTAGACATTTTTGTATATAACTTTTTAAAACTTACCGTGAACGTGGCCCACAAAGCTGTAATTTGAAGAAAAAGTTGGTTCGGGAGTAATGAGAATACCAGAAGCATGACCTCAAAATGGTAACTGCAAATGGAAGTATTGTCATATACACAGCTGTCCTCCAAACGACTGTGTCCAAAGGGACCTCATGCTTAACCACACAAAGTCTAAAAATCAAGAGCAAAGCAAAAAGAGGGGACGGTAAACAGTCTTTTCATCTTGCATCAGCTGTTAGGAAAAAAGTGTGAATGAAGCTTAGCAGACACCGGCTGACATAAGGGCCCTCCCCTCGGAGCCAACCAAAAACGTTACCTCCAGGGTGAGAGTCAGTCAAAAGGGCAGGCCCGCCCATCACAACAGAGTAAAGCGGTCGCCAGAGCACTTTGCAAAGCGCAGAGGCCCTGAGGCCCTCCCTCAGAAGCGGGCAGTCCCTGGCCCGACTGGAGGAAAGACGGACGCGGCGGCTCCAAAGCCCACGGCCAGGCCGGGAGCCCCGGGCCCCTGGCGGGCCCCTGATCTCACAGAGCAGCCTCCAGCCCATGTCCCCACCAGGCCGGGCCGTCTCCGCCGCCCCCAGCAGCCGCAGCGCGGGCCCCAAATCGGAGCCCTGGCCGGCCCCCCAGGTCCACACCACCGACGGCCCTCCTCACCGGGCCAAGACCCCAGCTCCAGAATCACGAGCGCTGGGGAAAACGTCCGCGGAAGGGGCGGCTCCGCGGCGCTGCAAGTGCGCATGCGCGCGGCGCGGAAGCCCGCGATGTGCCCCTCCCTCGGGGGGCTAGGGGCGTGGTCTCTGCGCCCGCACCGGATTGGACTAGGCGTCGGGAAGGGGCCGGCACAAGCCTGTGATTGGTGGAGGCCGCGCGTCCCTCGATTTGAAGGCCCGAAGCCGCGCTGCCTGGGCTGGGAGAAGCCTTCCACTAGGCGCCGCCTTCCAAGTCTTGAGATGGCTTACTCAGTTTGAGATCACCCCCCAGGCACCGAAAGTCACCTTACACACAAGGGAAAAAGTCCGGCCGAAATGTCCCCGCTGTTTTTTCATATCGCCGTTTGGTAGATACAGGGACTTTATGGTTTGCTTTCAACAAATCATTCCTTGGGATACACGTGTCACGACAGCTAGTTACTACACCTAATCGCCGAGGATAGAGCTGGTACCGACCAGGGAAAGAAAATTCTTCCTTAGCTGCCATTCTTCATAGACCACACAAATCCCATCACTGCCTATGCCCAGCACAAACTCTTTTATCTGAAAAATCCTATAGTCTATCTTAAAATATCAAACACAATCTTAAAGGGGAAGGGGCTCTCTTTTCCTAAGCTAATTCCTTAACTTCAACTTTCAATATCTTTTTAAGAAAGGATTAAATGTAGGGAGGTGGTGGCACACATTGTTAATCCCAGCACTCTGGAAGCAGAGGCAGGCGGGCGGATCTCTGAGTTCAAGGTCAGCCTGGTCTACAGAGAGCCAGATCGAAACCCTGTCCAGAAAAACCAACCAAAAAACAAAACAAAAACTTAAACATAGAGAAAGGAGATAGAAAATCAACAGTTGCTGTACCTGAGGTTAGACTCGTCGGGAAAGCTATCTATTTACTTGATAATTTTCCACCCAAAAGCTTCCTGGGTGGTCAACTCTTGGCTAACCTCTTGAGGGTTACTTTCCGGAAACAATGCCTATTAATGGCGCACACCCATGATCCCTGCGTTTGGCTGCCTGAGGACGTAGGATACAGTGCCCAAGGGCCCCCAGCCTTTACAATACTAAGACACTGCCTTAGAAAATCGAAGCTTATTTTAAAAAATGAATGGTGCTTTTATCTACTATTCTGTGTTCGTCAAACTTTTTTTTCCCTTTTGTGGTACTTGTGTATTGCTCACATCCAATTTAAAAAAAAAAAAAAGGCCTGCCAAGCGGTAGTGGCACACTGCCTTTAATCCCAGCACTCAGGAGGCAGAGGTAGGAGGATATGGTAACCAAGGCAGCCTGATCTACAGAGTGAGTTCCAAGACAGCCAGGGCTACATACCGTCTGGAAGGGGGGGGGAGGGGGAGGGGAGGAGTGGGAGGAAAAGGAAAAAAAAAAAAAGAAAAAGGGTAAAAGAAAAAAAAAGGGACTTCCATACTGCTCAGCTGGGCCTCAAAGGAATTGATAGACTCCCCTTCTTTCACAAAGGATCTTAACCCAATTGGAGGTTAGCTGTGCAACGTGTCCTTCACCCTGTACCACTGAGTTCCCAAGAAATAGCCACAATCCTAAAGTCACCAGAACTTGCCCCAAAACACTCAGCAACCTGTTGATTCTCTGGTGACAGAGATGAATATATCAAAGGATATATATGTATGTTAAACAAAAAAAAGCCTGAACTCTAATGCTAACCTGCCTAAATGGGAACCGTATCAGTTTCGTCTGTAAAATGGGACTAACTGGAGCCCTGGGTGGTTCAATTCATGTACCTGGGAAAGCGCTGGTGCATGGAAGCACTTGGTACTCAACAGGTAGGAGCAACTGTCTTACACCAGCATCTTACCTTACCTGCCAACTATAAAGAAAAATGGAATTCCCAATGTAACTTACAAATCTTTATAGAACTTAGAGCCATAGAGGTCCTACAACCATCGGTGCCTTCCAAAGCATTAGAGGTGATGCCTATCCAAAACAAAAAATAAAAAGCCTGATGCTCCTGTACCAATTGCTTTCAGTGGAATGCCTGTCAATATCCAATCCCAGTTACAAGATATGCATTTAGATTAATCTCACTTTCCTAAAAATCATGTTCTCTGAAAAGAACCCTATTGTCGTCCCCCCCCCCCCCGAACTGTTCAACCCATGAAAATGCCACATCTCTTCCAAATTCCGCCAGCTAATGCAAGTCAGTAGCTTTTATACTTATCATGCAGTCACGATTTTGTATGTCAGAACGCACTATTCAATATACTTTAGACATGTTTTCTCACTAAACTGAATTTGTGGGCTCATTGATTACCTTTCCTTTTTTCACATATCTTCCAGCATACAGCATTAGTATATTAGACTAAATTAAATTGGAGACTGGTTCTCAAGTCTCATTCTAACTCTACAATAAAGCCACTGAAATCTCTAAGACATGAACTGTTAATTCTGAAATAGAATTATCTTTAGACACCTTGCTTTAATCCTACTTAAGTCTACAACTCACCCCTTGAACAAAACTCTTAGGAAGTATTTAAAAGAATTTCTTTTCACATTGCAATGCTAATTTTAAAGGCAGTATTTTTTTTCCTTTTAGTGATAGGTCTTGCTATGCAGGCCAGGCTGGCCTCCAAATCATGAAAATCTTCCTGCCTCAACGTCCCAAGTGCTGGGACTACAGACATGCACCACCATGTCTGGCTTACTTGACATCATTAAACACAACTCAAATGTCTCTTTAATTAAAATAGGCTCTATCCTATCTAATCTTTATCATCTCTAATTTACGATGCTCTAAATACAAGGTCATAACAATTACGTCACCAGTGTGAAAAACATATTTATTTGCACATATGAAATGCTTTTTAAAATACATCTCTTTGGGCTGGAGAGATGACTCTAAGTGAAGACCCAAGTTAGGTTCCTGGCTCCAATGTCCAGCAACTCACAGATGCCTGTAATGACAGCTCCAGGAAATCTGGCATCCTCTTCTGGACTCCAAGAGCACCTGAATTCACGAATGCATGCACTCACACATAAACATAATTAAAAACAGAACCTTTTTTTTTTGGTTTTTTTTTTTTTTTTTTTCGAGACAGGGTTTCTCTGTGTAGCTTTGCGCCTCTCCTGGAACTCACTTGGTAGCCCAGGCTGGCCTCGAACTCACAGAGATTCGCCTGGCTCTGCCTCCTGAGTGCTAGGATTAAAGGCGTGCGCCACCACCGCCTGGCTAGAACCTTTTTTTTAAAGACATCTTTTTGCCTTGAAAAGTAAATCCTCAACAAATCCTAAGAAAACTAAGCCAAAGTAAGATGACTAGCTCCATGGTTTTAATCACTTAACCATATTAAAATAAAACTTGCTTTCTGACTACAAATTAGCATTGAGCCAGGCATGGTATCATATGCTCTTGATCCCAGCACTTGTGAAACAGAGACAGGTACATCTCTGAGTTCAAAGCCAGCCTTGTCTACATAGTGAGTCCCAAGAAAGCAGGGGTATGTAGAACCCTGTTGTCCCCCACAAAAAAACACAGTAACAATAATGCTGAGTACTGAGATTGAAGTCAACATTTGTCAGTTCTGAATGTTAACTTACATACTGATGTTCTGTTTTAATGACATTTCTATTGTGTGCATGCAAACTCATTCTCAAATACAGTCTTTGTGCGGAGTCAAAGAACGACCTGCAGGAGCTGGTCTCTCAGCCTACCATGTGGTTTCTGGGGAATGCATTCAAGTGGTCAGGTTTCGTGGTAGGCATCTTTACCCAACGAGCAATCTCACCTAGTACTGTGCCTTTTTATGTAACACTTATTTATCCCCTGATAAATAAACATGTATGTATTTATTTTTCAGCTTTTTTGGTTTTGTGACATGGTAAAAGTCTAAGCCTAAACTCTCTTCAATAAAGAAGATTCTATTTTAGCCAGGTATGGCAGTGTAATCCTGTAATCCCAGCACCTTGGAGGGGGAGGCAGGTGTGTCAGGAGTTCAAAGTCATCCTAAACTACATAGCCAGTTCCAGGCCAGGCTACAGACTTTGTCTCAAAAAACAAACCAACAAACAAGAAAACCCAAGTACATACAGATTCTATAAGACAAGAGATTCATATCTTTTAAAATGTTTTTATTAAATAACCTACTTGGAGAATAATTACAAAAGCTTTAAGCAGTTAATTCCAAGTAGTGAAAGGCATTTTCATTTAAAAAAAAAAAAAAAAAACAAAAATATCCTTATGATTTGCTGCTTTATACACAGGAATGATTTATTTTACAGTCATTTGTAACATCAGCCTATAAAATTCAAAACGTTTTTTAATGTCTGAAATGCAGAGTGACATTCACAATGATATGCTTTTGCACGAAGCTGTCTATTAACAGGCAAAACTGAACTCTATGACAAGTCCATACAGAATTTACAAGACAGGCACTTTGAATTTGATACTGGGAGTCTTTCACAGTTAATGTTGCTTTTTTGAAGCTCATCTCTCACCAGAGGTAACCCACTAGTGAAGCCAGGGTTTCCTGCTGCAGAAGTACAAACAGGTTTGGTTCCAAACACTTCAGTTGTGATACATGCAAGACATGCCCTAAGTAAGAAGGATCTTCTGAAAGAAAACGAAGAAAACCAAAAAAGCAGCCCGGAATAAAAGCATTGACAAGCATCTGAACGAGGCCTTTCAATCAGTGGTTTAAACCCCTTCGTTCTCAGGTAAGGGATTAAGAGGCCGAGAGAGGCACCCTCTGCGAGGGGGAGGGTACTGGAGGCTGGCAGTGTCCGCATCGCAAGAGCGCTCTACCAGAGGAGCAGGAGGAGGAAGAAGCTGGGCACAGCTGGACCATCTTGATCCAGCCCGTGGGGAATCCAGAGGGGGAAAGAAATACCTGAAATAATGAAGACAGAAACAAAACACCAAAACAAAAACAACAGGGGGAAGGAGGGAGGGGAACAGAAGAAAAAGAGAAAAGCAGTAAATACAAAGAGAACCAAAGAAGAGAAAACATGCTGGAAGGGGGGAAAAAAAGAAAAAAAAAGCTTATATATTCATGCCAAAACCAATAGAACGTAATAGTACAAATCAAGACTCACTTAAATCAAGGTTGCTTAAGCAAGTATAAAAATTTGGAAAGAAATCTGTTAAAGTTAAAATGCCAAAAAAAATGATCAGTCCATATGTTACAGAGACATTAATTTTATCAATGTAAAGCATTATCTGATCTCTCATTGATACTGTGATTTACAAAGCTAACACGCTTTTCACTTTGAGCAGGACTGCACTTGCTGCAGCAGCCGCCGGCACACACTGCTGAGTGCATACATGATACTGAGAACCAGTCCCAACACTCGCACACTGTAAAGCCGGCTACTGCAACATGCTTTTGAAAAATAAAATCATTGGACAGTTGTGGTTTCCTGCAAAAAAACTGAAAATAGCTACAGAATTTTGGTGTGTAAAAAGGCTCAAAGAATTACAGCCTGTTATTACCATCTTATAACTTACCCGTAATATGTATGCAATTTAGTAAATGAAAAGGTGTATAACTATGTCAAAGTCAAGAGTTTCAGAAGACAGGAATTCATTGAAACAACACATTAAAAATCCTGAGACATGGAATTTCGATTGCATGCACATTTTCAGCAAAATGTCAATTCTTCTTATGTTTCCAATTTGTCTCAAAGGAAACCAAGCTGTCTAGCATCACACCATAAACATTCATGCACATATTAGAAATAGCCATCTCTTAATGAGTATGAGATGAAAACTTAAAAGTGCTTCCACTATGTTACCACCAGATAAAATGGTAGCAAATGCTATTTTATCGCAACTCTGGTGCTACGTTAATAAATCTGCTTCTTTGCTAGTACTTTTAATTACAACCAGCTGTGTGGATAATATCACCTATAAAGCAATTCTACAAAAGGTAAACAAATTAGCACTCAAAACAATCTTTATGAAAAATATTTATTTGATTTTCAAATTAAAATTATAAAAACTCATCATTTTAGCTTATTGTTGTAGAAAATAAAAGACATATCCCTATATTCTCCAAATGGAATAAAATTATATTTTTCCTCCTCCCAACAGTTTTATGAGGATAGTAGCAATCTTTTCAGTTTTTAAACCCAAGTTAGTCTTCAGAACATTTCAAAAAATTGTTTTGGTGATGATGTCTCAACAAAAAGCCTTTCCATTTATAGTGTCAGCAAACTGACTAGTACAAAAACTTATATACGCTGTCATTTTAAAGGCCTTTTGGACTGTGTTTAGAAGTGAGCAGGCTGCTGGTGCATCTTGGGAGAGATCAAACGGCGCTGGGGAAGGGGAAAAGGAGCTCGGTCTCCATTCCTGTGTGCATGCAACAAACAGCCAACAGCAAAGTTACTCCAGCTAGCTGTGCTCAGCTGTGCTTTCTGTCGAAGGACATAATACAAATGGAAAAGGGAAAATGCATCACAGATCCAACTCAGATGGTTATCGGCACAATCAGAAAATAGATCAAACCAGCAAAGCTATTTACAGAAGAAAATAACAGTACAAAAGCTATAGCCTAAAACCAGATTTTTAAAATCAACTCTATATGCTTTCCTTGGAAAATAATCTGCTCTCCTTTATGTTAACTGGAAACTGTTTCTGTAGTTGCAAATACTTGACACCTCAGAATCAAATAGGAAGATTTCTTTATAAAAAATACAATAGTATCAAAACAACTGGGAAAATTAAAATGCAATTTCTTCTTTGGTTTTGGATGAGAATGGCATAACCACAGAGCAGTTAGGGCTAGATTCTGAAGTTTCCTAATCTATTCCAAATTATACCCAAAGGCATATTAAAATAAATTTATATCACAAATTTATGTTTGAATTGGAATATGAAAGTGACTATGTCAAATTTTGCTTTAAATGTTTGCAGAATAGTCTAAATGTTAAAACCTCAAATTTTATCATTTCCTCAATTATAAGCACAAAAGACAAATAATGACACTCACTGTTCTCATAAAACTGTAGTTGTGTACTTTATTAAATGTCAATGTGACCTGATGCAAAGCCCACACATCAAGCACTAAAAAAAATATGGATGTTTATCTAAGTAAGAGTCAACCCTATTAAATCACACCTTCTCTCCCTCCCTGCTACAGAAAAGAACACAGAATCATGAACAAAGCTATTAATATTTTTACTGACCACTGAATTTCGGAATATAGCTGAGTGATCTTACAAACTATTGTACATACCATAACTAAGAAAGCCATTAAATACAGACCCAAGAGTGAAATTCCAAGGGTGTCACAATTATTGGTGAATTACTTTATTCTACCCTAAGTCACCTTTTGGTATGGCTATCATGAGAGGTGGCTCAGCAATTAAAAGCAATGGCTGCTCTTGCAGAGGACCCAGGTTTGATCCCCAGCACCCACATGGAGGCTTATATGCATCCATAACTCCAGTCCAGGGAACCTGACTCTTCTGGCTTGCACAAACACTGCACAATGTGGTGCACAGATATGCAAGGAGGCAGAACAGCCATATACATAAAATGAAAGTGTGCCCAGGGGTAGGGTTCTTGGTTTTCCCACAGAGGAGCCTACCTGCCAACAGAAGATCCATTTAATGAGTTTTGAAGATTTGGAATATTTGAGCTTAGTGAAGGATTTGCGCTTCCCAGCTGAGAACTCCCATTTACTGGGCTCCCGTTACCTTTCAAAATACCAGTACACTTCCAGTTGTCCATGTAATTGGCTGAAAGAAAAAATAACCGAATCCATTAATAGGATCAATATCTATTCATAATACATGTACCTGCACTGTTGCAGGACACTGATCACACTGTGAACCCTGAGGTTGCATTATTTACTGGAAAGACCTGTTTCTAGTTGTGGTGTGGCTCAGCCCTAGGACATACCTTTAATCCAAAAGCTTTCTGCTAATATTGTGAACAGGATTAAACAGTCAAGCATAGGTCAAGAAGCAGAGCAAGCAGCCAGTTGACAGGAAGTGAACATATGGTTATCAAGAAAAAAGCAGAGCAAGTAAGAGGGAGTCAGGAGGACAGATAGAGACGTACAGGAAGTAGAAGGGAGGGGCGCTGAGTTTGAGGAGATCTGTTGAGAGGGTAAGAGAGAGAGGCTTCAGGGATGACAGCAGAGGAGGAAGGTCAGCTGGGTGCTTTCTCTGCCTCTCTGAGCTAGCAGGCCTTCACTCCAGCATCTGGCTCCCGAGTGTCTATTGGTAAAATCGAACAATTGAGATTCTGTTAAAAACAACGCTGCACTCTTCTCCTAAACTACAAGAAATGAGAGAAAGTATGGGCTACATTTTTAACAACGTTTGTGTCTATGCAATGCGCGCCCAGACTCTGGTCATGTGGAAGCCGGACGGTGATCCTGGGCATCTTCCCCTTTGACTCTTCACCTTAGTTGAGGTATGGTCTCTCTCTGAACCTAGAGCCCACCACTCTGACTACCCCAACTGTCCAGGGAACTCCAGGGACCTTCCTGCTTCCGCCACCCTATGGCTAGGATTACAGCTGCACACTAACAGGCCTGGCTTTTCCATAGTGCTGAAAATCTGAACTTAGGACCTCGTGTTTACAGCAAGCACGTCAGCAACTGAGCAGTCTCCACAGCTCCAGTCAGCTACATTGACTTCCAGGTACACATTTAGGACAATTTTTAGATGAAACACATAACCAAGTCTTTAAGGTTTTCGAGGAATTATTAATTTAAACTGCCCATGGTAACTCATACCTGTAATCAGAGCTTCAGAACGCTGAGGCAGAAGGGTTGCTCTGAGTTTGAGACCAACCTGGGCTACACAGTGAGTTCCAGACCAGCTAGGCACAGACAGAATGAAATCCTGTTTCAAAAACAAAGAACTACTAGTTTAAAAACCACTGAAGCTTTTCCATCTATTTCCCTTCCTTGCAAGAGAATGAACAGAGACCATCCTCTCATCTGTAAGATTAAGAAGTTAATATCCAGGTTCCGGGAATAGTTCACTCAATAAAGTGCTTGCCTTACAGCCACATGGACCTGAGTCCAATCAAAAGAACCTACCAGATATGGTAGCATGCCCTTGTAATATCAGCAATGGGACGTCAGAGATAGACGTTCTGGGGCTCAACAGCTGGCAACCGAGCCTACTTGGCAAGGTCCCAGGCTAGAAAGACCTTGTCTCAAACCAAAAAGGTGGATCATACCCTTAAGAACAATACCCAAGGTTATCCTCTAACCTATACACACGTGTGCACATACTAGCTAATATCAAAATAAAATCTTTAAAAAACAAACCCAAATTCTTTGTCTTTCTTACAATGAATATGTATAAGGAATGGATCGATCTCTTGGCTATGCAAATACACATTATTACATGGGTACTTGTGTAGATTACGGTAGAGAGATATATTGATAAGAAAACCTGTGTGGCAGTTTAGTGGCTCATCCAACATAGTCTCATCTTCGAATGTAAAACTAGTCCCTGAAGTCAATTAACCCACTGAATCAAAGTTAAGGACCTAATGGGATACTATTAGGGTTGTTATACTTGAGGTTTAGAACAAAAAAGGAAAGGGAAGTCCTTAAAACCAAATTGAAGAAAGAGAAGTCTGGGCTGGTCCTACAGAATACATCCTAGGACTGAACATGGGAAGCCATCAAGGCTTAGCCGTGTGTGTGTGTGTGTGTGTGTGTGTGTGTGTGTGTGTGTGTGTGTGTGTGTGTGTGTGTCAGAGAGACAGAGACAGAGAGAGACAGAGACAGAGAGAGAGAGAGACAGAGAGAAACAGAGACAGACAGACAGACAGACAGACAGAATGCGGGTACAGAAGTGCAGCAGCACTCTTGCAGAGGTCAACTTCAGCTGTCAGCCCTCATCTGCTAACTTGTTTACAAAGAGGCACTACTGTTCTTCCACTGTGCTGCACTTACCAGGGTACAAACCCCTGAACTTAGACTCTCCTCTCTCTGCCTCCCAGTTCCCTAAAGGAGCTCTGCGATCAAAACACCTGAGCTATGTGCCTGTTGTTAGGTGAGTTCTGGGGATTCAAACTCATTGAAGGCCAACACTTTTATCAAAGACCACCAGCCTCTGCGGGGGTCAGTCACACAAGTTAGCTTTTGCTGGAGAGGCTCCATATTCTAATTAGTTTTAAAACGGAATTTTTCCACAGAAATATAACATTTCAATTGGCCAGTAACTACTACAAACTAGGTAATCTGATATTTCAAAATAGTACAAATAAGATTTTTATTTTTAGATAATATTAAAAACAATTTTTAAAAATATATTTCAGTAGTGAGTTCCAGGACAGCCAGTGATACACACAGAAACCTTATCATATATATCTCATATGTTTATGTATTTCAGAGTTTACACTTCTAAGAGAAAAGTAAATAGAAGTAACTACCCCTCCACTAAAAACCTTACCTTTCCACAACCTCACACAGCCGTCATCTCCTGAGGATGCGAGTACTGTTCCTGTTATGTTCCAACTCACCCTCCAGACCTGAGAATTATGATTATCAAACTGAGCCACGATGTGGATTTCAAATTTTGTGGGACCACCAGAAGAAGTAAGTTCTTTCCTAAAAAAAAGATTAACAAAGTTTTCAAGAAAAACGTGTGTATACACACACTCTCACACATAAACACACATTTTAAGTAAGAAATACAAATAAATATGCTTCCTGTATTTTCCCCTAACGTGCACACCTATGTCCCCCACCCCCACCACTTAGCCCTGTGGCCATGAAAGTGCCACTTCCATTTGGATCCTCCACCACCTGGACTTATTTCACCCCACAAATTGTGCTCAGTGACTTTTTTTGGAAGAAACAATTGAGCACATTAGTCCCCAAAACAAGGTCCAGATTCTAATAAACCGAGTAGCACAGAGTACATACAGAAGCCAGAAAAGGACCTGAAACAATTCAAATGAAATCCTCACTCCAAAAGTCACATCAAATATTCAGTATACGATGCAATCTTCAGCCCTGACCCACTACTATTCTCAAAAGGAAGGTGCACTTTCATATTCCTGATTTTTCTACAACTCACCTTACAGGTTTTAATGTGAAAATTCTTACATCTTTGGTTGCTATTGCCAGGATATGGAAAGATCTTCCCAAATTCGGAGCAAACGCAATATCATGAACAGGATCTGTGACGGTCATAAGGGTTTCCGCTTTTGCATATTTCCTAATTCAGAGAAAAATTAATTAGAAATTTTGGAAATAAGACATAAAACTTGGGGCTGGAGAGATGGCTTCATAGTTAAGAGCACTTGCTGTTCTTCCTGGACCACAGCTGGATTTTCAACACCTACATCAGGTGGCTCACCACTGCCGGGAACTCCAGCTTCGGGAGATAGAAATGTTCTCCTCAGGCCTATGTAGGCACCTGCACACATGAGGCATATACTCATATATACATCTACACATAAATAAAAACAAAGCTTTCAAATAAAAACAACTTGAGCCAGGCTTGGTGGCACTTCCTTTAAGCCGAGCACTCTGAAGGCAAGAGGATCTTTATTGAGTTTGAGGCCAGCTGGGGCTACATACAGAGACCCTGTCTCAAAATAAATAAATAAAATTTTTGTTTGTTTGTTTTGTTTTTGTTTTTCGAGACAGGGTTTCTCTGTGTAGCTTTGCGCCTTTCCTGGAACTCACTTGGGAGCCCAGGCTGGCATCGAACTCACAGAGATCCGCCTAGCTCTGCCTCCCAAGTGCTGGGATTAAAGGCATGTGCCTGTGCCCCTTAATAAAAGTTGCTTTAGATGAAGCAAAAAATAAAAAAATTAAAAAAAAAAAAAGGCATGCGCCACCACCGCCCAGCGAAATAAAACGTTTTAAAAACTTCATCAATATATGTTAATTTTTTTCATACTGCTCACAGTAAGCACTTGCCTTTGGAAGACACTGAACAGTGGACCCCCAGATGATAAACTAACTCCTAAGCCCAAACTGGAGCCTGTAAATATGACCTTACTCCAGAAGAAAACAGTGTATTTCTCTGTGCTTATTCTGTGCTTATTCTGTGCTTATTCATTGTCACTAGGGTAGGACTGACTCTGAGAAAGACAAAGCAGTGAGGGAGCCTGAAGTGATGCTGCCACAAGCCCAGGAGTTCCTGGCTATCAAAACTAGAAGAGCCAAGAGGATTTCAAAGAAGCACAGCCAAGCCTACATTTGATTTTAGATCTCTGGCCTCCAGACTGGTAAGTGAAAAAATTTCTGTTGGGCTAGCCCAAGTGTTACAATGTAAGTGTATCTTAAAATAGCTAATCAAAACTTAGCTAGATAAAATCTGGGTTTACTAGTGATTTTCTGTTTGTTTAAGTAAAGGCAAAAGGCATGCCAGGCAGTGGTGGCACCGAATGATTAGGGAGTGCAGGATATATATATGAATGCACACATCTGAGACACTCATGTCAAAATAACCTAACACTGTACAGGAGCTCAACATGTATAAACTATGTGATCTCTTCCTCAGAAGCTATTCTTATATAAAGTAGAAACTATACCTTACATTTTAATCTCTAGACTAGTAGCAATTTGCAGTGGTGGCACACTCCTTTAGTCCCAGCACTCAGGAGGCAGAGCCAGGCGAATCTCTGTGAGTTCAAGGCCAGTCTCCACAGACTGAAACAGGAAGATCAATTGAATTTGTTCAAGACTAACCAGGGTGGCATGAGACTGACTCAAAAAGCAAAAAACAATGGGGCTGGAGAGATTGCTCAGCAGCTTGGAGCATTATTAATTCTGCAGAGGACCTGGGCTCTATTCCCAGCACCACATGGGGCTCCCAACCATCCACAACTGCAGTTCCAGAGGAGCCAATGACCAGGCATGCACATGGTACACAGACATATATGTAGGCAAAGTAATCAGAAAATAAATCCTTTTTTTAAAAAGCAAAAAAACAAAAGACCAAACCCATACAGGAAAGCACAGCACAGAACTTGATATATCACGGGAAATCAGTGACTACACAATGAAGGATGTACAATGCAGGTGATGAATGAAGGAATAGTAATTGAAAAGCTACACACAATGCTGAACAGAGCAGTACTGACCTGGTGTTTTCATTGTATTCAAATATCTGCACCTTGGCCATTGCATTGGGGCTGCTGTCATCACTTCCCACGGCGATCATGGGCGAGTGAGCACGAGAGCTGGGAATGAAGCAAGGAGACAGGTGACCACAAGCTAGCCTGAACTTCCTACCACATCTGCATGTCCACCACAGGCCTGCTGCACTGCGTGTGTGTGTGCGTGCGCGCGCACGCGCGCGCGAGGACCTCACCCTCTGTCCCTCAGGACTGTTCTTCACACACACACACACTATGGCTTAAACAGAAGGAGCTTCTTCCAACAGAGGGTATTCAAACAACTGGCAGGTTAAAAATGACACCTGCCATACCCTTCTTCCTACAAACATCAGCAACAGGAAAAATGGAGCTCTTTATTAGTAAAGCTTACTAAAGCTTTGTTACGAAAGCTTCACATATTAGATCCACTAATCTAATCAGAAAAACTCAGATGAACTACAGAGAGCTATGTGATGACAGGAAGGAGAGATTATTCTATGTAAATAACAGCTTCATGAGAGCACATCTATCAACAAATATTCACATAACCGAGCTGCTAGCTAAATTTTAAAGTGAACTAGTGTTCATAGACAAAATACCTATATATAGTATCTATACACATACTAAATATCTATAGAATCCAAATGTTATAAATACTCATGTAACAAACAGAAATGAATAGAAAAGATAAGGCTCAACATTAAACAGAAGCAAAATAAGCATAATATCTCTATCTATCTCTCTGTTTTTCAAGAGAGTTTCTCTTTGTTTTTCAAGACAGGGTTTCTCTGTGTGTATCCCTGGCTGTCCTGGAACTTGCTCTATAGACCAGGCTAGCTTCAATTCACAGAGATTCACCTGCCTCTGCCTCTGGAGTGCTGGGATTACAGGAATGTGCCACCACCACCTGGCTAATTTTCTCTTTTTTAGGAGAGAAATCTTTAGGGGTGGATAAATGGCTAAGGGGTTAAGAGCACTAGATACTCTTCCACAAGACCCAGGTTTGATTCCTAGATCCCACATACGTGGTGGCTCACAATGATCTAGTACTCTAGTCCCAGGAAAGCTAATGCCTTCTTCTGGCTTCCACAGTAACTGCGTTATTGTGGTGCACAAACATACAAGCAGGCAAAATACCAATACACATAAAAAGTTAAAAAGTTTAAAAAAATGTAAGAGGAATCATATAATCTAAGAATAAACCAGTTAAGTACAGATAAATTTAAAACTGCAATTACTAACACAACAACTATAAAGATTACCACAAATAAAACACCTACTAGTCATTTATGAATGAGTGACCTATTTGATCAGTGACTATAAACGGTTTAGATCTAAGAGAGCAAGAACCAATAGTCTAAGTCATCTACATATGTAACAGTGGCTAGCATAATTAAAATCTAGAAATTAAACTAGTGACAGCATTTACTTTTAGAAAAAAAGAACTTTCAGTTTTATTTTCTACTTCTCTAAATATATTTGCATTTTTCCTTACCAAGTGATTAAAAAAATAAATAAAAAGCAAATATAGGAGAGGGCTGGAGAGATGGCTCAGCGGTTAAGATCACTTGCTGCTCCTCCAGAGGACCCAGGTTCAACTCCAGGCATCCGCATGGTGACTCACAACAGTCTACAACTCCAGTTCCAGGGACCCAACACCCTCTTCATGCCTCCAAGGGCACCAGACACACGGAATACACAGACATACATGCAAGCAAATCACCCATACACATAAAACAAGTTCTTTTTAAAAAATCTTTAAAAAGAAACCATGGCCTATTCACACTCATACATACTCATACAACCATACTCAATATGGAGCATTTAAACAGGAAGGATGTTTACACAGGTATTATTTTTATAATTATAATTACAATTATTTTATTATAAACCTTATTATTACCCCAACACTCAGGAGGAGCAGCAGGACAGCAAGCTCAACACCAGTGCTAGCTGGTTACACAGTAAGTTCTAAACCAGCAAAGGCAAAACAGCAAGTCTCTTGAATGAATGAATGACTGAACCGCTTTAAAAGAAATGCTACGAATTATATACTAATATGTGAAGAAGCCAGGTGGTGGTAGTGCACGCCTTTAACCCCAGCACTTGGGAGGCAGAGGCAGGTGGACCTCTGTTTGAGGCCAGCCTGGTCTACAGAGCAAGATCCAGGACAGCTAGGGCTGTTACACAGAGAAACCTTGTCTGAAGATGGGGATGTGTGTGTGTGTTTGTGCGTGTGTGTGTGTGTGTGTGTGTGTGTGTGTGTGTGTGTGTGTGTGTGTGTGTGTAGAAATGCACACAAAAGAGAAACCTTGTCTGGAGATGGGTGTGTGTGTGTGTGTGTGTGTGTGTGTGTGTGTGTGTGTGTGTGTAGAAATGCACACAAAGTATTTTTCCGTGAGAAAAGAAATTTCAAGGAAAATATATGAGTTTTATACATGTAGAGGTATATCATGTCTTTTTGTGTTGGTGCGTATCTGATTATGTTTGCATATATATAACTCTTAGGAATATCCTAATTTATTTTTATATAAATAGAAAAAGTTCTCACCAAACTATTGATAATGGATGGGTTCATCTGTGGAGTGAAACTAGAGACAAGATACATGCCCAGATAGATAATATCATCTAGTTACAGAAAGCATCTAAGAAATTAAATCAGCAAATTCTTAGCTTGGAAAATCACTCGCCTGTTTTAGTAGAATTATCAAAGGTTTGCTATGAAAGCTTACCTGGAAGGGTTCCAAGAAATACAGCTACAGCTCAGCTTACAGGAGATTTCATGCTGTAGAGACCACTGGCTGAGATTCATAACATCTGGGGCCTCATATATTCTTACTATACCATCTGCTGAACAGGTTGCTAACATCAGACCCATGTGTTTGGGAGCAAATTTCACATCAGTAACAGATGTTCTACTATCCACTAGAGTTGTCCTCTTCACCTGAAAAAAGAATTCATACACAAAAAGAAAATGTGATGGATCTGAAAAATAAAATGTTTTAGAATCACAGAGACATCTCTGTCATCAACTAGGTGTTTATCCTTGAGTTAACTTAAAGCCTCTTTTGGTGTCTATTTCCAATGATGCACTTTGCTTAAATAACAATCACTAACAAATTAGTGAGCTGTAATTAACTGTTGCCTTTAAGACAGAATAAAGTCTACCTTTAGAAAGGATAATGTATGTTAGTAATCTCGCTGTAATGGTTTGAAAAAAATGGCCCCCAAAGGGAGTGGCACTATTAGGAGGTGTGGCCTTGTTGGAGGAAGTGTCACTGTGGGGGTGGGCTTTGAGGTCTCCTTTACTCAAGCTATACCCAGTGTGACAGTCAGTTGACTTCCTATTGCCTGCAAGATAAAGGATGCTCAGCTACTCCTCCAGCACCATGTCTGCCTGCATGGCATCATGCTCCCTCCAGGAAGATAATAGACTAAACCTCTGTAAGTGAGCCCCCTCAATTAAATGTTTGACTTTATAAGAGCTGCCGTGGGCATGGTATGTCTCTTCACAGCAATAAAAATCCTAACGCACTCACTAAGTAATAATAAAACACTCACTCAACAGACTGGTCCCCAAACCAGAAAATGTCAGAATTTTTATACACATGGCTCTGTCATGCAAAGCATGATACAAGTAGTAAAATCAAATGAATTAGAATCCTTAAATAGTAAATGTAAGGATTACAATGTCTATCAACATCAGTAAAGGAATGGACTACATAAAAGATAGACAAACATCTGCAGACTAGTCTACCTTCTGGCAGAGCCAGGAGAAGAGGAAGATCTCACTACACACATCCTTTTACAGCTTTCAATTCTATACTGTGTGATTATTAAGAAAAATAAATTGTAAGGAAAGTAAAATACTTGACATGATAAACTTCAGAAACAGTAGTGGAAAGGTCTTATAATCTAGTTCAGTTCTCTACTTTTATGGATAAGGATTGTGAGCAGCACACAGGTACTATTCCTGCCCAAAACCAATCATTCAATAAAGGCTGAGGTAGAACTTACAGTAGACACAGATAAGGGAAGCTCGGAGTATAGCTCAGTCACTGATAGAGGCCCTGGGTTCAATCCCAGGGAGTGCAAAATAACCACAAATCAGAAGTCTAAAGTCATATACTAACTACCACACAAGAATCATGTAAAATAAACAAATATATAAGATTGGGTGCAAGGCAAATCCCCTGGGTTCGTCACCGGAATAATGATGGCCCAAGCACTAGTGCAAGCCAAGCAAATGTGAAGTCAACAGGAGAAAATTCCTTAGAAAGCAGAACGGGGAGGGGGGAGGGGGACGGGGGGGGGGGGGGGGGGGGGGGGGGGGGCAGTGCTCACAGTGAGCCCGGGGCCTGGGTAGTCGTGGAGGCACTAATGGTCCGAGAGCTCACACCTTGGCTTTTCTGTGCGATACTAAATGTCTCACCCAGTGACTCTGTCCTCGAAGTTTGTCATTTGATTCTCCGACTATTTCTTCCCAAACAGCTGCTGTTCGGTCAAAAGAACAGGAAGCCAAAACTTGTCCAAACTCAGGATGAGCCCACGTCACGCGCCATACAGATCCACTGTGTGTCTGGGGAATTTAAAAAACAAAACTGAGTTTACTCACTTTGCACATACAGTTTTACTCGAGAAAATAAAATAGAACATGGGCAGTTTTACTTCAGTTAGAAGAGAAAGATACCAACTTAACGTTTTAATAAAAAGTTAATTTCTAAAGACTTTGAACTTTTGGAAGATATTCAGGATTGTGGACTTCTGGAGTTGTTAACACTTTTAAATTTTTTTTTATTTTGAATGTGTGTGTGCACACGTGTGTTCTCCATCTCTCTCACTGAACTCAGAGCTCACCACCTGGCTGGACTGGCTGGCCAGCTAACTCCTGGAGACCCTCCAGTCTCCACCACGCCAGCACTGGGATGACAAGCACATGCTGCCACACACACCATTGAAGGGGGGTTCTGGACTCGGTCCGCACAGTTGCACAGCCAGCACTTCCTCTCCAGCCCCATAATGGAGCCATCCAAACACGTACTAAGAATGGCAAAGCCAGAGGGTGTTTTTGATCTCCAATATGGGAGGCCTACTTTGTAATTTAGCCTAACCAATCAAGGAAGTCCATCTTTTTCTTTTTAGTTGAAAAATACTTCTTTTTTTTTTTTAAAGATTTATTTATTTATTTATTATGTATGCAATGTTCTGTCTGCATATATTCCTACACCCCAGAAGAGGGCACCCAGATCTCACTACAGTTGGTTGTGAGCCACCATGTGGTTGCCGGGAATTGAACTCAGGACCCCTGGAAGAGCAGCCAGTGCTCTTAACCTCTGAGCCATCTCTCCAGCCCTTATTTGCAAAATATTTGTACAGAAAGCATCTACCTAGTCAAATAAATAAGATTAATCAAGATTATCTGCTTTACAACCCGGAGACAGAAGTAGATTCATGGTTGCCAGGGATGAGAAGAGGCAGGAACCAGAAATGACTTCTGGATGAAGAATACGGGGTTTGTGTGTAGCGCATGAAAATGTTCTAGAATTAAACAGGAAATGGTCACACAACTTTTTGAGTAAATTGTTCTGCCGGGCGGTGGTGGCGGCGCATGCCTATAATCCCAGCACTCAGGAGACAAGAGGCAGGCTCTCTATGAGTTCCAGGTCAGCCTGATCTACAAAGCAAGTTTCCAGGACAATCAAAGCTGTTACACAGAGAAACCCTGCCTTGAAAAACCAAAAAGAAAAAAGAAGAAAAAATTATTCTCTTAAAAGAGGTAAATATGACATTTAAGTTATAACTCAAAAAGGTACTATAGTGTTTTAAACAATTATTTGGAGTGGGGCATGCAGTTCTAATAAGTATGAAAATATATACACTGCAAAAATATAGGGTATTTTATTCACTTCAGGAGCTAACACAGGGGCTGGAGAGATGGCTCAGCAGGTAAGACCACTGGCTGCTCTTGCAGAAGATCTGGGTTCAGTTCCCAGCACCCACACGGGAGCTCACAATCATTTAACTTCCAGGAAGGTCACTGCAAGCACTTGATGCACATATACATGCAGGGAAACTCTTAACACAATAAATAAAATCTTAAACGCTAACAACAGACAGAAGAGTAGCAACAAAATGATTAAATCATTTTAACTGAGGTGAAGTTAAACAAGGTACTATTTTATGGACAGAGGCAGCTCAAATCCTTGTACCCAAAGAAATAAGTGAGCTGGTCCACAACTTGCGATGGTTTGATTTACAAGTGCTTAACTTTATGATGATGTAAAATGATACTTTTTTTTTTTTTTTTTTTTTTTTTTTTTGGTTTTTTTTCGAGACAGGGTTTCTCTGTGTAGCTTTGCGCCTTTCCTGGAACTCGCTTTGGAGACCAGGCTGGCCTCGAACTCACAGAGATCCGCCTGGCTCTGCCTCCCGAGTGCTGGGATTAAAGGCGTGCGCCACCACCGCCCGGCGTAAAATGATACTTTAACATGAGTTTGATCTATACCTAGGCAGCATCAGCTTCTGCCAACGCTGGGCAACAGCAGTGAACCACAGGAGCCAGTCAGACAGGATCGACCAAGAATCCCCAGTGTGCTGTACTAATGTAGGATGCTAAGCAAGTTGGGCATACTAAATACATTTTCAACTTACAGGATCTTCAACTTAATTTATGTTTATTGGTAAAGAGCCCCACTGTAAGTCAAGGAATATATCTAATTTAAAGTACAGAATCATTTCATTTCCTTTATATATAAGAAATGTCGTTACTACTGTACACCCTCACTCTGTCAAGAAAGAAAATGGACTGATATACTTCACCATCAAAAGAATTTGCTAGAGCTGGGTGGTGGTGGTGCACACTTTAATCCCAGCATTACAGATGCTCTGAGCATCAATCTACCTATTGCATTTAGACATTGTTAAGACATGGTTTCATGTAGCCCAGAGTGGCTTAGAACGCCTTATGTAACAGGCGGTGGCGATGCACCACGCCTTTGATCCCAGCACTTGGGAGGCAGAAGCAGGCGGATCTCTGAGAGTTTGAGGCCAGCCTGGTCTATAGAGCAGGTTCCAGGACAGCCAGGACTACACAGAGAAACCCTGTCTTGAAAAAAAGAACTCCTTATGTATCTAAGGATGATCCAGAACTTCTGTTCTTCCTGCCTTCACATCCCCAGTGCTGGGATTACAGGTGAGCACTAAAATTTCAGCCATGCACCACCCATACCTGGTTTATGCAGGACTGGCAATCAAACCAGGGCTTTGTTCATGCTAAGGCAAGCACTCTACTAACCAAGCTACATCCCCAGCCACGCTTCTGTATTTCTAACATTTCCTCTATTTTCAATAATGTAAGAATTCTCGCAAAGCTACACAGAGAAACCCTGTCTCGAAAAACCAAAAAAAAAAAGAATTCTTAGACCAGAAGTGGCGTATGCCTTTAATCTCAGCACTTGAGAGGCAGGCAGGATCTCTGTGAGTTCAAGACAGGCCTGTTCTACAAAATGAATTCCAGAACAGCCAGGGCTATGGAAAAGATCCTGTCTCACAAAGAGGAAAACAACATCATCATCATCATCATCATCATCATCATCATCATCATCATAATGATGATGTAAGAATTCCTCCTGAACCCAGTAACTTCAACATGGTAACAATGCTGCATCAATGGAAAAACTGCCCACTTTTCATTCTGTCTGGTCTTTTGGGCTTCGCCTTCAAATCTTACTTTAAAAAGCTATTAACTAAAAGACACACTAAGTTATCATTGCTTAATCAAATGTTAAATTCTCATTCTAACTAAAGAATAAGGTCTACACAAAGATGTCACCACAATTAAAAAAAAATTAAATAACCAGGCAAGGTGGCATACACCTCTAATCCCAACCAGAGAGGTGCATCTCTGTAACCAAGACCAGCCTGATCTACACAGCAAGTTCTAGGCCAGTCAGGACTACAAAGATCCTGTCTCAAAAAAGAAAAGAAAAGAAATAGATAGGTGTGGTAGCAGGTGTTTGTAATCCTAGCAGTTGGAAGATAGGTACAGAAAAAAATGTCACAACTCTAAGGGCAGTCTGCTTGTCTTACATACAAGTTTCAGGCTATCTCAAACAAACAAACAAAAAAAAAAATTTTGAATCTCCATCGATTAATCAACACAGAACAGCTACTGGATGTTTCTAAACAGCCTCTGAAGTCATAGGACAGTACTACGAAGCAAGAAAGAAGGGTTTCCTTTGCACATGGCATGCTGCTAATATACCTGTAATCTGTCACAGAGACAGAAAAGAAACAAACACTTCTAACACTGAAAAACTACAAGGAACTCAAATGCCCATCAGCAGGTGAGTGGATAAACAAATGTGGCTTATCTACACATTGGGACTGCTCAGCACTGTATAAAAAAATGAATAATGCCGGGTGATGGTGGCGCACGCCTTTAATCCCAGCACTCTGGAGGCAGAGCCAGGCGGATCTCTGTGAGTTCAAGGCCAGCCTGGGCTACCAAGTGAGTTCCAGGAAAGGCGCAAAGCTACACAGGGAAACCCTGTCTCGAAAAACCAAAATAAATAAATAAATAAAAATAAAAAATAATGCTGGTGTGGTGGCACACATCTTTAATACCAGCACTTCGGAGACAGAAGGAGGTGGATCTCTCTGAGTTTGAGGCCAACCTGGTCTAGGCTGAGTTCTAGGACAGCCAGGACTACACAGTGAGAACTTGTCTCAAAGAAAAAACATAAAACACAACACGGATGAACCTCAAAAATATGCGCCGGGCGGTGGTGGCGCACGCCTTTAATCCCAGCACTCGGGAGGCAGAGCCAGGCGGATCTCTGTGAGTTCGAGGCCAGCCTGGTCTCCAAAGCGAGTTCCAGGAAAGGCGCAAACCTACACAGAGAAACACTGTCTCGAAAAACCAAAAAAAAAAAAAAAAAAAAAAAAAATATGCTAAGGGAGCCAAGCGGTGGTGGCACACATGCCTTTAATCCCAGCACTCGGGAGGCAGAGCCAGGCGGATCTCTGTGAGTTCGAGGCCAGCCTGGTCTCCAAAGCGAGTTCCAGGAAAGGCGCAAAGCTACACAGAGAAACACTGTCTCGAAAAACCAAAAAAAAAAAAAAAAAAAATATGCTAAGGGAGCCGAGCGGTGGTGGCACACATGCCTTTAATCCCAGCACTTGGGAGGCAGAGCCAGGTGGATCTCTGTGAGATCGAGGCCAGCCTGGGCTACAGAGCGAGATCCAGGACAGGCACCAAAACTACACAGAGAAACGCTGTCTGGGGGGGTGGGCATTGCTAAGGGAAACTAGGCAGATACAAAGGACTATATAAGCTATTACAGTGTTGTGTGACTTTTCCGAGAAAGAATTCAAATAGAATTCTATCCAACAGAGTCTATCCAAGTCTAGTTGAGTGTACCAACGACTTTACTGGAGAATGGATTAGCACACACAAAAAAATGGAACTGCATTACCAAGTCCCACCGCAGCCTGGGTGACGACTGACAGGAGTTGCCACTGCAGCATGTACACCTTCAGTCACCGTCCCCCTGACATACTGTGACACCCAAGACCACATGTGGCTAGAGCAGAAAGGAGCAGTGACTAGAATCTCAAAAGGGGATCTGCGGACTCTTCCCCATCTCCTTTTAAGATAGAACGTTAGCAGCTCTATAACCTTTACCATTAGCATAGAGTTAGCCATCATTGTGCTGTCTATTCATTTCCTTACTGTGACTACAGGGCCAGGGTATTCTGGAGGTCACCAGGGCAACTCAGCTTTATGATGGCAGGAGTCATGGGAGGCCAGGAGAAAACAGGGCTGCTACAACATATGGTTTCATAACAAACACTCAGAAACTGCTTTTGCTAAAAGTCATGGACTCCTCACAGGTCCACAAAGGCAACTAAACACAGGATGAAAAACCAGCACCTGTGCCTTCATCTGCACAGGTCAAACTCTTGTTGCTCTGCTGTGGATAATGCTCTTGTACACTGGTTTAATAAAACGATGATTGGCCAGTAGCCAGGCAGGAAGTATAGGCGGGGCGAGCAGACAAGGAGAATTCTGGGAAGAGGAAGGGCGGAGTCAGGAGTCGTCAGCCAGACACAGAGGAGGCAAGATGACTGAGAAAAGGTACCAAGCCATGTGGCTAAACATAGATAAGAACTATGGGTTAATTTAAGTGTAAGAGCTAGTCAGTAATAAGCCTGAGCTAAGGCCGAGCAGTTATAAATAATATTAAGCCCCTGAATTATTATTTTATAAGCAGCTAAGGGGGGGCGGGGTGCCAGGGGGGGCCCAAGAAACCTTCTGGCTACACTGCTCTACATAGGCATGCTAATCACTTAAGGAACAGCTGTCTAAATTCATCTCATCCCCCTTTCAAGGCTGAAGCCATGGAAAGAAATCATCATTCTCACTAAACCTGTAGTCACCTGGGGTTATGGGAAGAGCCAATCATTAGAGGACAGACCACCCCACACTTAAGGGCAATCAATTAAAAGTAAAGATAAGGCTGCACCCTATAAGCAGAAGTAAATATTCTATGAGGACCAGATGATTGATCCTCAAGCAATGACAGTCATAAAGACCTCTTTAGACCAACTCACAGAACTAGAGGTGAGACAATGATTTAAACCTAAAACTGATGTTAGTACCTCAAAGTCACAGTTGGGGTCACCCAGCTACAAACCCTGTGACCTACAAGTGACCCCTCTGCAAAATACACTGAAGCAGTAGTAGCTAAGATATTGTGGAAGAAACCAACCACTTTCTGATTGGATTTAAGGCCCACTCCATGAAACAGAACTCATATCTGACACTGCTAAAGTAGCCAAGAACCTGAGACTAGACAGGTCACCTACTACTATTATTCTGATAAAGGAACACAGTAATAAAATGGCTCCTGGGGCGGTGGTGGCGCACGCCTTTAACCCTAGCACTCAGGAGGCAGAGGCAGGCGGATCTCTGTGAGTTCAAGGCCAGCCTGGGCTACAGAGTGAGTTCCAGGAAAGGTGCAAAGCTACACAGAGAAACCCTGTCTCGAGAAAAAAAAAAAAAAGGCTCCTAATGACATACTGCTATACTCATAGTTGCTCAACCCACATCAGAGAAGCTTCTTCTTGTAGTAGATGGGAACTAACACGAAGGACCACAACTGGACAATGTGCAGAGTTCTATGCAGGGATCTATGCAGAAGAGAAAGTGGAAAGACTTTAAGAGCCAGAGGTGATGGACAACACCAAGGAAATAGTGTCTTCCAGCACAACAGGACTGATGCACAACTCGGACACTGCGGCAGCATGTACAGGTTCAAGCCAGAGGGGGTCAGGGCTGAGAGGGAGAACTGGACAGAGTCCCACCCCTAACCAAGAAGCTATGTGCAATCGGTATCTGTCGGCAAAGGATGAAAGTCAGTTTTCTCCAATCGAGTCTCACTGAGTCTCACAACCACACCTCAGGGCAGGCCCCACACCCAGGAGGAGCCAACACAAAAGACCTCAGTGGTAATTTCATGGGGTTGTGTTTTATTTTGCTTTCGTTTGGTACTTTTTGTCCTATGGTCTTCTGCTTGCTTTATGTTTTATTTTTGTGGTTTTATAGGCATTTTTGTGGGGGGGGGTTTACTGTTTTGTTTCTTGTTTTTTGTTTGTTTTTGTTTGAGGGAAAAAGAACATATAAAGTAGGGTGGCTGATGAGGAGGGAAAAAAAAACATGAAATATGCTGAAATCCTAATAGTAGTTAGAGAATGCTACAAAAATACTATTTTTCCATTCTTAGGGCTTTTTGTTGTTGTTGTTGTTTGTTTTGTTTTTGAGACAGGGTCTCACTCAGTAATTTAGGCTGGCCTCTAACTTATGGCAATCTCCTGCCTCAGTCTCCCAAAGCACTGGGATCCCATACCTGGCCAAACTTACAAATTTTCTTATTCTCAAAGTTCCTATTGCTTTAATAATAAATTAATTTAATAAACCAGAAATTATCTTTCCAGGAAAAAATACCATATCAATTTTATCATTTTTCTCAAGTCATTAATACTAAAATAGCAAACATTTCAATTTTCTCAAACCATGTAAAAATAAAAACTAACCTTCCAACTAGCAGTACAATGCCAATCTCCGCTTTCACTTTTATCCCAGACCTATAAAAACAAACAAACAAAGGCAAATGAGCATAAGCGCAAGGAAAATGTTAACTCCACAGGAAGCAGCGTAAGGAATCGTTCATGTCTTAAACCAATGTTCCCTGGAATTGGTGTGCAGAGCTGGGGCCAGGCACTAAGCACCAGAGGCTGAGCTCTAACAGGTAATCAACACAACACATTCCTGTTTTGGGTTTTTTGTGGGTTTTTTTTTTTTTTTTTTTTTTTTTTTAGTGCTGAGGGGCGGGTGGTGCTGGTGATATCCTGAAGACTGAGCCCAGAGTCTTGTGCTTGCTAAGTGTGGTACTAAGACAGTACTGAGTAATACCCCCAATTACCCTTTAATAAGTAACTTTGACTACTGAAACATTGTTTATAGCAGTTTAGGTTCCTGTATCTGGTGGCTCATTTTCACCAATCAACACCACATAACCTTTTTTAGTGTGTATCTCTGTTTACAGACACCTTATTTGATACAAACTGGCAATTCCTCAGCATCTACCGCACAGCCAGCAGCGTGGTAATCATGCCTGAAGGGCACTTACCTAACACATTTACTTTCTTGTGCTTCAGAACACTGGAAAGCAATGCAGCACTGCCCCTAAAAATCATTTTAAGCTGTGAACTCACCAATATGAGGACAAAAATAAATGTACAAACCGTGGCACTAAGTGGACTGTGAAAAAGAATTTGCTTACAGTACAAGCCAAATACAAAGACAGTCATACTGTTCCATCTAAGCTAGGGAGGTGTAACCAGGAACCCTAGGGAGACAGGGATGGGGAATTATTGGACACAGTGCCAATTTAGAATAATGAGAATATTCTACAGATAGATGGCCATCCCACATTTTGTAAATGATTGAAAAAGCACAGTGGGGCTCGTGCCTTTAATCCAACTCTTGGGAGGCAGAGGCAAGTGGATCTCTAAGTTTTGGGCCAGCCTGGTCTACATGATGAGTTCTAGACCAGCTTGGAGGGAGGGAGGAGCACAGTGGGTATTCACTTTGAGGTAACAAATAAATTTTAATGAGGCAAAATAAAAAATAGCAGCCATCAGTTCTGGAGAGATGGCTCAGTGGATAAGAACACTGGCTGCTCTTCCACAGGACCCAGGTTCAAATTCTCAGTACCCCACACCCTCTTTTGACGGCTGGTGGTACACAGACATATGTGCAAACAGATCATCCATTCACATAAAATTAAACATAAACATACACATAATGTTGATCAACTCCATGTGAAACAAAAGCTAAAGTAAAATATTCAATAACCCCCCAAAAAATTATAACCCCCCCCAAAAAATTCCAACTTAATCAGTCAAAAATGTCTTAAGAACTGGGGATGCTCAGCTGCCTAGCACCTGAGACCCGTAGTTCAACCCCTAGTATCACAAAGAAAAAATAATGTGCCAGCCTGGTGGTGTATATGTGCGATCCCAGATACTCAGGAGGCTGAGGGATGAGGACCGCAAGTACAAGCCAGCCTGGGTAACGCTAACTTAGGGAGACCATGTATCAAAATAAAAAGTAAAATGGATGGCAGAGTTCAGAAGCAAAGCATTTGCCAAGCCTGGGCTTAATATCCAGTACCACACACACAAAGTCATGATAATGCCAATCCCGGCCTTGATGCTATTGAATTGTTACTCTCATGATGTAGCATAGCACGAACTGGGCTAAGGATGTAGCTCAGGGGTAGGCTGCTTGCCTACCATATGTGAGGTCCTGAGTCTGAGCCCCAGCACACACAAAAAGGGAAAACTGGGGGTAAGGGAGAGCACTTTGCCAAATCTTATCACAATGTGTCAAAATATTCACTGATTTCTCATTTGGAATTAGCCTAAAGAAATCTTTCAAAGCATGTAATATACTAAATAAATGAATTTTCATCACTGTGACAACCTACAAGCTTTGGAAAGAACTAAAAGATCTGGGAGCAAGTGGATAATGACAAGTATGGCTAATTCAGGTAGCAGACATCAGTTAAGCCCTTAGGAATGGTATTCACTAAGATATCGTAGCAATATTGAGAGAGAAAAAAAAATGGGCATGAAAAGCTTACATGTATATACACTACCAAGACAACCAGAGAAGGGGCTGGAGAGATCATTCAACAGTTAACGTTTACTGCTCTCTGCAGAGGACCCTGGTTCAGTTCTCAGCACGCATACGATGTGGTTCACAACTGCCTACAACTGTAATTCCAAGGCATCAACTCTTTCAGACCTCATGCACACACACACTCACACACAAACACACACACACACACACACACACACACACACACACATAAAAGTCCACATTGACATTCAGCTATCCCATAATGAACCTATATTAACAAAATTCTTGGGGGGGGGGGAGTGACAGGGTCTCTCCACAGCCATGACTGTCCTGGAACTCACTTAAGCATACCTGGCTGAGATCTGCATGCCTCTTTCTCCTAAACGTTGGGATTAAAGGTGTGTGCAACCACCACCCAGCTTGACAAAAATTCTTTAAAAGACAGTGTAAATCAGGTAGCGGTGGTGCACGCCTTTATTTTATTTTATTTTTTTTATTCCTGAGACAGGGTTTCTCTGTAGCCCCGGCTGTCCTGGAACTCCCACTGTAGACCAGGCTGGCCTTAAACTCAGAGATCCACCTGCCTCTGCCTCCCAGTGCTAGGATTAAAATCATGAGCCACTACACCTGGCCAGACTACTTTTTCTTACTGAAGAGCCTTGTATTTATACACACATTTTTTTTTAATCTGTGCAAATGTTAGATTTTCTCCTTAGAAAAAATTACTGATAGCCAGGCAGCGGTGGCACACGCCTTTAATCCCAGCACTCAGGAGACAGAGCCAGGCGGATCTTTGTGAGTTCGAGGCCAGCCTAGTCTACAGAGTGAGATCCAGGACAGGCACCAAAACTACATGGAGAAACCCTGTCTCGAGAAAAAAAAAAAAAAAAAAAGAAAAGAAAAGAAAAGAAAATTACTGAGCTGGGCGGTGGTGGCCTAGCAGGGATTGCTGTAAACAGATGCTAAAGGTTCGAGGCTGTGGTTCAAAAACCCCCATTCTCTGGTTGTATAAACAGGCTGCTCAGTCTCACTAAGTAAGTCAGCTGGAGGTCACTCTCCTGTCCTGTCTCTCCTTGTGTGACAACATTATGCCTAATAAAAGGCTTCCCAGATGGTCATTTCTTGCCCGCTTCAGGTAGCATGGGCAGAAGCGGTAACAAAGTCATCAGAGACAGCCGAGGTACACGGATTAGCAGTCCAGTGACTACGCTGTGAAAGCGGCGAAGCAGTTTGGTAGCAAGACAGTTGAAGCAGCCCCTTCCCTGACTGTCATGGTAGTGGATACATGTACGTTCTGCATGCAGAATTACGTTCTCTCCCAATATTGCCACACTATCTTAGTAAAGACCATTCCTAAGGGCTTAACTGATGTCTGTTACCTGCCCTCCTTGGCCAATAGTTGGCTCAGCCCTTAAGGGCTCCAAGGGACCCAGACCCAGGTTCGGTTCTCCCAACAAATGAATCACAACCTTAACTCCAAAGGATCAGACGTCCTCTTCCGACCTGCCTAGACACCAGGAGTTGCACATACATACATACAATGCAGACAGAACACTCATACAAAGCAAAATAAATCTTTAAAACTGAGGTGTGGGAGGGGCAGAGCCGTGCCTGGCGGCGGCGCACATCTCTCTAATCGCGGCAGAAGCAGGTAGATCACCGGGGGTGGGCTACAGAATTGAGACTGGTCTCCAAAAATTAATGCATCGTATCATAGTCAACGGACCACTTGAACATGAACAAGAATAATAAAAACTGTCAGGTTTTCCGGCTATTCTGGCGTCGTGCAGGAGTTCATGCTTTGTAACCCCAGCATGGCTGAAGCGGCGACTGGAGGACAAAACTGAGACAGTCTCAAACACCCAAGAACAGAACTGCGCTGTGTGTAGTTTCCCTCCACGGGACTCCCCTCCGGAGAAAGTGTCCCCGGCAAAGGAACACAGGCGAGGCCCACGGAACTAAGACTCACGCTGCTGGGGGGGGGGGGGGGGAAGACATCCCCACGGGAAGCCACCGGTCCGCACACAAGCGCGGGAGACCACAACTGGGGACCCAACCAGGACCCACTCCGGAGACTCGGCACGCGCGTGCGCTCAGCACCCCGAAGCCGGGAGCCCTTCCGGCGCAGGCGCGGCAGGAGGAGCGCGCCGCGAGCGCGGGCAGCCGTGACCCCACAATCCGCCGGCGGGGAGGGCTCTCGCCGCTTCCGGGGGGGCGGCGGCGGCGGCGGCGGCGGCCCCGACGCGGGTCGCGTGCGTCTCGGTCGGGACGGGTCCCTTCCGCGCCGCCTCCCTCCCTCCTAGCCCATCCCTCCCGCTCCGTGCCGAGCCCCGGGGAAGCCGAGGAGCGCGCCGCGCGCACCTTGACGCTCTGGTCGCTGGAGCAGGTGGCCATCCGGCGCCCGTGGAAGTCGAAAGACACATCGTGGATGAGGTCCTTGTGGTCCGCCGCGATGCTGCGCGCCACAAACATGGCCGCCGCCGTCTGCCCGGCCCGCCTCCGAGAGGCCGGCGCTGGGGCCAGCAGTCCCCGGACCGCACGCCGCGGGGAGGCGCGTACGGCACGTCGGCCCGCGTCGCCCCGGCACGCCACGCCCCGAGGGACACGCCCTGCGCGGGCGGAGCCTGTGCCCAGACCTCGCTGCGGCCGCCGTTGCCGCCGCCTCCGCCGCCGCCGCCACCGGGGAAGGATGGAAAAGTGTGTGCTCCTTCCGGAGTCAAACCTGGAGGTGGGCTGCTCGTAAACACGTGATCGGTGCACCGAGCGAGCAGAGACGTCCCGCTGCAGATTTGAACCCGGAGCTCAGCCGCTTCGCTAGGGCTTTCCCCGGAAAGATGGAGACGCCCCAAGAGGTGGTTTAGGGAGTCCTGCTGAGCGAGCACGAAGTGCCGCCGGAAGGATGGAGTGGAGACAGAGGAGTGGAGGACCTGAAACAGTGGTCAGTGCTGAGAGATGTCACCAAGTAGGACAGGCCCCGAGGGTCAGCAAAACCAGCGTGAGGAAATAGCAATTTAAGTCACCTGGAGAGAGGGCAAGACTCAACATGATGTTCAATATTTACTTGCTTTGGAGCCAGTCTTTAATGGAGAAGTAAGTGAAATATAAAAAATACCTTGCAGAGAGAAGCCTATGATGGAAAGTGCTCAAATCTGGATTCAGTCAAATCTAGAAAGTAGTGGAACATTCATTCTACTCAGGTTTTAGCTGAGAGGTTGGTTGTCGTCTTTAATTCTCATGGGATCCAACATCCGCTTCTGGCTTCCATGGGCATGGGGGATACATATGGCGCACAGATATAAATACAGGTGAAACATGCATGCACATAAAAATAAACATTTTCAAAAAGAATATGAGTCGTGTTAAAAAGGAGGTTAAAAAGTTCTCAAAATTATTAGTCCCAGTTGTTCTTTGATGGATTTGTACAGAAACCTGCAAAGACAGGTCTGAAATGATCTTACTGAAAGGTTTACAACAAGCCCCCACGGTCAGGCGTGTTTGCATATGCCCGACGGACGGACACTTCTGCCAGGTCCAGGTCAGGATAGCCATTTCCGGGTCAGGGCATCTCGCGTGACCAAGATCCGTGACGTTCCATTGGCTATGTAGGTGCGCAACGTGGCCATGTGATCTACGCGCTTGCGTGTAGTAGTGACGCTGATCTGTCCACGCCCAGTCTTTAAAATCCGGCGCCATGTTCCCGGTTTCTTCTTCTTCTTCTTCCTCCTCCTTCTCCACACACGTGTTTCCTGCAGGCCTGTTCACTCTCTGTCCCTTTATCTTTAATAAAACTCTTGTTAGCGGATTCTGTCGTGTTTCGTGGCATTTCCTTGCAGGGTAAGAACACAACGCAGCCAAAAAACTAACATTTTGGTGCCGAAACCGAGCGGGCGCTTCCGGGCGCCCTGTGCCTGGAAACCTGTAAACCGGGGACAGCAACACTCTGCTCCGTACGCGACAGACCGCTCTCCATTTTGCCTGACCGCAAAAATTCCATGCAACACCGCTTTCTCCGATTGGTGAGTCCCCCCCATTTTTCGGCCACTGTAAACAGTTTCCTGAATCTGTGAGAACAACCGGTACCTCACAAGTATTCTTGAGACCGGGGGAACCCCCGGCCACGGTCTTCATTGGCTACGGTCGGCCCCTATCGCAGGCCTGAGATTTCTAGCCCTCTCCCACGTCTGCAGCCTGAGATATTTCTCGAGTTGGGACCACCACCGTTGGGTGCGTCCTGGGGGCCACGTGGGGCCGACACGTTCATCCGACTTGACGAAGCGGCAGACGCTGTCCGGATTCCCGGGGAATCCTTTCCTCACATGGCAGGGGCCCCCGCTTCTGTGGCTGACGAGCCAAGGAGCGGCTTGTGCCCGGGATCCGTCCTTGGCCTTGGGGACGGACGCCTGGGGCCTTGGCTCCAGATCAAGTTTGTTTTTTTATCTTTTTTATTTTTCTGCCTCTCCGCTGCAGACATGGGAAACAAGGCTTCCAACCCTGTTAGTCCTCTCCGTTAGGCTGTCTTGTTGAAGCTTTAAAACCTCTCAGTTTAATGCCTTACATAAAGATTCCTAAGCTAACTCGTCTATGTTCTAAAAAATGGCCAAAGTATGCTTTAGAAAACAACAGAAATGGCCGCCGAGCGGCTCCTTAGATCCCGATATTTTACGGGAGTTATCTAATTACTGTCAGCGCTCAGGCAGATGGAAAGAGTTGCCCTATGTCATAACGTTTTTCTTTCTCAGTGCTAAACCGTCTCTTCTGGATTCCTTCTCTCCTGCTCATATGCTCCTGGCTATGCCTGAACCGGAGGATTCTCTGACTCCGGAATCTCTGACTCTAGATCCTGCTAACGAACCTCCACCTATTTGACCTCCAGCTCCAACTCCTAGAAAACCATTCCTTCCGCTCCCCTTCCAGATTCTTCTTTTTCTAAAGCTGCTCCTTCCTCGGCAGCGGCCGGTTCCAAAGGCCCTGCCCTAGCTCCAAACTTCACTCCTCCTACCACCCGCTCTCGGGCTGCTAAATTGTCGGATTCCAGCCATCCAAAACCTTCCACTGTTCTCCCTTTGCGAGAGGTGGCTGGTGTGGATGGACTGATTAAAGTTCATGTTCCATTCTCTCTAGCAGAACTCTCTCAGATAGAAAGTAAGCTGGGTTCTTATACTTCTAATTCTGCTGCCTTTATTAAACAGTTTCAATATATAACTCAATCTTATAGTCTTACCTTTCATGATATATTCATGATACTTTCTAATACCTTACTTCCTGAGATGCGCAGGCGGGTTTGGGAGCAGGCTAGGATTCATGCAGAAGAAATTCATCAAACTAACCTCTCACACCCTCCAGGAGCTGAGGTGGTTCCTGACCGAGAGCCACACTGGGATTATAACACCAAGCGTGGCTGTCTAGCCAGAGATAGGTTTATTACCTGTCTCCTGACAGGTCTCCGTAAGGCTGCCCTAAAACCAGTAAACTATGAAAAACTAAAAATGGTTAGTCAAGATAAGGACGAAAATCCATCTCATTTCCTAGAGCGGCTCACCAAGGCTCTACTTCAGTTCACTAGCTTAGACCCAGAGAGCCCTGAGGGCAGGCAGCTGCTAATAACCCAGTTTGTCTCACAGAGCTTCCCTAACATTAGGGATAAACTTAAACGTTTGGAGAACGGCCCTCTAACTCCACAGGCAGATGTGCTGGTGATAGCGTTTAAGGTGTTCCATGGTAGAGATGAAAAAGCTCATAAAAGGAGCTGCCAGATGCTGGCAAGCACTGCCCAACCGGCTCCCCGAAAGCCGTCTGGTCCCTGCTTCAAGTGTGGGAGAGAAGGCCATTGGGCCCAGGCTTGCACCACCGGCCCACGAAGGGCACCGACAAAGCCTTGTCCAAAGTGTTGCCAAAAGGGTCACTGGTCAGCTGACTGTCCTAATGTCCCAAGCGACATAGGAATGCCAGATGAAGACCACCCTCCAGCTGACTTTGTAGGCTTGGCTTACAGCTAGGACTGCTGCTGCCTGGTTTCCGCCCTGGCCACTCCCATCTCACACAGGGAACCTAGGGTAATTATAAAGGTCAATGGGCGGCCCCATCTCGTTCCTTTTGGACACCGGAGCTACCTACTCTGTCCTGAGAGAGTTTTGGAGGCCCACCTCTCCTGCTCGTCTCCCTATTGTCGGGGTTGGGGGACAGCCTTATCTACCTCATCAGACACCACCACTCAGTTGCATTTTCAGAGGCATCCCTCTCTCACACACACGTTCTTAGTGGTGCCAAGCTGCCCTGTACCTTTAATGGGGAGGGATCTTCTAGCTAAGGTAGGAGCGTCCATTTCTTTGGCTCCACACATTCGCCTCATCCCAGACGCGCCAGCAGCTCCTTTACTTCTCCTCCTAGCCACTCACTCTTCTGACTCTAACAATTCCTTTCCCCTACCAGTCTCTCAGGTAGACACAGTCTCTCAGGTAGACACACAGAGCCGGAGGCAAAAAGGACCATCAAAAATATCCAGGCGGTAAGGAATAATGTAATACAATAATCTATCATTGTTCAATACTCACCAACTGATCACCTGCGTTTCCTAAATGCTAACCTAATAAGGGAAACCGGTGCCTTAAATAAACTAGCTCTAATAAGGCTTGTCTCAGATAAAAATTAAGCAGAGTACTAAGGCCAGATCTACCTCAGGTAAATATCACATGTCTCTATCTAGACAGGCCAGATCAACCTCAGACAAATGCCAACTCCAAAATAAAATAATAATGATTCTTTCTCTCTAAGCCTTTTCTATGTCAACAGTATCTTGTCAAACAGAAGGTTCTTAGCCACAGCACGGAGGGTTCCCAGCCACAGCACGGATGGACAGCCGCAGAACGAGGGGACGGCAGAACTTCATTCCAGGACCTGCCCACCAACATCCCAGGACTTCACAAGATACCCTCTCATCCCCCTGCCCCCCAAGAGCCAACCAACGCCCACTATTCAGCTGGAAGCAGTCTTTGAGAGAAACGTCGCCCCCATACCCCGGCAACCACAATTTTTTTCTTTTTTAAAAAAGGAAGAGTCAGGGATGAAAGGTTTACAACAAGCCCCCACGGTCAGGCGTGTTTGCATATGCCCGACGGACACTTCTGCCAGGTCCAGGTCAGGATAGCCATTTCCGGGTTAGGGCATCTCGCGTGACCAAGATCCGTGACGTTCCATTGGCTATGTAGGCGCGCAACGTGGCCATGTGATCTACGCGCTTGCGTGTAGTAGTGACGCTGATCTGTCCACGCCCAGCCTTTAAAATTCGGCGCCATGTTCCCGGTTTCTTCTTCTTCCTCTTCCTCCTTCTTCTCCACACACGTGTTTCCCGCAGGCCTGTTCACTCTCTGTCCCTTTAATAAAACTCTTGTTAGCGGATTCTGTCGTGTTTCGTGGCATTTCCTTGCAGGGTAAGCACACAACGCAGCCGAAAAACTAACACTTACCAGTCTGAAATTTTCCTTAGTCTTCTTTAAATCAAAAAGATTTGGGGCTGGAGAGACGACTTGGATGGCTTACCACCTTTAATTCCAACTTCGGAGAATCTGAAACATCTGGCTTCCATGAAGACCTGCACTCTCCAGCACACAACAGACACACATACACAGACTTAAATAAGAACAAAAGTAATCATTTTTAAATAATATTTTATTCCTATTTTAGAGGTAGACTCCAAGTCCATCAGTTGCACATAAAACTAATAACTGGAACCTCTAAATTCTGAGACTTTTCAAGAAAAAAAAACTAAGAATACAAGGTATACTTTTTTTTTTTGATGTTTTTGAGACAGGGTTTCTCTGTAGTTTTGGTGCCTGTCCTGGATCTTGCTCTATAGTCGAGGCTGGCTCCTGAGTGCTGGGATTAAAGGCATGTGCCACTGCTGACCGGCCTCTTTTTCTGGTTTTTTGAGACAGGGTTTCTCTGTGTAGCTTTGGAGCCTGTCCTGGAACTCACTCTGTAGATCAGGTTGGCCTTGAACTCACAGAGTTCCACCTGCCTCTGCCTCTCTAGTGTTGGGATTAAAGGTGTGTGCCACCATCGCCTGGCCAGGTTTTTTTTTCAAGACAGGGTTCCTAGTTGTCCTGAAACTCACTTTGTAGACCAGGCTGTCCTTGAATTCACAGAGATCTGCCTGCCTCTTCCTCCCAAGTGCTGGGATTAAAGGCGTGCACTGCCACTGCCCAGCAAGTTTATCTTTTTTTTTAAAGATTTATTTTATGTGTATGAGTAGATTGCCTGCATGTTTATAGTATATCACCTGTATGCTGTGCCTTTAGAGGTCAGAAGAGAGTGTTGGCCCCCTAGAACTGAAGTTACAAACTGTTAACAGGTTGTGAGCTAGCATGTGGGTGCTGGAACCTGAACCCAGGTCCTCTGCAAAACAGCCAGTAACCTTAACTTCTGGGCCATTGCTCCAGCTCCTGAAAGCCAAGTTCAAATAGAGACAGTAAACATTATCTGAAAGTAGGATATGAAATAGAGGGAATAAGATTTTTAGAAAAAAAAATGCTAGGCAGTAGTGGCACTCGCCTTTAATCTCAGCTCCAGGAGACAGAGGCAGGTAAATCTCTGTGAGTTCAAGGCCAGCCTGGTCTACATAGTTCCTGGACAGCTAGGGCTACAGAGAGAAACCCTGTCTCAGAAAAAGACCTAAGGTTTTTTGTTTTGTTTTGTCTTGTTTTTTTTGGTTTTTTTTTGTTTTGTTTTTGTTTTTTATTTTGTTTTGGTTTTTCGAGACAGGGTTTCTCTGTGTAGCTTTGGAACCTATCCTGGAACTCCCTCTGTAAACCAGGCTGGCCTTGAACTCACAGAGATCCGCCTGTCTCTGCCACTCCACTGCTGGGATTAAAGGCGTGCACCACCACCAACCAGCTAAGACCTAAGTTTTTAAAATGCTCTGAGATTCACAGAGAAATTGAACAGAAAATACATTCAGAACACTTCTGATCCCAGCACTTGGGAGTTGGAGACAGGAACATAAGGCGGTTGGAGACCCTTGCGTGCGTGCGTGCACACAACCTCCCCTGTCTACATTTAACAGCATGGCAGGCACTGTTGTTATTCGTTACTGTTGCTGTTGGGGAACCTACAATGACACCATAGCAACAGCACCAAAATGTGATTAACACTACAATGACACCATAGCAACAGCACCAAAGTGTGATTGACACAAGGGCTCATTCCTGGTGTATGTTCCATAGGTTTTGACAAACATAAAATGGATTGTACCCATCAATACAAAATCATACAGAATAGTTTCCTTGTCCTAACAATCCTATGCTCTCCTAAAAATCACTGCCCTCTCCATCAACCCCTCCAAACCGCACGTGAAGCCGTCCCCTACCACACTGAAATGCTGACTGACTTGATCTTGTACAGGTCTTATACAGGCAATCACAGCTGCTTCCAAGTCGTGAGTGCAGTGTATCCAGAACAAGGTTTCTCAGCATTCCCAGCCCCCCTCTCTGGCTCTCTAATCTTTCCACCCCCTATTCTGAGATGTACCCTGAGACTTGGGGGAGGAGAAAATGTGAAATTGGTACCCCATTTATGGCTAAGCACTCCACAGATACTTACTCTCTACACCTTCAACAGTTGTGAATCTGTATGAAGCCCCATACTCAGTAAAAAAAAAAAAAAAAGAAGAAGCTTCTCTGACAAGTACTGAGAGCAGCACTAATCCATGGGTATAAAGATAAGGTAGATTTATATTATTTCCATTTAGCAAAATAATAATAGTAAGTTCTGCCTAACAGCTGATGACTTCCCCAGTAATGGATTCTTAGTCCAATTTATAGTACTAGGCATGAGTTTCCTTCTGTGGAACATGATAAGCATTTTTGTATCCCTAGTAGTAGGTTTCTCTGCTGACACAATAAGCCAAATCAAAAAAGCCCAGGTTTGAGCCGGGCGGTGGTGGCGCACGCCTTTAATCCCAGCACTCGGGAGGCAGAGCCAGGCGGATCTCTGTGAGTTCGAGGCCAGCCTGGTCTCCAAAGCGAGTTCCAGGAAAGGCGCAAAGCTACACAGAGAAACCCTGTCTCGAAAAACCAAAAAAAAAAAAAAAAAAGCCCAGGTTTAATGAGCAAAATGCCCCTAGATGACTCTCAAGCCCCCCAGAAGTGAAGCAGGGGAGGGAGGAGAAATCATATGGCAGGTCCAGGGGCCGGAGCTTAAATACCTTGTGGATGTGGTCATGAGCAGCTCCAGAGGAGGAGCTGCCACTTGTCAGGCTTTCTGAGAGGCGGGGTTTGGAATGGGGGACCAAAGTGGAACTTCCAACTGAACATCCCAACCTTTTGGATATAGGGGCACCGGTTCAAGTCTGGCTACTTCTGGTTGGCATGGGACAATGTGGGGAGGGGGAGTTGGGTGTCAATGGGCTCATGCTCAATGGGAGATGTGGATGAAAAAGCATTGGGTTAACTGCCATCCTGGAGACCTCAGGGATCTGTTCCTTGAGGAAGTGGAGGAGGCAAATTGCTAGGAGAAAAATAGACTATTTACCACCGGCCCCATGAAGAGGGCCAGCCATGGGAAGAGAGAAGACTGCCAGAAAGAATGAACCGGAGGTGTGCCCTGGTTGTGCAGACGAGCCAAGGGTGAATGACAGACGTGCATGAGCAAGACACAGGAGCAGATGTGTCCTTCTTTGGGACATTTTGAAAAACTGGAGGGTGGAGGGTCCCTGTTGCTGGACAGACCATTTACCCTGGACAGGTGCCCGTTTGAGCCTGAAGAGATGGTAGCAGCACTGATGTCCCAGGAGCTTCCACCTGAGCAGAGCAGGCCCAAAGTCAATCAGAAAACAACTGGTGATCCTGTAACAGTTACACCATTATTACACCCATGGGCATATCTTGCCAGACAGGTCATTATTAGAGTTTGCAGGGCTCACAGCTAGGTAAGACTATTAGTTGTTCTTCCCTAGCAGACTATATAGCACCTCCGAGTAGTAGGAAAGCTACCTGGATGGGAAGAAGTCTGCCAGCCAGTAACAGATTTTTTTATTTTTCCGTGGCTTGTGACCAAAATTGTCTTCTGCAATAGGGTCTTATTTATCATCAAATCTGGCAGGCATCTAAGAGATCGCTCTGTATTGTTTCAGGGATCTCTAAAGCAGCTCTGTAATTTTGTATAAATATTTTTAATATCACTGTATTCTTTTTGTTCATTAAACTTCAACTTTGACTCCCTCAGGAATATGAATTTTAAAAAGAATTTGAAATCGATGTTCTATATACTATCAACAAACATCCAATCAGAAAAACATTTCCCTTTAGTCATTTCAATCTGAGAATCTGAAATACACACACACACACACACACACACACACACACACACACACACACACACGTTTCAAATGTATTGGAGGAGCTAATTAAAAGCCAAAAGAAAGTTCCCAGTGTGGTGATGCATACCTGTAAATCCAGCACTCAGAAGGTAGAGGCAGAAAGAGCACAGGTTCAAGACCAGCCTGGGCTACAAGATCTTACCTCAGACAAAGGAAACAGACAAAAGGCAAAAAGATAACACAACTCATCCTGGACTGTGTAAGTATAGGATACTGCTCCCGACCTTCAGACTGATGGACTGACAGTAGTTTTGCTCCTGGTCAGCTGCTAGTCTGCTCTTGCTTAGAACATTCGCCACCAGTAGGCAGGAAGCCAGGGGCCATTTTCCAGCTGACACTGTCCCTAAAGGTAGCAATACCCAAAGCCGTCAGAATCTGCCCTCTAGGCATGGTGACTCACACCTGTAATCCTAACATTTGGGAAGCTAAAATGATAGAATTGCTGTAAGTCAAAGGCCAGTAGGGGTTACAGAGTGAAACACTGTCTCAAACTACAAAGAACCCACAAACTACAAGCTGTATGCACGTCTTGTAGTCTCAGATGGAGTCTGGAGGCAGAAGTGAGCGCTGCTGCTCCTGCAGCTGTTGAACCCCATCCTGGGGATGGAGGCTCCTGGTGGACTGTAAAGCCATCATATGAGAGGACCTTGGGTTCAGTTCCTGGGAACCACACAAGCAAAAATCTTCCTGGGAGCAGGAAGCTGGGCTCATTCATTACCAATACTACTTCAGCCAAGGCTGTTCCACAGTGAAACCCTGTCTCAAAAAAACAAACAACAAAAACAACAAAAGTCTCTTAAAATACTAGATCTAAGCCGGGCGGTGATGGCACACGCCTTTAATCCCAGCACTCGGGAGGCAGAGCCAGGCAGATCTCTGTGAGTTCGAGGCCAACCTGGACTACCAAGTGAGTTCCAGGAAAGGCACAAAGCTACACAGAGAAACCCTGTCTTGAAAAACCAAAAAAAAAAAAAAAAAAAAAAACCTAGATCTATAGATCCCCTGTTCAGTTTCTCGGAAAATT